ACTTTCCCAAGCTTCGAGAACCCCACTCTATCATCTCTCTTGGTCTCCCTCTTTATATATATATATGCCCCCACTCCTAGAACTTCTCAGACAGGATCCCTCTCCTTTCCAATCTCCCCTAACACTGTTGTATATCATAACCCGGCTTGAAAAGTCAAGCTCCAGATACAGAAGTTGCAGAAGAAAGAAGCCTCCAGAATGGCGTCGGAGAAGGAAGTGGAGCCGGTAATAATGGAAACTACGTGGAAATGGAAACAGAAGGCAAGCCTAAGGACATCAAGTCCAAGTTATCCAAGTTCTTGTGGCACGGTGGCTCTGTTTATGATGCTTGGTTTAGCTGTGCTTCCAACCAGGTTCCTTTGTTTAACTCCTTCTTATGTTGCCTCCTTATTTTGATCACTTAGCTTTCCCAGCTCGTATCTGACACTACGGTTGGCTTTGATTTCCCCAGGTGGCTCAAGTTCTGCTCACACTACCGTACTCATTTTCTCAACTGGGAATGCTGTCTGGGATATTGTTTCAACTGTTCTACGGCTTGCTGGGAAGCTGGACGGCATATCTGATCAGCGTTCTGTATGTCGAGTATAGAACCAGGAAGGAAAGAGAGAAAGTAGATTTCAGAAACCACGTGATCCAGTGGTTTGAAGTTCTGGACGGGCTTCTTGGGAAGCACTGGAGAAATGTGGGTTTGGCCTTTAACTGCACATTTCTTCTGTTTGGATCTGTCATCCAACTCATTGCTTGTGCCAGGTACACACCCCGTCTTTGTCTACCTAACCCAGTCCTTTTAATCTCTGACCCTCATCCTTAGTAACTAGTTTAAAGAAATAGTAGTATATATGAAGTGAGAGCGGAAGGGATCAGAACTCACATGCGCGCGTCTGTCTGATGATTATGCAGCAATATATACTATATAAACGACAATCTGGACAAAAGGACATGGACTTACATCTTCGGAGCTTGTTGTGCCACCACAGTGTTCATCCCTTCCTTCCACAACTACCGAATCTGGTCATTTTTGGGCCTCCTCATGACCACCTACACCGCTTGGTACCTCACTATTGCCTCTCTTATGCATGGCCAGGTATGTAGTAACACAAGCTGAGGAACACTGTATGGTTAATGGTTAATTGGTCAATGATAATGGAATTGTGGTTGAATGTGTGTGTGCAGGTGGAGGGAGTGAAGCATTCGGGGCCTGCCAAGTTGGTTCTGTATTTTACGGGGGCCACAAACATTCTCTACACATTCGGAGGCCATGCCGTGACTGTGTAAGACAGTCTTCTCAAATATCTAATTCCATGTCCTTTTTCTTTTCTTTTCTTTTCTTTTTTTGAGGACGAACCTGCCCTTGCCTTCTTTGGCTGATCCATCTAATGAAACAACTATATTCCCCATCGAGAGTGACCGAACCTGGACTGGGGTTGGACATGATCTGACCACGGGATCCCATGACCCGTCACCAGTCATTTTCGTTCCATCGTTTTAATGCTTTGACTGATACCTCTGTTTTCGCTGCCTGGTCAGCATGCTTGTAGATTCAGCATAGCATAGCATATCTGAACATGACGCTTCAATATTTAACTATACCTTCCTTTTTTTTTCTCTGAATTATTGTCAGTATTACTATTAAAATTAAATAATATTTTACTTTGATTTGGTTGGAGGAAGAAAAGAGCCTTGATAGGCGTGGGAGGCAGAAAAGTGCCTCTTTTAGTGTGAACCCTGAGATGCTTTTGTTTGTAGATTTGTGGGGGAAAAGCCAAAAATGTTCCTGCCTTTTCTCTCTTTCTCACCCAATATCTTTCTTTCAATATTTTTTGTCAAAAGTTAAGTCATGACCTTAACCCATTCAAAATTGATACTTAACGAGTGTGTCACTGTGTCCTGTGATTATGGCATGCATGCACCAAATAAACACTGCATTAAAATCAAGATGGTGTGACGTAAGTTAAATGTTTCTGAATTTGATCTTATTCGTGGTGGTGGCAAATGCGCAGAGAAATCATGCATGCGATGTGGAGGCCAGAGAAGTTCAAGGCGATATACCTGCTGGCAACTGTGTACGTGTTGACGCTGACGCTGCCGTCGGCTGCGGCGGTGTATTGGGCGTTTGGAGATATGCTGCTGGACCACTCGAACGCCTTCTCGCTGCTGCCCAAGTCGGCGTTCAGGGACATGGCGGTGGTGCTCATGCTGATCCACCAGTTCATAACCTTCGGGTTCGCCTGCACGCCCCTGTACCTGGTGTGGGAGAAGCTGATAGGGCTTCACTCGTGCAAGAGCCTGTGCAAGCGTGCGGCGTCGAGGTTGCCGGTGGTGATCCCGATCTGGTTCTTGGCTATCATATTCCCGTTCTTCGGTCCGATCAATTCCACGGTGGGATCGCTGCTCGTCAGCTTCACGGTGTACATAATCCCAGCTCTTGCTCATATCTTCACCTTCCGATCTCCCGCCTCCCGTCAGGTAATGCTCCTCGCACTTTCCGCCTTTCTTCCAAGACTCGCGAATATCTGGAGAGTTCTAAATGAACGTTGGATTTTACGATTTGCAGAATGCGGTGGAGCAGCCACCCAGGTGCTTGGGGAGCTGGGTCGGAACGTATATCATCAACGTGTTCGTGGTGATATGGGTCATGGTTGTCGGGTTCGGATTTGGAGGGTGGGCCAGCATGATCAACTTCATCCGCCAGATTGACTCCTTCGGCCTCTTCACTAAGTGCTATCAGTGCCCTCCTCCTCCTCCTTCCTCACCCTCTTTTCTTAATGCCACCGCCACCGTCGCTGCCGCTCCTTCGCCTCACCACCACCACTGATCACGCCATTGTTGCCGCGGAAGACGATGCCGGAGTTTCTGATATTGTATTTTCGCCCATATTAATGACATAATCCCCCTGTTGCATTCATAAACTTTGCAATCTTCAACTTTGCCTTTCATGATAGTTAACAAGTACCTTGTTATGACGTGACTTCCGTAAATGACTCAGAAAAAATAAATTATAAAGTTAAAAATTCCCACGTTACTCCTCCAAAATATGCACCAAACATATTTTAAAACAAACTTGTGAGTCTATCTGTGATCGATACCCCTGCTCATATACATGAAAATTAATATGATTGGAAAAACAAGTACGTGCTTGGATCATTTACAATGCTTGACTGTATGTGTGTATTTATGTCAATCTCCTCTCGGAGACTCGGACTCTTCAAGAAGTCCACTCATAATGAAAAATCTTAAGAATCTTGGTGCTAATTTAATAGTATTACGCTGAGAACCATTAAGTATTTACTTTTGCAAACTGCTATGAACGTAGGATTCTGTTCACAACTGGCTCGGAGGAATGCCCCCAGATATAAACATTGAAAAGGCAAAGCTCTTGCTGGCTGGCACGCCAGTCTAAGAAAAGAAATGAAAGCAGAGTGTTTGGCGTTATTGCTGAAGATGATGGTTATACTGATACTGATGCATCATATTATAAGTATATTAAAAAATATGGTAGCTGACAAAAAGGGGGCATCTTTTGTGTTAAAATGACTGTTATGAATTCAAAGTGTTTGAGTGTTAATTAATGAGGTGTTTGTACTTTTGGATACGTTTGGCCAGCGCTTTGCACTTGATATATTATAACCACACCAAGAAGGCACGTCATTTCTCTAACTCTAAGCCACCCACACCAACAAAAGAAGCCTAACCCTATCCGCCTCATTCTGCCAAGTAAATAAACCAATAAATGGAGCGACCTGAAATTTACAAACAAATTAACTTTTCTGCCCATAGATTGAGGTGAAGAGAGATTGAATATCGGAAGGAGGGAATATATGGGAAAGAAGGAGGGAAGGGTGTTGACGTGTGAGGAGAGTTGAGTGGGAATCTAATGATAATCTAGCTTCCCAGAAAGGGTAACAGTGAATGAGAAAGCAAGTGAGGATCAAAAAAGACCTTTCGTGCGAAGTGTTCTGTTATGTGAATGCTTTTCACAGAAGCAACAGCGCCTAAAAGGTCGAGAATATATAACAACGCCAGCAGATATATCATATACTTTTTTTCTGCCATCAATCCGTTTCGCTGCTTTATTCCTGAGACAAACAAGACGATGCCCTCTCCACTCTTTTGCAGGCATGCTCTGCTCTCCTTTATAAATGCGTCAACTAAGCCCGCCACAGTACTACCTCCTCACCTAATTATAACATCTTGTTTATAGTGTATAAACCAGATCTGATAAATGCGACAGGAGGTAGTACTTCTAATTAACTTGTTTCTTCAGGGCCAAATGAAACTATTACGAGAAATACTTTCCCCCTCTTTGTCCCTTCTCTTTGTCCTGCCCTGTTATACGACTCTGAAACATGCCTTGGCCAACCAGTTAGGAAGGGGGATCGATGGGTACTTCTCATGAATTTGACTATGTATATATCTTACTTGATTCAATACGAATCACAATCTCAATTCATGTATGGTTCCAGCTTCGCTTATCCTCATTCCTCTTATCTCTCGTTTTCGTGGTCCACATCTCCGGCATTATCTTTCTCCACACCCATGTCCAATTGTTTCTCTCACTTTCTTTCTTTTTGCCTTTTGCTTTTTGCCGACACAAAGCTACAGATCTTTACTTCTGTTCAGGTTGCCAAAAAAGCATCTCTCTTTTTTATTTACTTGTTCAGGTGCAGGGCAGGAGCCCAAGAACAAAAACGAATCCAAGCCTGCATATTTTTTAGGTCCATATGAAGCCCAGCTTAAAGTGGGCTAGCCCAGCTTCACGCAGACAAAGTCTGCACCCAAAAATTGTCTTCACTTTTCTGACCCAGAAAGGGAACACCAAGTATAGCCGTCCATGGATTGAAAGATCTCTGGTTCTTATCAAAAGATCTCTGGATTTTCCTTTCCTTTTGCTTTTTATTGTCCCAAAATTGACTATCTCGTTAATGACAAGTGGCACCTAAAGCTCAAACTAAATAATGACAAGTTAAATCTAAGTGAGTATACAAACTGAAGGGGGGGAAAATATTAAAAAGGCGTAGTATATCCTACAAAAAGACCCATTGTATGAAAAGGCCTGGGGCCAATGTTGGCTCTTCAATTGAATACTTTACAACAGAGAATCACGAGGCATGCTGCACAAGGATGGAGGAGGAGAGGGACTATAGATCAGGACGACAAGAAACGTAAAAGTGTAACAAAGCTGGGATCTTCTTCTAAATTAATTCACAAAAGGGTAATCACCCAAACCATTTGCTAAGTTATACACACACACACACACACTTTGATTTTTGATCCATGTTAGAGAGTAAGTCGAAAAGGGAACCCCAAAAACGTCTGTCCATTTCGAAGTTTAAATAAAGCTCGATCGATAATCAGTGGAATCCTCGTGTACCTCTTGCTTGATACAGTTCCAATCTACCCGTGGCTTGCTCTAAAAGGTCGTCAATGAGCGGATCTTGATTCAGTTGCGAGTTCTTCCTACCCCACTCCAAAACTCCAAGAACTTCGTCTTTGGCAAGCGTCTCACTTTTGGGCACGTGCATTGCCACATAAGCCAGAAGTTTCAACGCACAAATCTTATGGATCACTTGGTCCCCAAATAAAATCATTTGAATCACGAGCTTTGCTCCTCCTGCTTCTATTATGGCCGAGCAGTGAGTCTCGTGCAGAAAGTTCTCAGTACAAGCAAACTTGGTAAGTGCAATTGCGGATTCCAGTCGAACCTCGAGTTCGAATTCTACTTCATCAAGCAGCCTCACCAATGGTGCTATGATTCTCGTTTCTGTTGCTCTGAAAGTCCTCGCCAAGTGACCTATCGATCTGATGCAAGGTATCAGAAGATCGGATTCCCCTTTTTGAATGATCCTAAGAAGCTGATCCACCATGGCTTTTGCAGCAGGGGAATTGGGTTTGAAAGCTGAACGTCTCAACTCTGCGTGCTGCTCTGCCACAGCCGTGATCTCCATTAAAGCAAAAGCCGAAAAGGATTTAACGTCATCAGGTCCCTTCTCCAGCAGAACAGCAAAACACAAAAGAGCCCTCGATTCAGTGATGCTGCGACAGACAGTAATATTCCCCTTTGCTAGTTGCCACAGCGCTTTAGCTGCCATGGCCTTCATTTGGGCCTTTATAACTGGATCCACAGCCTCCCTTCCCTTCATACTTGTTCCTGCAATTGAAACATGTGCGTGCCCATTTGGTTGGTGTTTCATGGCCATTGTGTTGGTAACTAGATTGTGCATTTGGTTGGATGATTGGTTCCCCACAGGGCGAGCAATCTGATGATGCTTATTATCGTTGTCTTCAAGCATAGTTTTCTTGTCATGATGATCGTTCTGGTTCTGAGCGTTACTGGCCAACACGACCGAATGAATCGACGACATGCTTTGTTTACTGGCAATGCTATACTTGCTGTGTTCCTGGATGGTCTCAAAGGCGAGATGCCTGACCAGCAAGCGTATGCAATTGTTCTGAGCAAAGTGATCCTGACACTTTGGGTGATGATATGCTAATTCCGAGATAGCCCAAGCCACCATCGCCTGAACCTTCATGTCACCTTCTTTGAGGATTTTCGCAAACACTGTGCAAACCCCAGCATTCACAATCTGTTCCACGCTTTCTGGGTCTTTCCCAAGCAACCCAATCGCCCTCGCTGCGTTTTCCTGACCCTCTACATGCCCTTCTTTCAACAATTTCAAAAGTGGCGGAACACCACCCTCCTCAATAATCAACTTGTTGTACCTATATTAAAAACCAACCAACCATTTCAGTTACGATATCTATAACGCTTTAAAATCAAAATTGAGGATTTTATATATGAGAACGTACAGTTGGTGATAATGAAAAGAAATGAAATAAATGCAAAGTTAGCGTACCTGTCGTTGTCTCGAGCCAAAGAGACCAAGGAAGCCGCAGCGTCCGAGCGATCTTCCATGGAACACCCCGTGAGCAATATTGCTATCTGCTCCCAGATTAGACACAAGATGGGCTCGTTGGCGGCGATTGGGGGCAGACCCAGATACTCGTCGTCGCGCTCGTCGGCGGAAATAGACACGCGAAGGAGCCATTGTATGTCTCCGAGGGAATTCTCGAGCTGCATCGACGTCTTGCGAAACGCCGTCGCGGGTATGATGGTGAAGAGTCGTTTCATGAGGCCGTTACCGCGGCATTTGTCGACCAGTTGCAGGGCCTTCTCGAGGACTTGTTCTGTGTCGTCGATGATGCGCCGTGTTGGCCGTTCGTAGAGGTCATTGCTGGCCCTCGCGGCTTGCCGGAGCAAGGCAATGAGTTTCTCCGTTTTGGCCTTGAGCTCTAAACATTCTAGTTTGAATGTTTGGGCTTCGTCGGCCAGCTTGATCACCTGGTCCGCCATCTGTATCGGGCTCGCCAGGATGTCCTTGACGATGCTCGACGTCATTTTCTCAGCGGACCCAATCGCGTGCTTTCAACTTTGAAAGATGAATTAAATCACCCCAACCTGATTGGATTTGAAGAAAGTTGATGCTAAGCAAAATGACATACAGTCTTGGGGAGGAAGTTTTGAGTGTGAAAAATGAAAATGAGATCAGGGAGTTTCTGTTTGTTTGTAGTTCTAGATTATTCTAGCAATGAGCCTGGGGATAGAAACGCGCAAATAATTAACGTTCATGGAACGAACGTTCGGGTTTTGAATGAGATGTTTTTTCCTGGTCGATACATTCGGGATTGTGCATGCGTCTGCATGCTAGCAAGGAAGGTGGGGTGTGGAGGCGCCGGTGAGGGAGGTGGCGCCGCCGGTGACCATGAGAGAAGAAGATGGTGAATATGGCGATGGCGGAACGGTTTTTTCTCTACTAGTTTTATGTAAAGAGGTACCATAAATCATGGGGTTATATATAGCACGGGCAATCGGTTGGCCTCCAATTAAACTCTTGAGGTTAGAGGTCGGTTTCTGCTTTCGAGTACCTGAGAGGACAACCTCCATGATTCGCACTCTGGGTGCGCGGCCACGTTCATATGCACGCTCCCATCTGGCGGCTGGTAAATACTATCGCTTTCGTGGAGCTTGCGTCATCTATGAGGCGATAACGTAGTGGAGGCACGCGCGCAGAAGGCGAGTGGTACAATGTCACCCGGTTTACCACATGTGCAATTGCGCAGGTCACTCGTCGTACTCAAAAGTGAATGCAAGTGATATATAAATCCTTCGGGGGGTACATATTCCAATTCAAGTAAAAAATATATCAAAATCGGTCAACATTTATTCCAAAATGCTGTAAAAATAAAATTACTTCTTTTTTTTTGCCATCAAAATTAAAATCACTCTATATAACGAACCATTTTCTTCTGTGACCGGAAAAAAAGAACCACTTTTTCCGTAGCCCAATATAATCCCTTCAGGCACAAGGTAGATAGCCTCTCCCTGTTTATTTTACCCCTTCTTATTAGGGATTGAATCATTATTATTTTTATCAATAGATAGATTAGTAGGGTTAGATAAAGAGATTCTCTAGCCCAGAATAAAATCGATAAAGAGAGATTGGTTTCTCTGTTTTTGTCTATCTACGTTGCCTCTAATTCATTTTTCTTTTTTAAAAAAAAAGTTGAACGTGGATTTCTAATTTCGTGAATATGCATGTTTGGAATAGAGAATAGAGAAAATAGATATTGTAAATATAATGTAGTGAGTAAAGTTTATATATGGGCACGTAATCTTACGTGGCAAGTGAGACTAAAACGCATTAAACTTCACCAAATAAATGCAATGACCAATACTCTCCATCGTCCCCTCTTTTCTTTTTATCTTTCTTCAAATGCATCTTTTTTACATTTACAATTAGAACATTATTGATCCCACTCTGAAAAGGTTATTCCAAAGATTCTTTTAATAAGTGTACGCACACAAATCAACTCATCGAAATAGGAATATAAAATGCAAAATTTATAATATGTTATATATGTATATATATTTTGCCAACGTTGCACATAAACCAAAAAAGGTACTTATTGAGTACAGTCGGTTATATGGATCACATAATCTCATTACACTTTATTAATGATCAAATATTTAAATAGATTATTGACTAAAAGGTCCTGCTTAATATTTCATTTAAGTATTGTCTTAACTCTTCCCCTACATTCCTTTTCAAAAAACTTGAGAATGGATTTCTCTACATTCCTTTTATCTACCATGCATCCAATGATTTTCTTTGCATATATATATTCGACTCACTTCAAACAATTTTTTTATCACCTTCTCTTCAATGGATTTCTTAAGTTAATTATATGGCAGCTCCAGTAACAATAAAAAATTAATTTATTAGCGAAAAAGGAAATCATCAATATCTCGAAATTACAGAGGAGGGGCCAATGTTGTTATAAATATACGCAAGTTCCATAAATTTGCCATTATCTCACCAGACAAAGAAATAAGTTTGTTATTTTATTTAAGTGCTTTCTGCCGCAATAATCCGTGCATGTACCTTTTGTTTTAAAAAGAATTTTTATTCTCTATGCATTATTTTTTCTTTTTTCAACTGACACTCACCCTTAATTTTTCTCTGAATATATAGCGTATCTATTAAGTAAATCTGAAATATTAATGTCTCTTTCAAATGTGCGTCAAAGAGGAAAATACTTTAGAGCACGCTCTTATTGAGCCAATAACATCAAGCTTTAAGTCACTTTCACGATCTCCTCTCATTTTTAGCACAATTCAAGAATCATAATAGAAAGAATCTTAAGCTTCACTCAAGTATTATGCACTCTGTTTTTTCCCCCTTTTAACAGTAAGAAAGTGATGTGCTAAAAAAAAAAAATTGGCACCGGTAAGTTCCCTTTAATTTAATGAACATTGGGGAAATATGGATGGTGCTCGTATTATATTTTTTATTATGGCCATGGTGTTATAAGTTTCTACTTAGAATTATGTATGTTCATTTGCTGCGCAATTTTAAAGAGGGCGTTTCCATGTCCACATTGATTTAGTGTGCTTCAAAATTTTCAACAATTATATATGGGTTATTACCTGTTTATGGAATAACATAGGAGCCACGCATTAGTGATTTAATTAGTGACGTCCTTAGTACTTACCCTTAATAATTAATTAGACCCCTTTCATAATTGGTTCCATGTGACATCTCAAAGAGAATCGAAAGGCAATAGTACTTATAAGGACGAATAATGAAAAGAAACGAACGATATATAGTTGAGTAAAACTGAAATTTGAATCACACATATTACGTTATTATCATCGAGCATCGTCATCATTAATGCTAATCACACAATGTTTACATGCTTCTGGTAAGATTTATGTTGTCTGTTTTCTCTTTTATCTATCAATCTCTCTCACATTGGCCAATCATAGCAATTCAACGAACGATATATGTATATATGCATTTTCTCTTAGTCAATTCAACACAATTATTTTATTGTATATAATACCATCTCAGTTGAACTAGTTTAACATTCAATTTATTTTTAAATATAAGACCCAATCTACTTTTCTTTCAAATCTATTTTTTTTAAAAAAAAATAGTTTTTACAGTAGTTAACATATTAAATATTTTATCAAATGGTTATTATAACTACTATACATAATTAGTAAGAATATTTCAGAGTAATATTACAAATAATTAATTTTTTTAATCTATTTAAATTAGTTAATTAATTTTTATGTTAAAAATTGAATAAAGATGCGGTAATAATTTAACAACGCTCCATAGCAGTCCATAATAGGATAGTAATTCCAATTCCCTTTTGCTGTGTTTTTTTTGACCTGAACTTCCTTTTCCTTTAATTTTATTGGAACCCATGAATGTGAATATATATTATTTAATTCCTTTAGCTTGTTCAATAACTTAAGAGTGAAGGCAGTACATGTATGTGGCACCATTATTAACACATGTGGTGTGAATTAGGAGCATCCGGTCACATCACGTCACGCCGACAGGTAGAACGTTCCATCATACACAATAGCCCATATCACAGCCGCTCATTCTAATTAATTAAACTCTTAGCCAATCCCACCCGTACCTTTTGGATAACACATTTTCCATATATGTGGAAGTCATACAGTTGATTCGTGGCTCAAATACTTACTTATAATTTCCTTGAATTATTTCTTTCTCCTCAATCACCTAATGGTTATGTCGTCCTCCCCAACACATCAATCGATCTCCATTGTAATTTGCTTCATAAATATACTTCCAATTTATATGAAACACTTGTCATAATGTCAAATTAAAACCAATTCTCACATATTTTGTCATATGCGCATTTGAGAGTTGGGAGAAGATAATAAGAAATAGAAGAAAATGTTTGATATGATAGAATTATACAAGTACGCTATGGTATATCTGAATTGAATGAGCTTGAAGAAAAGAGTAGTGAGAATCTTAAAAGAATTTGGGAGAATTACAACCAAGTCCCACTACTCAAAAATCCCAATAACAATTTCAACAGCATATAATAACAAGTTCTATAGTGATAATGACAACTTCTGATATTGTTTTTTAATTGTTTCCCTGTTTGGAATCTCGTTGTAATTCTCCCAAAAGGATTTTGTCCGATTGATGATAGGAGACCTTTTAAGTTTTAACTATACCCTTAGTCATGAACATCATTAGAAAACATTAGTGGAGAGATTCATGCATAGTTTCTCTATAAATTACATAATAGAGAGCAGATCCGCTCCAATATAATATCTATCAGTGATGTTATGAGAAAAAGAAAAAAATTAAAGATGGGATGCATATTTAGTTATTCATGACATGTGAGCCTCATTTTTATTGTCCCTTTCTTTCTTTTATATAATGAGTTATGACTCTGTGGAAGAGAATCTCACTCACCACATACTTCATAATCTTCATTCATTGCTTCTTATTGGTAACTTGTAAATACGTTGCGTTATTTTAAAGATACCTTATTGTGGGCACAAATATTTAATCACATGAGTACGTAACTGTCTGTGAATAAAACAGACGGAGAAATGAATATACGTGCGTAACAATGAGAAAAAGGAAAGAAAAAATATATTTGTTTGGTTCCTCTCTGTGTCTTCATCGATGATTTGATATGACTCTATATCGTCTCGACGACTTTACAAGGCACTGCAACTAAAATCAGCATAAAGCTAGTGATGAATGAATGATCACGGGCTGCGAAACTGCTGAAGAAAGAAATTACGAAGTATTGGGACCAGCAGGAGCTAAGTGCATATATATATATGTATATATATATATTATTATTCTCCGATCCTAAATATAAGAACTCATTTTGTAGTATAATTTACATTACAAAGTAATTTTTACATTTAAAACCGGAGAAGTGTATTTAGTAATGATGATGGCAAAGAAAATTTGTAAAGTTGATGAGATGAATATGGTAGGGTTACATGCTTTTGTATGGCTCCTAATTCTGTGAACTACGGAAAGTGCAGTGAAGATTCCAAGAGCTGAAGACAAACAGCAGCAACTACTTGTCATCAAAGCCAAAGGCCACCACTCTCCTTTCCTATATTTGATCTTTTCAAGTCCTTTCATTTCAATTCTGATGGCTAGCTTGCCAGCAAGGCCTAATGTTCACTTCAATCTAGTAGTCTGTGATCAGTTCAGGTTCTCTGCAATGATTAAATTAAAGTGATTAAACAGTGGTTCTAGAATATAATCATGTAATTAGTTGCGTAGTGCAACTTGGTTGTTCTTAATTACTAATTAATAATGTGTTTAAGCTTTAAAACACTCATACAGATTTTGTTTGTCCTTTGAGTATCGAACTTTTCCGCCACCGAACAAAGCCGTCATATTCTGCAGTTGGCAAAGAGCTGAGAAGTGCTGCTTCACAAGTTCAAACACTCCTTCCGGGATCCAGTTTCGGTGGTCATCCTTAGGGGACTACAATGATTATGTTGTTAAATTTTTAAGTCCGGTTTTTAACGTAAATATAGTTGACAGATAAATTTACAGTCCTGCTTGTATTCTTTGTTTATTTCAATCTTGCCTCATTGCTGGCTCGCTTTCTTGTAATTAGTCGATGGAGAACACTTAGATACTAACCTTCTTACTTAATACTTTTTGTATAATTAAAACAAGTGTATTTTAATACTAAACAAGTCTGTTACATGATAATAATAATACTACCCTCGTCTTCAATATCGAAAACTATATAACTGTAATATATATTATTAAGAAAATTATAAATTTAGAAGACAAAATGGATTGAGATCATCTATTTAGAATTAAAGCCAACTCCTAACTAGCTTTTATCTTAAAAAACAGGAGGTAGCTTATGAAAAATCCGTATATCTTGACCAATTGAGGACTTCAAATGTGACTCTCTTAAAATTTATAGATATTCAGCTCATTTCCACTGTTTTTAACTACTGCGCTTGTTTATTATTTGTCTCTATGACATAATCATATCCTTTAATTTTATCCCGCGATCAAACAATTCTGATTGTGGAGGGCATAGCTAGAAAATTAAATTCATGGCTAACAACTTTAGGTGAACAAATTCTTTTAACCACTCTCACACACATACGTTATACATGTGTGTCTGTGTGAGATCAAAACCTTAAGCCCTCTGGTTTTGAAGGTCAAGATTGAAAGTAATCCCTTGCTTTTTTTTTTTTTTTGTCTTTCGTATAAAAAAGTTTAAGTGAGTTGGGTCTTGGAGGTTTACATCGAGCCAAGATATATCTTCAAACTCAGAGAAAGGCTTCCAAAGATACTTACAATCGCTCACCAATAAGATTTTTATATTAGTAACGGGTTTCAGACCTATGATATTGTTATTTATAAATCGAGTCCTTGTCAACCGAACGAACTATTGTTGGCTAATATCGTGTTCTTAAAAGGCTGATAAACTGGACTAGGATATGGGCTGAAGTGCTCGTGGTCTGAGTTTTGGTGGGAGGCTTCATAAGAGTAGGCCTAGTAACTTGCAAGAGCAAAGGAACTTGGGCCTAGAAATGGTGGATCAAATTTTACGTCTTATTATCCCCACAATGTTCAGTCCACGGGTGACTCTCTTTTTCACTTCGAAGTTTCTTCCCAAGCCTTTTGGGTTTTTTATTTTTTTGGGGTCAACTTTTGGGAGCAGATGAGATGGCGGCAGAACCACGCAACAGAGGTTTCGGAAAAAATCACAATAGAAACTCTTATCCCCAACGAACCAGCTTCCCAACTCCGCTTCGCTTTCCACTTTATCCCAAATCCCCACACAGTCAATCAGTCATCACCTTATTAATTTTTTTTATTAAAAAAATGTCACAACACAGCCAATATATATGGGATGACAATATTTTCATACATTTCAAATAAATAAGAATTAATCTCGCTGTATATAAATAATACATGAAAAAAAAAATCCAAGAACACACTGACACGATCACTTTTTCGTTAGGAGGTGAATGCGTAATACTGGTAAGAACACAATGAATGCCCCGATAGGGAAGTGGTTGGGAGTGCTTTCCATATGATGGTAAATGTGCTCCTACTTTAGCTGGTTAAAAAAAATAAATGTGCTTGTAGTTTAATCATATAAAAGATTTTTCATAAATGGGAGGTTGTGGGCAGCTTCCACCCTGCTTATAATTTCCAACTGTCCGTACTTGTCATTTTAAGTATAAAAAATGCTGGCTTATATTAGCCTATCATTCTCCCTTAATTTTTTAAATTAAAAAAAGAGAAAATAAAAGAAGGAAATTTAAATATATAAATGCATGGGATGGACGGACAATGGCCATATGTGGCTAAGCTCTGATCCGTAGGGACCCAGCTGCCATTCAACCTGCAATTTAAGCCAATACCCTCACACCACCCAGGGTACCCTCCGCCTCAGCATTGCGTGTCACACATGTTCTCTTGTTCTTCTCTCTCCCAGTGTCCATCACGTCTTGCAAAAACTAGTTACTTCCTCAGCTCATAAATATAAAAACTAGCTAAGTGGTTTAATTTTGTTTTAAATGTAATAAGGCCTCCGTTTACTTTGCTTTTTTTTTAAAAAAAAAAAGTTATAATTTTCCCCCACATTATACATGTTAAGATGTTTTCACATCATTAGGCTACAATACACTTATAAAAGAAATCATGCCCTTAAAAAAAAAAGGGGAGAAATAAAAGATGCTCCATGAGTAGAAACTGACCAATGTGAAGACAAAGGAGCACGTGCATGATTATTAATAAATGTATAAAATTTGTAAAAACAATGGCTTCACTCTATTTACTACTGCAAGCCGCGACAATATAATATAGTAACTCAACAGAAATTTAATATAAAAACAGGGGCCCCTAAATTTATATCCAAAGAGCGGAAACCCACGAAGACAGGTAGTTGCTGCTAGTAGTTATTTCCAAGTTCCGACAAAAATGGAGTCTTGCCATTAACGTAAAGCCAATCCAATTCCAATGAATACAAAACAATAGTACAATACCAGTTATCACGTGATGTTGAATACTTTGAGGACCGACTGAATTAACCAGTACTTCGTAACCACACATCTTCCTGTTGAGGCATATCATCATGTCTCATTTCTAAAAATTGTTCATACGATCCCCTTTTTTCCGACCAAAATGCACAAATGATCAACATGTTTAAAATTCAACATTTAGTGATAACTTGTCCTGTTGTGATGTGAGCCAGTTGTAAGCGGTGAAACTTAATTTTAATTTAATTACAAGAATAATGCGAGGTTGCCACTTCTAACATTAAAAACCTAAAAGAGTCGGGAAAATCTCATTTCCCCATAAAACCTCCGCCGGATACAAGAATAGCATCAGATCAATATGAATGAGCAAAGCTCTGGAAAGACAAGTACCCCAAAACTATGTACGTGTTCCTCCGATGTTCTGTTTCGAAAGAACATGGGTTAATAATGTTATAACATGTATGCATACTAACTAGGACCAGATCAAAACTAGACTACCAACACTGATCAGTCTCCCAGTTCATTCCAGAGTGAGCATAGCTAGGACGATACCCAGACATCGAATTTATGTTTGAAGAAGTAAGAGACGTATAGTCGAGAGGCCTTCTATTGTTATGGCCATAGAATTGCCTGTCATATTGTGCCCGCTTGTTGGGATCCGACAACGTGGAATAAGCCGAATGGATCTTCATGAACTCGTTGGCCGAGGTTTCCTTCTGATTCATGGCCACCACATCAGGATGACAAGTTCTCGCAAGCTTCCTGTAAGCGGCTTTTATCTCGTTGCAGCTGGCACCCACTGAGATCCCAAGCACGTCGTACAGAGAAGCGGAGGAAGAGGAAGCCATGCCCTTGAATGCTCTGTTTCCTCTGTTTTCAGTTGCCGTGTAGGAGGCAGAGATTTTCCCGGAAAATAAGCTTTCTGGGCTCTAGAGGCTTTGCGATGAGCAGGTTGAAAGATGGTCTGGGAGAAAAGGGTGGAATTACAGGAAGAAGATAACATTGGGTGAGGCTTGTGGAGGCAGAAACGGTGGCATGGGAGTTTATATAGAGCAATGGGTACTCTACCAAGTAATACGCGGTTACTGGTGACGTGGCTGTGAATGGGCAAATGGGAGTGAAGGTGTACTCTTTTGTCCTCATAAATTTAAAAGAGAAATCCACTTTCACCCTTCCTGTTAAGTCTAAACTCTAATTCGTAATATTTGATTCAGTGTAATTTAATGATACTTATAAGATAACTAAAAAGAGGCCTCGTGCGGGGGGTGGGGGTGAGAGTTTAAAACGGGGGAAGCGAAGAAATGATAAGGAGGAAACTTGGGTGATAGGAGACGAGCGGAAGTGGATGAGGCTGCCTTTGTGGAAGTTAATGTTTGGGAAGAGGTTTATCCATTGGGATGCGCTCCCATGCTGACTCAGTCTACTGTACGAATGGATAGGCTTGCTCTTCTCTCCTGGATTCCGGGGTCCCACCTTTTGTTTATTTTATTTCTTTTTTCCCCCTAGAGAGCTGAGAGATTGTTAATGAGCTTTTATACATTATATGAGTTCTTTTCTGAAAAATGAGTAAACAGGGTTCTAGAATTTTAATTAATTAAAATTTTAAGTCTATTTTTTAAAAAGTGAACTCAATAAATAGACTGTAGATGTTCTACGATATGACTTGGATTTTTTTTTTTGTGGCCAAATTGTTGAATTTAGCGTTTAATGCGACATAATTTGAGAATAAGTCGGACTTATCACATATACATGATGCAATTTATTATTAAAATGCTTTGTATCATATATGTGCGAAGCATGGGGCCCGGATTCCCCAAGGGGCAGTGAATTTACATTTCTTAGGTTCCATTCCATTAGAGTATGTTTGGTAATGATTCATGAGGCGGACCTTTAGCAAAAAGCGACCTTTTCTCCTCAGGTCATGGGTCGCCGAAATGATAAACAACTCAGCAATTAGCTCCAGAATCTATGGATAATCCCTTCGTCAATCAATCACAAATTAACACAGTAGGAGCAAGTACTTGATCTGCTGATTTATGATCCAGTTCCCCAATCCGATAGAAAGCCCATGATACTATTATTGTCGTGTATTGATGACTCTCTGTTCCAACTTTCAAAAACATGTTAACATTTTCTTAAATTCGTGTAAACTGAAAACTCAGTTAAATTTATTGGTTTGTTCGTTGAATTTTTTTTTTTTAACGTTTTTATCTTATAAAATCGTGTGAACTCACTCTTAAATTCATTCTAAATTTTTTTATTTAATTATGTTTAATGATTTTATATATGAATTTCATAAAACTTATTTGTTAAATATGGTAAAATATGAATGTTAATGGATTTAATTTCAATTATTTAGATTTAAAACATATTTAAATTAAATTGTTGTCATTTTTTAAATTCTAATTACTTAATTATATACTTCTAATATCAATTTATTAGTAAACGTAAATTCTTATGAGTTTATGATTCAGGTTCACAATCTGAGTTTAAATCCCATTACTAATTTACTTAAACTTATAAGTGTGACAACCTTGCATAATACTACACATTTTTCACTTGAATTTTGGATAAATTTGTCGGTTTTTCTGAAAAAAGTATTTGATCTGCCCTTCTTTTTTTAATTTCTTAATCTTTTTTGTGATATAAAATGGAGATTTTTGTTTTTGCCAACAGATATATGTGGGACATAAATTTTGAGAGTAAAAGAACGGTGTTCTGCTTGCGTGATTACTTGCTAAATAAAAGGAAATGGAACAGACACGTGTACGGTAATTTGAAACATGGATGGAAGGCTGATGAATTAATGGCAGTATATATCATCAATCCAAATTAGCGTCTAATGATGAATGGATGGAACCTATCGTCCGTCGGTTCAGCTGGCGAAGGAGTGAGACATATGACTAAGTTGGTATGTGTTTGATCCTTGGAGAGTATCACTTTGTTGTGGTTTTAGTCGCGGCGCTTGGAGAGGCATCCTAGCTCCTGGGTGCCCAGGTAAACGCCTGAGGGTAATTGATGGCTCGCCCTGCCCAACATTGGTATGACCTAGGAGGAAGGGAGATTTCGCCCTGCCCTTGGATCGTGGGTGAGCCCAGCCCCTTTCCAAAAATTTTTGTATCAAAAAAAAAATGATGAATGGATGGATCTAATCCAAAAAAAATAGATCGTGTGGCCTGCCTGCATTAAGGTTGACTGGCTAAATGAATAGCAGATCGCCAGAAATTGGAAATTCAAGGGCCCCCCAGCTTTAATGCCACCCGGCGCCCACATGCCCAGTGGCCCTTCACCTAGAAGAACGTGATTGATTTTATCCGTTTTAACTTGAATTCAGTTCAATATCCAGTCTTTTTTTTTAAAAAAAAAAATTTTGTTTGTAATTATTTATTTTCTCCTTCGCCACACTTTTTAATATATATGTGTGTGTATTAAATACAAGAGATTCCATTTTGAGTCCTTGAATTTATGAGCAGCATTCTGTCTAAAAATGGTTGATGTTGATTTTTTTTCTCAAAACTAATTAAATGCATTGAGAAAAATATTAACATGAAATTATATTATAAGCGTTACAGACACACAGGAAAATAACGTAGACTTCATGGAAGAGCTTTTTGCCAAAAAAAAAAAAGTTGTGTTGTTCATGTTTAGCATTTTGTTTTAAACTTGTAATGATCCATGTGCTTTGGTGGGAGAGATAACTTCACTCATACAAACTACCTTTCATTTTGTTTCTCCTGGCATCTCTTTTAATACAGTGTAAATCATATTTTCTTTTGGTAGTAATGAAATTCATTATTATTTACCAAACAAATTAAATTTACTTGAATCGTGCCTAAGATCAATTATATCACAAGATAGACTAATTATAGCCTGTATTATCTGTCGAGAGTTAAACGTTAAAATCATTTAATTATGCAACTTTAAGAACTGATTTCACAGTTCAAAGTGATTAGAAAATGATACCAGGATTAATACTCTGTAATCTGTATAACGCACTAGGCTTCTTACATAATGCTAATTTCTTCACTTGGAGTCCTGAGGGAAGATTGGGATAAGCATTGATTGAAAAACATGCTCAAAAAAAGCACCAACTAAGAAATATACGATTTACGTTTTGCATTCTGCATCTTTCCGTTGTTTGACATATTCTTTCGGGAAAAAAAAGATAAGAATTCTCATATGAAAACTTCATTATTAAAAGATGATTAGACAATTCCCGGATGGAATTAAAATTAAACTTTTAAAAATATTTTTATAATATATAAAATAATTTATCTTGAAAAAGTGTTTTAAACTTTTTCATGATTAGCAAACAAACCTGTTGCTTTTACTGTGATCTGTGCTATTTTGTCCTTGGCTCATTTTTAAAGGAGTGTTTGGAAACACTTAGAGGGTGTTTGGAAACACTTAGAGGGGTAACCCTCAAAGGTGCTTCTCAGAAGCATTTTTTCATAAAACGAGACAAACTCCTTCACATATTTACTTCGTAAACCGTAAAAGCATTTCTGAAACTATAATTTAGTTTCTATCCAAACACTCCCTTAAAAATGTTTCTGAAAAACACTTTTTTATAAAATGAGACAAATTTTTTTACATATTTATCTCGTGTATTGTAAAATTATTTTTAAAATTATAGTTTGATTTCCATCCAAATATCCCTACTTCCCACACCATTTTCACCTCTCCAGTCGCTTTCAGACACATCTATCCTATCCCTAAGCCCGACACCATTTTCACCTCTCCAGTCGCTGAAATATATTTTACGCCAAAATAACACCCCAAAAATATGTTGTTATATCACTCTATATATAATAATAAATTCCATCCCTCCATATTTATCCTTTCTTCTTGAGCTTATATTTCACTTTAAATCATGAACAGTTCCATTTAATTTTCAAACTCCAGTGGTCACAGATTCTACATATACAATCCATAGCTTACCGTGATTGTTACGGATTCTTGCACATGAAGTTGCCCACCACCTCTTCTACGGATAACCATCAAGGACACTCACCCGTTTACTTGCTTTGCCCCACACCCCTTCATCTTCTCATTCCTCCATGATTAATTGTTACCTTCTTCACGATGCATGTCTATATTTTCAGATTTCAAATTTAATGCTATCCGTAAAATTGAGACGTCCTTGTAAATTGGGACCCAGATGATGTCTTGGGACAGTGATAATTGGTTGCGATTGAGGTTCACCTTCAACCCAAAGATTCTAGAAGTAATTAGACTAATGATTTATGCTTATAAAAATAATTGATCTTGATATTTATATTTCCACTGAAAAATGTAGTATAATCCAGAAAAAGGGTCACCTTATAATTATAAATATAACTTTAAAATCGCATTTCACTTGATTAAATCACAAAAAAAAAACCCATCTTTTTTTCCATGCCAACAAAAACCCCATCATTTTTTGGTCTTGGATTCTCTCGCTTTATTTTGGACTTGGTACAGGCAGTGGGGCAGCAATGCTACAACTATAAGACAACATGCGGACGCCGCAGTCCAAACATATACAGAGAGAGTACATCGTTTTTGTTTTGGGCTTAAAGCCCTTTTATAAGCCACATGCCCAATTCTCGGCTAAGCCCATTTATCATTTTTCTCATTATTTTAAGAAAAAGAAAAGAAATATCTGAGGACGCAGCAGAATTTTCAGGCCAGAAAAACCAAAAATTCGTGGCGTTTTGGCCTGCGCCCCTCCCATGAAGTCCCTTGTTGTTTCCCAGAAATACCGAATCGACCAAGGGCGGAGCTAGAGGAGAAAAGGGAAACCAAAGCGTGAAGAGGCAAAAACGTCGGGCTTTTCATATTTACCCGCGTCTCTCTGTTCCCTCGAAAGTGCTTAGCCGTGTTCCCACTTTCCGCAAAGAACTCTGAAAATGGGGAGCAAGAAGAGGAAGAGGAAGAGGAAGGAGGAGCGACCCACTATTCATCCCAGGAACAAGTACTCTGAGAATCCCCCCGACTTTGCTCAGTTAGCTTCTCTCTACCCATCCTTCCAACCTTTTGTCTACTACTCTCATGACGGTTGTCCCAACATCGATTGGACCGACTTTAACGCGACCCGAGAACTCACCCGCATTTTGCTTCTCCATGATCATTCTCTTAACTGGTAATTCCCTTGGTTTTGCTCCAAATTGAAAATTCTTACTTTGTGTTGCTATACGATGCATTTGTTTTCTTGTATGCCTTTCTGTTTACCATAACAACGTCTTTCATTAGCTGCTTCAGTTGAAATAATCGGGGTTTGGCGTGTCTTGGGAGTATTGAAATAAAGTAAAGCTACATTGATGTCATCTGCTGACTCTGATTCCTACTGAAAAATTTCCTCTTGTTTTATCCTTTTGATTTCGTTGGGTCGAATGGAGATTTTTAGCAATTATCTGTGTTGTTCATATAGTGAAGGCTGCAAATGCAGTCCAATTCTCTAATGAGCGGAGGACTAATGCAATGTTTGGTATGGGAAAAGTGTTTTCTAGAAAGGAAATGGAAAATGGGGAAATGTACCTATTCCATTTCCTTTCTAGGTGCATGCCCCTTTTCTTTTCTAGAATACACTTTTTCCCGTACCAAACATTGTATAAAAAATTGAATTCTACCTATTGAAGGGGTTGTGATGTTCCAACAGTGTTCTCTTCGACAAATTATTGATTCTGTCTGGTTCTACGGCAGGGAAGCCTGTGTTGACATTCTTTTTTTTTTTTTCAATTTCTAGGTGGATTCCTGATGGGCAGCTCTGCCCCACTGTACCCAACAGGTCTAATTACATCCATTGGGTCGAAGATCTTCTCTCTTCTGACATTATTACACATACTTTTTCAACTGGAGGCAAGGTGAGAGGATTTGACATAGGAACTGGAGCAAATTGCATTTACCCGCTTCTTGGTGCATCTCTTCTAGGCTGGAGTTTTGTAGGTTCAGGTATATAATCTTGAGTGGTATTGCTGTATTTCGGGTCTTTAGCTGGACCTTCTATGGTATTTTTTTCTTTTTTGGCAACTCCTGTGCACTTCGGATTTAGTACTAAACTTCACTCAAACGGCTACAGATGTGACTGACGTTGCAATAGAGTGGGCGAGCAGAAATGTTCACAGTAATCCACATATCTCTGATTTAATTGAAATTAGAAAGGTTGAAAGCAATGAAAACGCTGTCTCTGTTGAAAGGCATCATGGAGAGTCAGTCTGTGATGAAAATAAGATAGATTTGGGTGGGGATTGTCGTGCAGAGGTACCTCCTGAGTCTTCATTACCACTTGATTTGCGTTCCAGCTGTGATAATAATTATTATGGACCACCCATACTTCTTGGTGTAGTCAGGGATGATGAAAAGTTTGATTTCTGCATGTGTAATCCTCCATTTTTTGAAAGTTTAGAGGAAGCAGGACTTAATCCAAAAACTTCTTGTGGTGGTTCTCGGGAAGAAATGGTTTGCCCTGGTGGAGAGAAGGCCTTCATTACTCGTATTATTGAAGATAGTGCTGCACTTAGGCATTCTTTTCGGTACTATGATTTGTTTGTGAAAAAAATCAATTGCAATTTCCGACATTTCTGTGATAAATTGACTGGAAATTAATGCTTATTCTTGTTTATAGTTGGTTCACTTCAATGGTTGGGAGAAAATCAAACCTCAAGTTCCTCACATCGAAACTTTGGGCAAGTGGAGTCGCTATAGTGAAGACAACTGAATTTGTTCAAGGCAAGACATGCCGGTGGGGACTAGCTTGGTCTTTCTTGCCTCCAAGGCAGAAGAAGATACCAACCTCTATTCCTGAGAAAACTAACATGTCTTTTATGCTTGAGGTGTGTTATTTTTATCGCAATATTTAAGAATTACATTTCTTTGGGGCTACAAATAATCTTATTGGTTGTCTTCCCGTGCCAATCGTATGATGATGTAAATAAAGAGTAACAATTTGCGTAGAAAAACTGTCAGGAGACTTGTCTGATTATGTCTTATAATGCATTGGGACCATGGGAAAATAACTAATAATGCACTCCAAATATGGTTACACATTATATGGCATAATAAGAAATGATTTTTTGGAAGTTTTGTTATTCACATTAGTCATTTATTTTTCAAGCTGTTTTCTAACAGATTTATGCAGTATATCGTAACGAGTAAGCCATTAATTTAAAAATTTATTCAATAACAATCTCACTTGTAGATTTTCTGGATTCAAATTATTAGTCGGATCATGAGAGTGTGGATTTGTACAATGTAAGTTTACTAGCTTAAAAAAGTCTTCGTGATAGTTTGATGGAAATGTAGTAAATTCTGAAACATTTTCGACTAAGCTGTAAAGGGAGACCACTGTGGCTAGTGTTAATTTAGGAACCTTAAATGACAGCTTGTAGAAGGTTTTTCTTTCTTTCTTTCTTTTTTTGGTTGGCCTTCAATCAGTGCATATGTAATATCCTTATATTTTACCTTATTATTCTAATTACTATACCAAATGTAAACTTGTTAAGGGTGGGTGAGCATTCAATTTTTGCACTCTTTGTTCAAGGTCAACATTGTTGAATGGGCTGACCAGTCCGGGGGAAATTATGGCTGCATTTGTGTGTCAATTGCCAGCACGAAAAAAGTTGATATTCAATTTGAAAAGTTTAGATGTTTCCATTATTAAGATATACATATGCTGTTGCCTATGATTAGGCTTCTGTTCTTTCATATAGTTTATATTCCTGCTCATACGATATACTACTTATTTTCTCCTGTTGTTGGCTTGTTGCCTATAAAATTTTATAATGGGAATGATTTTTCAGCGTCTTCAGCGACATCATGGTGCCATACATGTGTTGGAAGCTGTTGAGTCCTACTTCACTTTACACAGCTTACCCTGTACACTGAATTCCTCCTCTTTCACAGTGGATGTAAGACGCACTACTCTATCTCTTTCACACTGGATGTAAGACGCACTACTCTATGTTTGATGGCTATTACACTCAATCTCATTCATAGGTCGAGGCATCAAAAGATGAGTGTGATTCAATATTGATGAATGAGTTGCCACTTATTCATAAAGGTGCCCAATCTGAATCCGGTAGAGAGACATCTAATGGATCAAGTTATACTGACATTAGTTATGATAAGCTCCGCTTCCGTGTTTCGGTATGTTTCTGTTTCTTTACTGACATGAGATATGATATTTATTGGGAAAATTTACATTGGCGCTTGCTATCTTTCCATAATAAAGGTTTTCCAGCAAATTCCTGGGACGCTACTGGTGAAAGGTTCATTGCAAGAAAAGAGTAGCCCACTATCAGGTGTTTGTGCAACCTGTATTTCTAATTTTAATTTATCTGTACATTTTTTCAGTTTTATTGGTATTTTGACCCACAGGTGACTCTAGAGGGTTTTGGAGGAATACATTGTACTGTGCATATCATAAGCGTTGTGTGTCTGATTATCTAGGTCAAGAGAAAACAGTATACTTCTATTTCTTTCGCTATTCTTATGCATCGTCTGCCCCTATCTCTTCACCTTCCTCCATTGGTTTCCCGCATTTGGACTACATTCTCATTTCTGGAGCATTGAGCTGGAGAATATACTGAATGAACAAAGCACTCAGTTGTTGCTTATTCTCTTTGCAGGAGCATTCTCGTTGATATTTCAAAAAATGGAGGAAGATTTGCGGAGTAAATTTTGTATAGATAAAAAATCAGCTTAGGATTTGATTTTTTCTTCTTCTTCTTCTTATTGGACTACAAAGGCTATGAAAATTTGTGCAGAGAAAGACTAGCGACCTCGTTGACAACTTGTAGCTCGTAACAAATCTCATGAGAAAGTAAATACACTCTGTAGGAGGATTATGGGTATTCATAATAAGCGTAGGATTTGATTTTGAGTCATACGTAATTGGAGCTTACCGATATGTAACGCATGTACGTACCTACAGGAAGTTGCGAAGTTATATTAGAGTGGAGTGAAGGCTCGGTTATGCTTCATTGCTTTTGGATAGATGTTAGTTTCAATTATTGGGTTCGGCTTGTGCTTGTTTGAATCGAAGGGGAGTGTTGATTTGTCTGTTGTACATTAATGGCTGGCCATTTCTTTATGGAGATATATTTGCTTTGCTGTATGGCATTGATGGTTACGTGACAAGAAGGACTCTACCAATCATCTTTTTTTTTGGTTTGCCAACCGGACTCTGCCAATTATTGAATTTCTGCCTCTTCGAAAGTATCAACCCTTCAATCATGTTGGCTCATGAAGCGCCTTGCAAGATATTTTCTCTGTGGTCTATGGGATTTGGAATTTGAAAGAAAATAATGTGCGTAATGCATGCTTAGGTGGAATCACGGTTTGATTTTAGTCTATTAGAATATTAAGAGATAATGCTTGTCGAACTCGTGGCTTGATGGGAAGAATGTTCTACTTTCTCCTCTCAAATCATGAGTTTGAATCGGTCAAGCGCACACAACACAATACTTAAATAATGGTTAGGTATTTAAGTGTTAACGGTGAAGTCTTCCAGAATGCGTAGCTGAGATGCATATCTTGATGTGCCTATTTGTTGGTGAATTCGTTCACCTTTCCCTTCCCCCTTTTTTCAATTTATTCGGTTAGGCATTTAGATCTTTCTATTATAGACAATCCTGTCTCACATTAAATATGACTCTTCTCTATTTTCATTTGTCATGGTCGGTCACTAAATATGATCACATCTTCTTGTTCTTGTGACAATCACTCCATTAACTGCTTATGTTGAGTAAGCCTGCACAATATTATGTTATAAATACATTTTTGTTAAATTTATGATTTCAATAGAAAGTTAATCGCCCATGACCCTCAAGCTAAACTAAGGGTAAATTAAGGCTTATTGTTTCGTAATTTATCTTGGTAAATTGACTAAATTCAGGAAAAAGAATTTAATGAAGTCCCTGCAACGGATTCTTTAGCTAAACCCTATCACCAAGGGGGGAAAAATCATGGGTCGGCCTATGCCGTCTCATTCACCCACCATCTGGGGTAATCGACTAAGTATGCCATTTGGTCCAACTAAAATTAATCATCAACATTTGTGATAAATCAATAATCAATAAGTTTCGAAATCAACTTGAATAAATAAAAAATGGTTCACAACATACATGACACATTTTTTACTGGAACTGGACCCCGTTGCGGACTTCAATAAATTTACATGCCACAAGTGAGCGTAACGTGTTCACTTTAGGCATCACATTACAATTGACAAAGAACCCAAATGACGGGAGACATGTACATGACAAACAAAAGCCATTACAGAGCGATGCAGAACAATGGCGACGTGGAAGGTGGAATTGGAATCCCAGACCCAATCAAGAACGGATCTTTTATGGCAGATTCAGGCTTTGCCTTCAACCCTTGCATGGGTGAGCCCTACACAAGCATCCACAAAATCTTCATCTATAAAGTCCGTAGAAAATACCTGCAACCTGTCTCCAATCCCCTTGGAATAGCACTGCGATATAAACAATCTGTTATAGGCATGGATCCTTCCCGTCACTGGTTTCACGCACACAACTGGGTTATCCGCCACCGGCGTCACCGTATTCTCCACCCTGTAAAAGTACTTCCTCGACGTTGCCGCCGGCTGCTCCCCCAGGTGCTTCAGATTGCTCTCGAATTTCGTCGATGGCAGATCAGTCTCGATCCAGTTATCCCTCAAATACCCTGCGCTCCATAGCGGACTCCCTGCTCCCGGACGAGCCGATTTTCTCGGCTTCCAAACACATATGATCCTCTTCGGCAACACTTCCGCTATAGTCTTCTCAAACACGTGGTCGTCCTGGTGGATCAGGAACTCCCCCAGCTGTTCAACTAAGTACTTGCCGAAATCGGGCGGGTCTTCGTGCCCGAACTCCGTTCGGATCTCCAGGATTATGATCTCCGATTGGGTTTCCGATAGGAACTTCTTGATGTCCTTGATCACGACGTCGACGCTGTAAGTGGTGAGTATTCCGTGGCAGACTCGTCGGTTCTTCTCGATCCTGACGTCGAGGACCCGGGTCCCCGTGACGAGCTGTTGGTAGATTGACAAGGATTGGCATTGAGCGAAGGGACGAGTGATGAGAGGGATTCCGATTTTGTTAGTCGCAGAATCGTGCGTTCCTGGCCAAACAATCTTGTTGATATGAACTTTCTCTGGGCCAAGCTCAGACATCCAGTTTTTCCTATCTTGGGGTCGAAATTCAGCGCCAGGGTAGTCTTCGCCGGAGACTTTGAGATCAGCCAGAACTTTCTTCTCCGTTCGGATTTCCTTTCTCCGCTTAATTTGTTTGGAACATCCAGAACCCATGTTCAAAGTACAAGGAGAAGAACAAGATGGCGATGATGAGGAGGAGGAGGAGGAAGAAGAAGAGGGAGAATTCCTAGTTCTTGCGCGTCCACGGGTAGGAAGCTGATGAAGGAGAAGAATTGCCAGGTGAGAGTATCAACAGATGAACATAAATAAATTAAAGCAAATAACGAATGATGAATTGGTGAGTGGACATAGGATTGATGAGTTATGATTTTCTGTTTAATTCACTTTATTTGTCTGTATATATATTAATATCATAATGGATTGCAGTTGATACAGGAAAACGCTGAATTAGTAGCTTGTAAGAAATGGTTTGTTTAGTTGCACTTAATCTGTTAAATATAGATATAGGAAACTAATTACGAACCAACGTGTATAAACGACTCAGTAATATAATACTTCATATTCCCCAATGATCTATTCTTATAATATGATATGATTTGATGATACATCTCACGTTGAAGTTGTCGAATTTAAAATCTGATCCTTACATGCACAAATGTAATTAAAAAAAAAAGTAAGTATTGTTTATCATGTAACGAGTTTTTGAACAAAATAATATTTGATAACAAAAATTTAAGAATTACATGCAACTTAATTATGTGTTGATTTCGCCTGATTTAATTAAAAAGGAATAATAATTAATTGATCGATGTATGGTTAAATTGGGGTGCTCCTTGTGCGGGCCAGTTGATGTCATTATTGGTGGGGAGCCATAGTCGAGGGTTTATCTGTGGTTGGTCCACTTGGATGGATGGATGGATGGCCAAACTTTCTTTGTCTTCCAGGATATGATCACTGTCTCCCTGTCATATTAATTATAAAATAAAATAAGCTTTTGTCAAACCAAAGCAAAAACGAGTGCAATAAAAATAAGGAAAAGAATTAAGCAAGTTCTTATATCACTTCTGTCGGATCCCGCAGCACTTTTACGACCCAACTTGTTTAAAGACGTCTTTTCCTTTCATGACTTTAAGAAATTTCAGCCCACCCAAAGGGGGGGGGGTTTTAAAGGAAGAAAATGGTTTATCTACTAACTTCTCATGTTCACATGTACTGGTTTTATTCCTACAAGCAACTTATAAGGAGTATTTAGGTAGAAACAAAATTATAATTTTAAAAGTGTTTTTACGATATACGAATTAAATATATGGAAGAGTTTATTTTGATTTGTAGAAAAATGTTTCTGAGAAGTGTTTTTGGGATCACCTAAACACCACCTAAATTTAATGTTTTATTCCGAATAATTATTTTCATTGTTTTATTTATATATCCAGCGTGTTAGTTTTAGCTTCTTCTAGTCTTTTGTTGATCCCAAACATCATTTGGATTTATTATTTTTTAATTTTTGCCAACATCATTTGGATTAGTGCGAATTTATTAATATTTGAAAGAAAAACAATAAAGAAGAGCTTGTATGTATGTATATACGAGTATGATAACTTCTATCTTTATTCATTCTCTACTTTCTTTTTATCATTTTCTAGACACGCTACAAATTTTTTTTAGAGATGATATGATCTCTGATTTCTCAAGTTTGTTCTTATTTTAGTTTAGTCCCTTAAGTTTCAAATAATAAGTTTTGGCCCTGATTTTATTGAATTATAGGTTCAATATTTTAAATAAAAAGAAACTTAAGGGATCAAAACTTATGATTTAAAACTTAAGTCAAAACTAAAATGAGAATAAATGTGATGGACTAAAAATTATATTAACTTATTTTTTATCAGTTAAATCTGTATGAATCTCCTCTCAACAGAACCTATTATTTGTTCTTACTTCTCGATCAATGAAGAAAGAAGTGGATAATGGTTTCACTCTCATTGAGAAGTTGCCAAATTGAGTTGGGATCCACTCTCATTAAGAAGGGAGAACAAACAAATAATATTACCTCTTGTTTTCAATATAAAAGTGAGATTATTAATTTACAAATATTAAAAAAAATTAGTTAAATTAATTATTTATTATAAACATATGCTGATTTGAGTATCTTTTATAATCATGTGCAATAAAATTTTGGTGGATTCTTTTTCAATCACTGAAGATATTTAAAACTAAATAAATTAACTAATTGTTTGGATGGGAAGAAAAGTTGAGAGGAAAGAAAATGAGAGGAGAGAAAATGGAGAGAAATTATTATTACCTTTCATGTTTGGATAGACAAGAGAAAATAGAAAGGAAAGAAAATGAGTAAATATATGAATGACTAAAATACTTTTTTTGTTATATCAAAATATATCTTGATTAAAATCAAATAAATATCATAATGAAAAACCATATTTATATTAACATAATCATATAATTTAAAATCAAATTATTTGATAAAGATATATTATCATGTTATTATATTTTAATATCAAATACTTTTGTAAAAAAAAATAACATTTTGTGTAATGTTATGCTAAAAAAACCAAAACAACAACTCTACTTGTTTTTCCTTTCGGTTCATTTTAGAAGGATTTTTTCAATTTTAGTTATTTTATGTTTCAATCAACCAAACATAAAAAAAAGACTTGATAATAATAAACAAAGTGCAAAAATAAAAAAAGGTATTATTTGCTGAAAAAATATATGTAAGGGTAGAGAGAAAAAATATGTTTTTTTTTCTTATTTTCTCTCCATATATAAAAAAAAAGTTGAGAGAAAAATGGGCGGTAAAACCCACCTCATTTTCTTCCTAACTTTTCTTTCTTCCCATTTTTCTTCCCTCATCTAAACAGGAAAAAAAACCACTTCTCTCTTTATTTTTTTCCTTAGTTTTCCTTCCTCTCTTGTTTTCTCTCTATCCAAACATTATTATAGATGGAATCAAATTCAATTGGCAATAGCATGTTACAATCAATCAATATGTGTTCTCACAACGGACACTTGATATGAGAAAAGACAAAAAGAGTCCAATCCATAACACAAGCGACCTCTTTAACCAATGAGCATCAGAGTTTGACCAAAACAGGGAAAGACAGAAAGAAAGAAAATAGCTCCACGGGGACTCCAAGGCAGAATGTCAGAATGTGCTGGTCTGTTTGTGAAAGATGGCCAACCTAATGGAATTAAAAAAAAAAAAAAGATGGCCAACCTAATCCACCTTGACAAGCCTTGGATCAGGAGAATGCGCAACCAAACGGCAATAATTTTGACAAATATTTCCATTTGCTCGAGTTAGAAAATAGCAAATCCCGTGGTGCTTCCAACTAAAAACCTGTTTAGAATAATAGTGAAAATCTCTTATAAGTATGTTTTATATAAGTTGAGATAAATTTTTTTTTTTACATATTTACCGTATATTTTGTAAATAACGATTGAAAAGCTACATATAAACTGTTTTAAATGGGCACTAAGACAACATCTCTAAAGCGATTTTTTTTTTGGACTGACTCTAATATTCTGCTTGGATGGGAAGAAAAGTTAGAAGGAAAAAAATGAGAGAAGAGAAAATAAAGAAAAGAAAAAACTAAAAAGAAGATATTATCATCTCTCTTGCTTGGATAGATGAGAGAAAAGAAAATTAACAAATATCTAAAATAACTAAAATATCGTTATCAAAATATATCATTTTTAAAATTAAATTAAATTAAATATTGCAATAGAAAAATTATACTAACATTAGCATTATCAAATAATTTAAAATCAAGTTATTTGATTTATATATATTTTCACATTATTATATTTTAAAACCAAATTATTCAATAAAAATATTGTTTTTAAGATAAAAAAAGTGAATAACTTTTTAAATATAATAAAAGAAAATAAATACGGAGAGAAAGAAAGATGATGGGCAGTTATGAAATCTTGTTTTCCTTCCCAAATCTCTTCATATATGGAGAGAAAATTTGAAGAGAAAATGAAGCATGGGACTCACTTTATTTTCTCTCCCACTTTTCTTTCTTTTCACATTTTCTCTCCTATCCATAATCTAAGCAGGAGAAAACTTATTTCTCCTCATATTTTCTTTTCTAGTTTTCTCTCTTTTCTAATTTTCTCTCAATCCAAGCAAAAGGTAAAGCTGGTGCTTATTTCCTGGGAAAGGAAAAAGGGAAAATTGATACGTTAATTTCCTGAAATTTATCTCATCAATTGAAAGAAAAATACGCAAAAAATTTGGGAATAAAAGGAAGCATAACGGCTTTCTTGAAATCTACTGACTTTCCCCACGTCAATTCCCTTCCTCATTCCTCCCTCGGTTTTTTCCCCAACCCAAGGTCTTTCGAGTGTGCCAATGCGAAGGTTTTTCGTGTCTTGACTAGAGGCCAATGTGAAGCCGTACCACAGAAATCTGTAAACCCTAAGGTTACATTTGGTAGGAAGTATTGAAAATAAGAAATTAGGATTTGGATTATAATTGAGAAAATCTATTAAAAGAGTATTTAGTATAAGAGATTGCTTGTTACATGGAATTAAACAAATTCAGAGAGGTGGAAGAAGTGGTATTCCCACCTCTATGAGTTTGTTTAATCCCATATAATAAGTAATTACTGATGCCAAATACTATTTTAATAATTTTTTTTAATTGCAATCTCAATCTCAATTCCTTATTTTCAATGTTTCGTACCAAACGAAACCTAAAGGTAAAAATAACGTTAGAGAAACTCTTCTTCGTGAAGATGACCTACTGATTAAAAAGATCTCTTTCACAAGGCAATCTTCGGTAATGAGACATTGTCATCCATCTGGCTACCCAAATGACCCAAAACTGAGTGTATGGCTTCCTTCAGCGATTGTGATGCATCTGATACAGTAAAAACATGGACCCCATTGTCAATTTCTATCCAGCTAATGGCCCATTCTTTTTTCACATCTCTCTCATCCATAAGCTGTCACACTTTCTCCACCAATTCGCATTTTCCAAGAGCAGCATATATATTTGAAAGCAAAACACAGGCAAGCAGAAGATAGCTCCAGCCCAATAAGGTGATGGGCTGCTTCTCTTCCCATGTCTATGTTCCCACGAATTCTACACCACCATGCAACACATTCAAAACAGGGTCACCTGGTTTACAGTCCGTCATCCGGAGATGCTTCGTCAATTCATTGAAACATCCAGCTCACCCCAAAAGATCAATCATACATGCATAGTGATCTTCGTCTGGAGCCAACCCATGATTACGATCCGTGGAATTAAAAACTCAAGTTCTTCTTGCACAAGACCTGAATGACTACATGCATTTAGAATGACGACAAAAGTGACCCTATTTGGTCTCACTCCTGGTATTAGTATCTCTTTTTGCTAAAAAATTACTTCTATAGCATAACCATGGTGAGCTAATGCAGCAACCGTGGTGTTCCAAATCACCACATCTTGCTTGTCTCCCACGACATGGAATACTTGCTTGGCATTTTCTATGTTGCCACATTTTGAATACATGTCAATAATAGCACTAACAACAATATTATTAATTCTGATGTTATTTCGAACTAGATGAGCGTGTATTTGTCTCCCAAGTTTGAATGAAGCAATGTTTGAACAAGCAGATAGGCAGCTACTGTATGTGAATTGATCTGGTTTAGCATGATGCATGATCATCCTTCTAAATACTTCAAGTGCGTCATGACCCAAACCCAATTTGGCATAACCACCAATCAAAGATGTCCAAGAGATAGAATTCTTCTGAGGCATCTGATTGAAAAGTTCAGTAGCTGATTTCATATCCCCACACTTCGCATAACCTGAAACTAATGTAGTCCACACAAAAACATCCTTGAGGGGCATTTCATCAAATAATCTCCTAGCATCTTCCATTTTACCACACTTTGCACATGCATCAAGAATTGAACTTGATATAACCACATTGGATGAAAATTCAGCAACTAAAACCTGCCCCTGGATCTGCCTAGAAAGTTCAAATTCTTTAAATTTCACGCAGGTAGTCAAGACACCAGCGAAACTAAGTTCGTTATAGCCGATGATTCGTTTCAACGATTAGCAAAGAGACAGCGAGAGGTTGGTCTTTGAACATTTCAAGTCATTGATAATGAAGGAGACCTCATGGCCCTAGTGCAATCTGGAGCTCCGTCTCTATTGAAAATTATACACTGGAAGATATATAGTAAAAGAAAAGAGCAATGAATTTTGCTTTTACAACAGTATGTACCGTATTAATTAATGATGGTAAATTTTGCAATCTCAACATTCGATATTTTCGTTAATTATATTTTGCAGCTATTACCAATAGTCTTTACAAGAGCACTGGCCGTGCTTAAAACAATGAAAACGATTATTATCTCTCACTATAATTTCTCTACCCACAATTCTTGAGATGAACTTAATGGCACTATGACAATCTCCGCATATCCTAAGATTTTTTGTGATTCGTATGGGTACTCCTGGGGGCAGAGCTATGAGGCCAAAAGCAAGAGCAATCTTCTCACTGTGGTACCACACTTCTGAATCCTTTTCTTCTTCTTCTAAATCAAAGAGTGATAAATTCGTATCAGGTGCATATCCTGCTTCCCTCATTTCCCTTCTAAGCTCAGTTAACATCGCCTGAATTTCATCATTCCTTTCGTGAACATTATTCTTTTTGGCTCGAAATATATGAACCCGATTCTTCACAGTAATCCAACTATAACCAGCACCTTTTTTTATACCAACATCTTTCATTTCCTTCCTGACAATCGTGGCTTCTTCCCACCTGCATTAATCAATTACCGGTTTAAGTTTCAGAGGAATGGCCCCAAATTAGTCATCAAATGTTTAAGAACAAAGAAACATAATTAAAAAAAAAAAAAAAGAACTAACTGTGGTGCCGGTTAGCAAATGAAAGATGACTCATCAATATGAAAATATTACCTTCCAGCAGCAGCAAGCATGTTAGAAAGCACCACATGGTTGCCTGAGTCCTGGGGGTCAAGCTTAAATAAGTTTTCGGCCGCAATTTTTCCTATCTCTGGCTTCCTGTACATCCTGCAAGCCCCCAGTAAAGCTCCCCAGACTGAAGTAGTGGGAAGAATTGGCATTTCCTTTATAAACTCGTATGCACGCTCAACCAATCCAGATCGTCCTAACAGGTCCACAATACATGCATAATGCTCTGCTCCTGCTTCAATTCCATAGCTTTCTCTCATTGACCCAAAAATCCTCATCCCCGTCTCTACTGCTCCAGCCCTACTACACGCCGATAATACAGAAACTAGTGTCACATAACTTGGTGCCATCTCAGGCTTACTTGATGTCATTTCCTCAAATAGAGCCAATGCCATGTCGGCATTACCTTGGTGTGCATATCCACTTATCATTGCATTCCAAGTTACCAGATTCCTCTCTGGCATTTCATTAAAGACTTGCTCTGCATCCATTATACTTCCACATTTTCCATACAAGTCTACTAGCGCACTACCAACAAAGATATTCTCCTCAACACACGCTTTCAGGGCAAGCGCATGAAGTGACCTGCCCAATTCCAGTCCTCCAAGCTCAGCACAAGCACTTAGCACACCTGACACCATGAAGTCTGTTGGCTCAACTCCTTCTTTCCTTGCCTGCTGGAATACTAAACATGCCCTCTCTTCATTATTGTTTTGCACAAAAGTAGCCAGCATAGAGCACCAAGAAACATCATTCCGCCAGATAATTCTTTCAAAAACCATTTCAGCAGATAAAAGATCTTGACATTTTCCATAAAAATCAATAAGCCCATTTGAGACAGATACATCCTCCCCATATCCACTACGGATTATAAAGGCATGTAACTGACGTCCAAACTCCAAATTTTTTGTGTAAGAACATGCATTCAGAAATGCACAAAATGTTATGGAATTAGGCTCCCCACCGACACATAGTAACTTCTTAAATGCATCAAATGCATCTTGAGACCGGTTGTCAAGCACTGCATTAGAAATATATGCATTCCATGTGGCTATGTTTTTTTCAGGCATTTCATCAAACATCTTATGAGCTTCGACTCTAAGACCCATTTTGCTGTACATGTCGAAGGCACTACATCCAACGAAGACGTCGCGTATTTGACCAGCTTTCACCGCAAGGGCGTGGACTTGTTTTCCAGTAAAGGGCATATGCAATGAAGCAGAGGCTTTAAAGACACAAGGGAAGGTGAAGTCATTTGGCTGAATAGACTCATGGCGCATATTAGAGAAGCAGAGGAGAGCAGCAGCAAAACGGCCATTTTGGACACAACCAGAAATGAGGGAAGTCCAAGTAACAACAGTACGAGCATCTGTGAGTGAGAGAACACATAGAGCTGAGTTAAAATGATCAAGTTTGGAGTACATGTTGACAAGATAGTTGCAGAGAAATGAAGGGAGGGGGTTATCTAAGGTCTTGACAATCTGGGCATGGACCGCACGACCAAGTAAAGAAGACTGGGTTGAAACAGCAGAATTGAGTAAAGAACCCATCGAGTTTGAAGGCTGCAAGTGCATTATAGGTGATAATGGTAAGACTACATAGAAGCTTTTTCCGGTCTGTTTGTTTGCAAAGATTCATCTGACTTGCTCAAGTCGCAGAACACGGAAAATTTGAAATTCTCTACATTCAACTTCCTTTCCAAGTCTATTTTTATAATCACCAGATCTGCACAGCATTGCTTTTCATTAAAACCAAACAAACTATTGACAGAACAGAAACTTCAGGCATATAACCTTCGTAATTTCAATGTCAATGGTACAAGAAGTTCAGGATCGAAATAGCATTGCAGACCAAATCCATGTGAAGTATGTAATATATTATTCATCATCTTGCTACATTGAAGGGCAGCAGTGGATTCGTCAAAGCAGCTCCGGCCACCATGATTGCTGATAATGGTAAATGTAACGGGGATCAACGCTGCAACAAGTATCGCATATGAAAGTTGAAAGAGCAGATTCCTCCGCCCGGCTATGTCAGATTGGTTGACGCTAAGCGGGGTCGTGAATAAAAAACATTTGAGAAAATTAACATGAAATTTCCTATAATTTTAACGCATTTTAAATTTAGTTTTAATAGTTTTCTATTAGATTCTCATAATTTCCTTAATTAGAAGTATTGGTGCCTATACTCAACAATGTTAGTAACGCATAACGTGGCTTCTGCCAGCATATACTAGATAAATTTTATTATATGAACTTAAATAAATTCAGATTAACCAGATTGCAAATTACATATAAATACAAGATGATGATTATACATATAATAATTTTTATTTTTATATTATTAATAAATAAAGTTTAGATCATCATATTATTTTTTTAAAAAGTTGTTTTCATTTCACAACTTGCATATAATTTAGTTAACATCTTATATATAATTTAGTTAACATTTACGTCAACTCTTTTTTTTTTTTGTCAAAACATTAACGTCAACTCTAATTAATAGATGATGAGTATATGGTCCAATGCCTATAATTAAATGCACTATAAGGAGGCAATAAAAAAAGGAAAAAAAAACCTACAAAGAGCTCATATAAAATGAGGTAAAAGTATAAGCAATCACGAATTAAAATTTTCAAATATTTTTAATTCATAAAAAAAATATAACGTAAAAGCAATACAATATTCGGATAGGGTTGGATCACAGGAGTTTCAAGGCTTGAGTATGGGGCGGTTCCTAATCCCAGTTGCTTGCTCAAACCCATAAACACTCTCAATAAGCTTTGCATCAGAACCTTCAACCCTCCAAAGTTAATGCCAAATGGTGTCAGGTCCTGCGGGCACATTCACTCCTGGTAATCCTCCAATCGCTAGAACAGGAGACACAATTGATCCAGGAGTCACCAATGCATCAAGTTTATAATCTCTCATCAGTTCTCAAACCCTTCTTTAGATAAACTAGCCAAATAGGCCAATGCTGCCTTCTCAGTATTTCCAATTCCATTTGTTGCCTCATATGCCAAGAATATATGCTGACCAAATCCCTTCATCTTTTCCTGCATAATTCATATTCCATTTTGAATAGGTATTGTTCGTATTCATCGAAAAAGAGTTGATCTTTAGTCCCGGGGGAAAAAAACTTTAGTAGTACGTACCAGATCTGCATTCTTGATGTTGAAGGCAATGATATCTGCCAATGATCTCACTGGTGAGACAACCAAGTTCTTGAGATATGCATGGGGATAGTTTGATCTCGGCTAATATTACCACTGCTTCCCGCCTTGTGTTTGAATTTAGGATGGTACTTATGTTTGCTATTTCAAGATTATCTACGATGGTTGCTCCTTCTTCCCAAGAATTTTCAGAAAATTATATATGATGTTAATAGTGCTGCATAAGAATGACTCACAAATATATACCATCAAATCTTAGTGATGGTTGGTTACCTTAGGACGTGGAAGTGATTCTCAAAAGAGATAGTAATATTAGTGTCATTCAAAAGTCTAAGGAATGGGTTTCTTACTATTCCCAGTCTCTTCCCTTTTAACCCATAACGGTTAAGACATTGTTTAAAGCCACCGTGGGGAGTGTATTTAGACCCATTTGTAGTTTCAGGATCATTATGGTCAGGCCTTACAATTACATCAAGAACATATGGAGCATCTGATACAGTCCTGGCAAGGGACCTGCCAAATAAAAACTAGATGTTGTCACATGGTGGGTAAAGTGTTCAGAAGAAGTCCAACTTCATCTCAATCTTCATATCATTCTCTTGAAATATCAAACCCTCTCACCCAACAGTGTCCTATCTGGGAGAAATAGGAATAGCCTGATCTCGACTAGTGACGCCAACAGTTGGCTTGATGGCTACTACAGAATTAAAACTTGCTGGACACAAAAAGTGACCCATCCGTTTCTGTTCCAAGTGACACTGCAACCATATTAGCAGCAGTCGAGATTGCTGATCCACTGTACATAAGGATTCTGCACACCCACAAAAATTATGATTCAAACTATGTTCATGATACTACCATCCCGCATGTTCAAAACACTCGAAAACAACTAGTCCTAGGTTGACTAAAGCTTGACACAAACCTTTGCGTGGCCGCCTCTGGCACTCTAACCATTAGGAAGAGTGGTAGACCTCAGTGAATCCCACTCAGTCATGCTGGTCTTTCCCAGTATGATGGCCCCAGCTTTCCTTAACTCAGAAACCCCACCAACATCACGAGGCACAGAGGACCCAAGCAAAGCGAAGGAGCCAGCCGTGCTGTTAAGCTTATCCCTTGTTCCAATGTTATCCTTGAGCTGGAATTCCATGTAATCCAAACAGTGACCTTGGTGCTTCCATCTTGCTCTCATAATCAGCCTTAGCAGCTTGAGCCAAGGAATGTGGGTTCACCTTTATCACACCCTTCAGCACTGGGTTCAGTCTCTTGATTTCTCCCAAATAGTACTCATCTAGCTGCCTCGAGGTGAGCTTGTTTTGCTCAAAAGCCAATTGGATCTCAGCAATGGTTGCTTCTTTAATAGAAAACCCTTGTACAGCAATGGTGAGTGACCCAATTGATGATAATATGGTCACAAGAATTATCAACATTATTGAGAAGCCTTGTGACTTTAATGTGGAAGCCATTTAAGCTCTTTTCCTATACTAATTTTGCCACATTACCCTGCAATTTATATCACTTGGAAGCATATTGTAAGGTATCTTATATTTGCCCTAGTGAGGCACTAAATTAATGTGCTCATCTGGTCCTAAATATAAGACTCTTTTTGTAGTGTAATTTATATTTAGAACCCAGGGGGTGTGGTTGAGAGGTGGGGGCTCATCCTCCCTTAATCAAGTGTCGAGGGGGTTCGATCCATGCATAAAAAAGCTTTAAAACCCCAGGCCAGTTGTCCCACCCATCAAAGTGCCTACAAGCCAACGAAGGGATTAGTCACCGGGTCCGCCGGTGGATACCTGATGTTTCATAAAAAAAAAAAGTCTTATATTTAGAACCAGAGGAGTATTAATTAACTTGGCACTTGCGTGTTGTTTCAATATTCGCTGCCTTGCAAGGAAGGTAATATAATAGTAGTACTAAGGAAGGTAGTTATTAACTAATCCCTTATCATAGTATATATATTAAGGCAGATTCTTATGAGTGCATTGGAACATTGAGAACAAAATAATTGGTAGAAATATTTTAGGAGTAATGAGATACTGGTATGTTAACGTGGAATATTTGTGTTTTTTAATCACTGGTGGTGATATATTCTGATGGAGATGATAATTGGTGCTCCCAGAGGAGGATTTATGAAAATTTGATTTCGTATACGCGTACCCTAGTTTGTCGTCAATACTGGCTTTGAAAGGGACAGTAGTTGACGTGTCCATTATGAAACTAGAATTTATGAAATTAATTGTTAAAATTTCATGGAAAGACTATATTGTTATTTGTAATTAAAAACAAATAATTTTCTAAAATTATCCTTATAACCAAATATAAACAGTAGCGAATAAAAGGTCATAAATTTAACAAAAGTTCTTTCTCTATTTTATTGAAAAGTGAATTACGAACTTAAAAATTTATTCATCATCATTTGTGAATTTTAAGAACGCCATTCTGGATTTATAAAAAGTCAATTATAAATGAATATTCAGAAACATCCAAAGATCTTTAAATCATAAAATTTACAAGTAGTTATCTTTAAATGCACGTAAATGTAATATATATTCAAAAAAGATTATCCATCCATTCACAACTAATTTCCCGTGTGTGTGTGTGTGTAAAACCATTCACAACTAGCTTTTCATAAATCCACAAATGACCTCCCAAAAATCTACAAGTAATTATCTTTACATTCACATGACAAATCAACTTTCTCTAGATTCACAATTAACCATCCTTAAATTCAAGAGTGACCTTCCATTGGCTATTTTCAACATTCGATGATAAAGGCAATTTGGTGGAACGTTGAACTGCAAAGGAGGCCCCGAACAGCGAGCTTGCCCTGCAGATTATGGGAGCTACCCTTGCTAGAGATTCGTTAGACGCGCAGTAGGGAGTTGGGGTTAGTTTTGCCTTCTACCTTCCCTAGTATCAAAAAAATAAAGGCAATTTTGTGAAGTCATTTATTTTTTAATTGCAAAGTAGAAACCATGGTCCTTCCACAGCGTCTCAATAATTAGAATTCTCAATTGTCATCAATGTTTTTACAAGGTCAGCAATTGTCATGCCCCCCAAAATAAGTTATTAAACGTTAAAAGACACAAACCAGCAGTTCCCCAACAGCTTACGCATTCTCCTGGCTACAGCTAAAACAACAGAGTAATCTTCATATCACGATGAACATGACATTGGCATCTATTATAACCAAGTTTTCTGGGACACACGGAAACCTAGGCTGATGAAAAAGAACAAAACAATAAACAAATATCGTGGCACTTGTAAATTAGTCGAGAGCACATACTACGTCTGCAAAACCCAGCATCGAGATTTTGCAGACAACATAAGTCTATATATTAAATGGTGAAAGAAAATAAAAATCACTGCCTCACTTAACAAAAAAGCCATAAAAGCTATAAGACTACCTAAGTTATCAGAATAACTAACAAAATTTTATCACTTCACTAGTGTCTCAAGAGAAAAGACCAAAGTCGTGGTGACAACTTCAATTTGGCAAAAACACGAGGTCTAACATCCCCACAACCCTTTCCAGCTCTGACAAAAATGTGCAGGGGCAAAGAAAATTCACAGCTCATCAGCTTTCTTCAACACGCCCATTCTCAACTTTCTCAGCACTGCAGCGTAAGGCAGAAAATTGTGAGTGTAAAACTAGACTAAAAAACAATTGAGCAACACGCAGGAACAATGAAGATTTTCCCTAGGAAGAAGACAGGCTGGCAAAAACAATCAGTTTAACTATTAACAATCTAGAAAGATAGGGTCATGAACTCTATGTTCTTAAAATTTAGCTCGGCAGAAGGAACATATAAAGGATCAAAAACATTATCAACCAAGTTATGTTCAACACATGGAAGCCAGCACATGGATGCTGCGTCAAATGCAGCCGAAACTCAAGCTAAGGTTAAAAACAAGATCATAAAGAGATAGCAATAAAGGAGGAGTTCATAACTTCAATATACTAAAATACTAGAACATGTCAAAGACCATAGAAAAATCCTACCCATCAAAGCAACAATTGGAAGAATCCCATCCCAATTATGGCTTCTGAAACAGGCCAGTCACAATAAGCACATTCATTAGCAGGCAGGACAACAGCCTATGTGCAATATACAGAGCAGTATGTAGCCGACTTATAAAGGCGTAATATCCATGACATGCCCCAATGGTAGCATATTAAAGCAAGCATCGCAACATGGCAAAAGAAGATTGCATAATCCAACTCGAAAGGCCCTAAGCTTCTTAATAGCGTACATGCACGAACAAGCCACACAGCCAATCATAAACATACAATGCTTAAATAAACACGTAACAATTAAATTACTAAGTTGACAAACCTATTTGGACGACTATCGTCAGATTCAGTCTTCCTCCAACTTCTCTCAGTCCGATCATCGGGCAAATTAGCACCGCCACTGCCAGCCGCAAAACCCCTCTTCCCAAACCCATCCTTTTGCTCTACCGGCTCCTTAATCTTCATTGTCTCAAGCTGCTCATCAACCTTCTTCCAATCCTGCCCTTTCTCTGCCAAAACCTCCTCCCTTGGCCTAGCGTCTCCGAAAGGACTTGAGCCCTTGGGCTTGGTCACTGTCCCAGAACCCTCCTGGTTTCCATTATTCGCAGTCATTGATCGAGGTTGCAAAACGAGTCTCGGTCTAACACTTCCAGTCTCACTTCTCTCATTTCCACCGTTAGATTCCACCTTCTTCCTATTCCAATTATCTGAGTCTGCACCACCACTGGAAACGAATCCTACTTTCCTCTCCCTTTCATATCCACCGCCATTAGAACCAAATCTCCGTCCCTCTGATGGCACAAAGTTCTTCTTTGATGCCCAGCTGTCCGATTCGTCAGCTCTGGAAGGAGAATCAAAAAACCGTCCTCTATCCCTTTCCTTCCCCTCAAATCCGTTTCCCACTGTTGATTTTTTTGCAGCAGCCCAATTATCTATTTCATCGGCTCGCGAGGGAGCCATATCACGATTTGCTTCCCTACCAAACGAACCATTCCGCCTTGGCTCGTCAGAAACCCTAGAAGAACCCCATCTAGAATTGGAGGAATCGTCACCGCCATAATTCCTATTAGGCCGGTCAAGGGAACCATAGGACCTAAAGCCACCGCCAAGCCGATTCCTGTCACGGTCAAGCTCCTCGGCGGTTCGCTGGCGAGGACCTGTTGGCAGCATCATGAGATCTTCATGTGTTAAGACATCGGATTGAGATGTCTGAGCCGGTTTAGCGCCCCCATAAGAGGTGAACTCAGCCAAGGAGATGGTCTGGCCCTTCTTCTTCTTAGGTTTGGTTGCAGCGGCAGCGGCAAGAGAAGGAAAAGCAGCAGCGTCATCTTCTTCCTTCTGATGAAGAAGCTCAGCTTCATGTTCCTCGGAATCCAGGGCCCAAGCCCCGGGCTTAGCCCAGGCAGATACAGTAGCCGCCATGGTTATGCCTATGTTCGTCTTACTCTCGTACGTCTCCCTCGAAACTCTGGTTCGCCCTCGCTTCGTTGCGTGGCAGCCAAGCTGGGCGAAGAGGATATATATATATATATATATATATATATGCACCCGGTGATCGAACGGTGCAGAATGAGGGTGCAATTTGTACGGACGGTGATAGTTTTGGTGTGTGGTTTTCGGGCTGGTCCTATATCCGAATCAGAATAGGAAAGTTTAAAGTGATAATTTCTGACTGAACCGATAAAAAAGGAATGTTTAAAAAGAGATTGAATTCGTGCTCATCTTATATCTGTATTTTTAGCGAAATTTTTACACCTATATCTTAAAGATTTTTTGGATAAATAAAAACAAATGGATTGCAAATCCAAAACTATGTTTTTTTTTTCATACAATTAAAAAATAAGTTGACAGTGTTAATAATAACAAAACTAGTGACGAGGTGTGGAGGCTTGTAACCTAATTATCACTAAACATCTTTATTAAGACGTTTTTAAATACGAGGTTCTTTAAATATAATATTGCAAGTTAAATTTAAATAACCTATATCAAAATTAAACTGTCCAGATTGTCAATTTGTTTTAATATTAAAATCACAATTTTTATTTCGATAAAAGCATAATGATAAATAAGGATAATTTTAAATTTTTCATTATCACTTTTTTGGTGAAATAATTATCAACTATTTTTTTAAAGAAATAAAGTTTAACTTTGGTTAAAAAAAATCAAAGTTTAACTTAAAATATTACAAGTAATATTTAAAGGAAAGGATAATATTTAAAAAATTCCCCATCATAATCATAAACCTATTACTCCTCCGGTCCTTAATATATGACTCAATTCTTAGTTGATTTGGTCTTAAATATAAGACCCCTTTTTCATATTTATCAATTTTCTCTAAATTACCCTATGAATACTCCCTCAACCATAATCAAGTAAAAGAGGGAAATGAGATATTAAGAAAGATGATTATGGTATTTTAGGAAAAATGTGATGATGATTTAAAAATGAGATAATAAATATATTAGGTATTAAAATAAGTAATTAAATAGGATAAAATAAAAAAAATTCGACAAAAATTTAAGGCAATCTGTAAATGTTGTTTATATTTAGAAATAAGAAGAAGATAGTAGTTGTTTCTTATAAATAAGGATAAATGGAGTAGTTTATGAACTTTTATAACATAATAATATATCACTGTATTTATAGCTTTTACGTTTAGTGTGATACATAATCATAAACTTTAAATTTGGGAAGAAGAATGATTCATTTTTAAAAGTTTCAACATGAGTTTTATCTTAACATTTAATGTATTATTTTATTTTATTTTTAATTATTTATTTTTTTCTTTTATCATATTCTTTCTTATTATATTCTTTCACATATTCTCTTTTATCTTTTTTTATTTATTAGATGAACATATTCAAAAACAAAACTATATTCTAGCCTATTTATAGCTTTTAAATAATTTTAACTGACAATTTGTTATTCATAAATTAGTTATTTAAAGTTTATAATAAAAATTGAGGGGAATATAAATTAAACTAGAAATTCTTATAGCTTTTTTCAGTGGGGTTAGAACACCCAAAATACTGTAATCTTTGTTGAAATCACCAAACAATTCAATGAATCAGAATCATTAAAACCGGGTACTAAATACCTTCAAATTACTTTTTGACAATATTTACTTATTTAAAGCATGTGTTGACATTTTAACCAGAAAATAGCACAATAAAAAAAAAGAACCAAGAATATAATAATTGAATGACAAAACAGGGACAGCAAATGGCATGAATGATGCCATCCCACTGACAATTTGTTAAAGGTTTCAAGTGGCCATAATGGATGACAAATTATAATGGAACAACTTGAGATATTCCAGCAAATCCCTGGCCGAAACAGAGTCTATATGCCAGATAAACTAAAGGACAATAATAGGGCTGGCTTCATCTGATTGAGTAGACTACGCGAAAGCTAAGGGTACTCTTATATCTAATTGCTATAAGGATTTGCTGGTCAAAAAAATAATTGCTATAAGGTTTAAGATCAAGAATTGAAGTCGGGTCCAATTGTATAATTCTTCACAAAATCCAATTTAAAAAAGCTCAACAATGAAGATTTTCTGGTGTTGTAAACCCCTCCTCTGCTAATAACAGTGATGTGTTCAAATATTTATATACTTTTCGTCCTAAATATAAAACCCTTTAGTATAAGGGTCTTATATTAATTCATGTATTTTTGAGTTCTTTTAGTGTGCTTATTGGTTTTAAATTGCATTATTGATAAATAATATTTATTAAGAATCATTGACTTTAAGCTTTGCTCCAATTTCCTCATTATGAAGCTTCACGATTCCAAAATTATGTACTTTTGTGACGGCATAAAGCCCACCCTAATGGGTGCTGAACTTTCAAATTTCAAATTACCTTTTCATTTTTTTATATAAAAAGAAAAAAAAAAGATAGCAAATGATAAAAATTTGGATTTTAGGGAAATATGAGAGAATGCTTCTTAGAAAATAGAAATTGGTTTATCCTTACTCAAAATGATCTAGGAATTATTTGGCTCACTAATTTAAAATCAAAACTTTAGTCACTGATTAAGTAAGTAATCTTAATCAATAGATGTCCCAAAACTCTAGCTACAATTACTAACTAAAAATATCATTGAAAACCTATTAGTATACAATTAGGCTCAGATTATTGTAATTTGGGTATTTATAGAAAGAACACTCAACTTAAGATATTTAACAAGTACTATACAATTATAAAATTCATTCAAATTATGAAAGAATAACATAAATACATAGAACTTCAAAAATATATATATGTATATATATCTCTCAATTGTATAATCCAATCTCAATCACAAAAAGTTAATTCCAAACTAAGAAATACAACCAATAATCTCAAAAAATTTAATTAAATAATATTAATTCCAATTCAGAAAGTTCATTACTTAATTTATTAAATCTAAGGAATTGAAATATAAAAACTCTCCTAACTCTGAATCTCAAACCCAATTCTTCATCTCTAAGAAGCTTGATGGAATTAGCTACACATGGTTTCAAAATTTTGCTAACACAAACTTTGATCCCATGGCAGCCTTGAATGGATGAAGAGAAGGGGTAAGGGCGATACTGGTGTAACTCGCTGATGATGAAGGGCCGAGGATGATGATGCTGGTTGCGGTGATCGAGTGTTGAAAGATGGTCGCGTGGGTGGTGTGCCGCGCTGAAGACGATGAAGAGGGAAGACCGTGATGATGGTCTGTGTGTGATGAGTGGTCTCGTGTGTGTATATGAGAGTTGAAGGGTGGTCGCGTGTGTGTATGGTTTTGGTGTGTACCATATGAGATGGGTCTGTCACATAACAGAAGCTTGATGGAATTAGCTACACATGTTTCAAAATTTTGCTAACACAAACTTTGATCCCATGGCAGCCATGAATGGATGAAGAGAAGGGGTAAGGGCGATACTGGTGATAACTCGCTGATGATGAAGGCCGAGGATGATGATCTGGTTGCGGTGATCGAGTGTTGAAAGATGGTCGCGTGGGTGGTGTGCCGCGTTGAAGACGATGAAGAGGGAAGACCGTGATGATGGTCTGTGTGTGATGAGTGGTCTCGTGTGTGTAATGAGAGTTGAAGGGTGGTCGCGTGTGTGCATGGTTTTGGGGTGTGACCATATGAGCGGGTCTGTCACATAGCAGGAATGCTGTGTTATAAAGTAAAATTATATACTAAAATACTGTATTTTAAAAGTATTTATCAATATACTGCACTTAAAATTCTTGGTAAGAACAACTTTCAAATTATACACAAGTCGTTTTGACAAGAACGATTTATATGTTAACTAATAAAAAATAAAATCATTTTAGTGTGAACGATTTTACTTTTTACTTTAAAAAAAATTCAAAAATAAAATCGTTCACATCAATAACATTTTTGAAATCGTTTACGTAAAAATGATTTTATTTTTTTCTTATTCATGTCTCACGTGAGAATCTTTGCTAATTTATTTGCGTGCAAGAATCTTGTCACTTTTATGCACGTGAGAATCTCCTATTCCCTTCCTGTGAAGCTACAGCAACGTACATGGTTTTTTATGTCACATGTTTTCATACTTCATCTCCTTTCAGATGAGCTCTCTCTTTTTTTTCTTCTTCTTCTTCTCACTTGTTCCATTTTTATTGTTCTTTTTCTCTGTTATTTTTTCACTCTTGCTTCCAAACACTTGACAAGCTTTTTACTGCTGCTGTGGGTATATTGTTCTCTTCTATGTTTTCTTTTAAAAAATTTGCAGCTGTGATATAGAATTTGATTTTTCATCCATACTACTATTGATGAGTTAATATTTATTATTCTAATTTTCAGGAGGTGAGTGGTGAGTTCAATAATCTGAAATATTTGTACTCTTTTTAAGCCAGGTGCCTTTTATTTTAATAGTAAAACTATCATCTTTATATTATTTTAAGATGTTAAGATTTTGATGTAAGCTTCAATCTTTTTTAAGTATATGATTATTATTTTTTCTTATGAAAGTTATACTTCTCTAGAAGTTTAAATTTGGTAAGATAAAACTGAAAAATAATATATATATATACATTCTAAATATCAAATTTGTGGTATATATTAAGTTGGTAAATAAAAAAAAAAAAAAGTGTTTGACCCATTTCTAGTGAACTATTGTTTCTTATATTTTTAGGTAAAATAAGGTGTAAGTAATGAAAAATTGAAATGAATGAGGGTACTCATAATTTCTTTTTTTATTTTGCCTTTTCCATACTATTTGCTATGTTGCATTTTTAATTAGTGATGATATGTCATGATATGAGTATTTTGAATCAAGAATAAAATATTCTGACTGTCTTTTCAGTTTACATCAATTATATAGATCTTCTCTTTATTTTAAAAACATACAGTTTAATCCAATTAGTTAACACTATTAGTAAGAGTATTCTAAAAAAATTATAAAAATATTATTTTTAATTGAAATTTTTATTGAAATAAAATTTATTTACTATTTTACTTCTGATTCTAATAAATTCCTAAATTATATTTTTCTAGTTATCAATTTCATTTAGTTAAGACAAACATAAAAGATTTGATTAAAACTTTAACTAATTTTTTTAATAAATATATATAACTAAAATGTTTATAAATCTTTGCAATAAAGAAGTGTTTGAAAGTTTTGAATTATAAATTTAAATAATTTATAAAATCTTTTAAACTTATACCATTTAAATTGTATGATAAAAAAAACTATGAATTTGAAATATGTTTTACAATTTAAAAGAAATCAAAGTAAATAATTCTAATGACTGTGATAAACTAGAAAAAAATTAATATACATCTTATACTCATTTACAATTAGTTTTAATATCATTATATAATTATCAACATTTTTCTCCCATTATTTAGTAATCATTTGGTCGTTCAAATTATAATAAATCATTATACTAATCATTTTATTTCATTTATTAGGTGAGAAGTTGTTCAGTAGGAGATGAAGTTCTGAAATCATTCATCATAAAAATGATTTTTGAAATTGTTTACTATAAAAATGATTTTTAGTCAGTTCACGAACATCGATGAATGGTTCTGAAGAAATCGTTTACTAAAAAAACGAATTTAAAAATTGTTCACCTAAAAAATGATTTTAAATATAACATATTAGTAAATATTTTTAAAAATACAGTATTTTATATATGATTTTATTATTTGTAGCATTTCGGTAAAAAAGTCATGAAGAACCCCTCGGTTCTTGCTGCCTTCGGCACCTAGCTCTCTTGTCTGCGTTGAAGACAATGAAGATTCTTTAACCTTAAATTAAAACGCAGCGTTCGACTTTTTTTTTTTTTTTTGTTTAATAAATATGAGGTTCTCCTTTATGATTTTTCCAATCTCCAAAATGACTAAAATGTCCTGCAATGCTATATAAACACATTGTAATACCATATATCTAAATAATTATTAAAATAATGATATTTCTACCCATTTCTTATTAACTCATGCATTAATTTTTAATAAATATTTATTCATCAATAATGCAATTTAAAAACTAATACACGCATTAAAAAAGCTCAAAAATGCATGAATTAATATATAAATATTTGAACACATCAAATAGGTGATGACACATCCCAAAATCCCCATCATAAGGGAGACAAAATACAGAAAGCCAACTAAAAAAATTACAAAATTCAAGCATGGCAGAACGATCTAAAGGCAAATTTACCTGATGAGCGTGCCAAGGGCAGTAACCAAAACAGCTGAAGCATAGATAGTAGCCACCGTGTTTGCATCCTCCCCAACAATCTCCAAACATCATTTCAAGGTTCACCGAGTTTCATTTCATGTATTATAAAGAAGAGAAGGCAGCAAAATCCCATAAACTTGTAGGCATGATTACTCGACATGGTGTTTCAAGTAGAAAAGGATAACGACTGCCGACTTCTACAAATTTCAAATAGATGTCGAACACGATTGAAAAATGCATATCACCTGAAATGAAATATATGCCATAGCTGAGCCAAGAATCAAGGACTATGGAATCTGATACATAAGGCACTGTGCCAAAAGCGAAGAAGACTATATCCCGCACCACACCAAATGCTTGAGGGAAGGGAAACCTCACTGTGGCATCGAATACCTCAAGGTGATGAACCTAGCTAACAAGACGATAAATCTAGGTGATAATGAATCCAGACAATAATGAAATGAACCCAGTGGATGAATAGAGAAAGTGAGGTGAGGGAAACTCCCTGATCCTAATATATTCACAGGGAGGACCTCTCTACAGATTACAAGGCCTAACTGCAACAGTTACAATCACTATTAACTATGCAGTCCAATCTCTAACAACCGAAACACGAAGTAACATAACAAGTCATAACAATAATGAAGACGCCGATTTCCTTGCGGTCTGGTTTGCCGCCAAACAAAATCGAATTCCCGCCTGAAAGAAAGTCAGGGGCCACACACCCCCCTTTGGGTTGGGGGGGGATGGGTAATATGAGCCTGTTCTCAAATGCGAGTTCCATCGCGGCTTTATCAGATACGGGGCCCTCGGCAGGTTCGAGATCAACTGGAGCCCATTTAAATGTTGGGCCGACCCTCTTATCTGGTAGGCTAAGCCCAACCTATTTCACCGGTAACCATTCCATGGGCTCGCCTTCATCAGATAACTTCACTCGGTTTTTAATTTAATTTATTTGCCGGAGCCTCCACGCTTCCTGCTCCGTTACTTCCTATTCTATACAGACTTTAGACTTTGGATGCGCAATTTGACTCTTTTTTCGTCAGCTTGTGGTTTGTATGCAAGCGGAAACGGATAATATTGTTTTTGTCCTTGAAGAAAGTTGCTTGTTTTTGGCAGTCCAATCTATTCTGGCTGAATTTCTACCACAAACAATATTCATTCTTTCTTGTACCAACCCAAAAAAAAAAAAATCCATTCTTTCTCTTCAGATGTGAATTAACTGGGAATTAGAAATATATCCCATTTTTGCAGCAAGTGCTCAAGTTAACTGCTTTTTTTAGTTTATGATGTGAAAAAAGCGTTTCAGTGAGTTGAAACTTTTCCCGTTATAATCGAATAAGAATATTTCTCCCAAAAATAATCTTTTATTTTTTAAAACAATATCTTCGAGAAATTGTTTGGCCCATCATCGAATTTTAGACAACGGTGGGATCTTTTTCATAATTTGAAAATTGAAAATCCCAGCTTATCAGCGGTGGTGGGACGCCACATAACCCAAACTATGTTAAGTGAGAAATACTGATTGAATCGGTGCGCGCCGTCCCAGATATTTTCCGTGCTCCGGCCGTAATTGTGGAATCACACTTCCAAGTTTTGTTATACACTGTCCCATGCGTGTCCCCACCGTCGGCCTCGGTTCCTCATCTATTTTGCTCATGCAACTTTAAGTGCCCCGAAAACAATTAAAAGCTATGATTGCCCATGCGCTAAATAGAATGTCCAGAACTTCAAGAAAGAATGAAAGGAAAGAAAGAGAAGAGAGGGCCCCCCCGGGGGGGCAGGGTACACACCTATCAAAAGAAGTGAAAGCAATCTCATCCCCACACAAAATATCAAAGTTATGATGGCCAATAAGCTAAATCTCAGGAAGGGATGAGAGATGTCAGATGAGGAAGGGGGAAAATCGACTTGAAAAACTTAAAAAAGTAAAAGGAAGATGGTCCGATACTGAATCACTTACAATAAAGAGGATGGAGCACTTTCCAGTTTTATACGAGTCAGATTTCTTATGTTTGAAAAAACAAACTAGAAATAAATCTAGAATTAAGAAAAAAGAATCTCAAATGCTATAATTAGTTTTCGCCATAGTGATTGCAACAAGATGGAGGCTTTCAAGTAAAATGGAGGATAGGGTAGAGGTTGAGATTGGCATCACGCTAATCCATTCATCCAGCTAGCTCAGATTGTGAGATTCGCGTTGGGGCTTTAAGTTCAGTAATCAAGCGCCAATACCCGACACATTTTCTAGCAATGAACAATCGCAAGAAATTCAGTCCCTTTTCTGCGGAGCCCAAAGTATGTCTATCTAATTCCCTTAACCCTCACCAACAATTTTGTTGCTGTTTTCACGGGAGCCCCTGCCCGTGTACTAGAGCCCCTTTTTTTTTTAACCCATATCATAAGAGACTCTTCACAAACATAATGGCACGCCCATAAACTAAACTTGCAGATCGAAGATTATATATGGTCAATAATTCTACTTTTATTCCGGGTAGGCAGCTCATTTATATCATCATCACATACCAACTTTTACGAAAAAGAGTAAAAAGTTTCATATGATCCAGAGCACCTTCATCATAACCACAACCCCAATTCCTAAGACACTAGTAAACCGAGAGTTCAAGATAAATAAAAGCTCGAGACAGCGACAAGAAGACACAGCATAAAGGTTCAGGTTTCCAGATCAGAGCCACCACAAAGCAAGGCCGCAGCAGTCTAAGAGAGTTGACCGCAGTCAGCAATCACCACCGGCCTGGCGGTCCTGCCAGAGCTAGATCCGACCTTCTCGATCTCCTTCACCACATTCAGGCCCTCCACGACTTGGCCGAACACCACGTGCTTGCCGTCGAGCCACTCGGTCTTGGCAGTGCAGATGAAGAACTGAGATCCGTTGGTTCCCGGCCCAGCATTAGCCATGGAGAGGATACCAGGACCGGTGTGCTTCTTGATGAAGTTCTCATCAGCGAACTTGGCACCGTAAATCGACTCGCCACCGGTGCCATTTCCAGCGGTGAAATCACCTCCCTGGCACATGAAGCTGGGGATCACGCGGTGGAAGGCGGAGCCCTTGTAGTGAAGCGGCTTGCCGCTGCGACCGACTCCCTTCTCGCCGGTGCAGAGAGCGCGGAAGTTCTCGGCGGTCCTGGGGGTGGTGTCGGCGAAAAGCTCCATGACAATCCGGCCAGCCGGTTGACCGCCGATGGTCATATCGAAAAAGACCTTAGGGTTTACCATTGCTGCGAGAAAAGGGAGAAAAACTCAGACTGATCAAAAGAGGAGATGAGGACAGGTTAGGGATTTAGAAGTGACGAGTAAGCTTATATAGAGGGCGCGTGGATCTAATATCTTTGAACTAGCCGTTCGATTGGGGCACGTGGCAAGATTATGAGCCGGGTGCATTAACCGTGGTTAAGTTCGGATGTGACCACGGTTGGTGGAGGATCCAAGGAAGGTTATGTGCTCTATTTATTTATTTACTTATTTTTGGGGCAATCATCTTCGAATGAGTACGAACGCTCTCACGAAAGTCTTAACAAACGACGCCACTTCTTTTATCTACTTTTTTCCCCCCTAGCAGCAAGAATATTAGTAGTACTGCCTTATATGTTTAATATAAAAATTAATTTTACATTTAATTTGATTTTAAATATAATATTTTAATAATTTTACTACTTGCATTTACTTATTTTTTTTAAGATAGTTTTTATAGTTGTTACATATATTAATGTTTCATCAAATGACAATTTTAATTAATATACATGATTAACAAAATATTGTATAAAAAATAACACTTATTTATTATTAATAACTAAATAAAATAAATTTTTAAATTTATTTAAATTAGTTAACTAATTATTATATCAAGCACGCCTATAAGATAACTTCGTGTTCAAAAATCAAAAGCGTCAGCTAAATTGTTCAGTGAGGGAGCCCTCACCTCATCTGCCTGACTACGAACAGTGATAAATTTGTGGGCCCATCTTCACAAGATCTAAACTAAGGGGCGTAGGACCTTACAAACGGTAACATTATCAGGTCCATGGGTTGACCACCATGAGACTGTTCCTTTTTTTTTTTGGGGAAACGGCTAACTGCATCAATAAACCCGAAAAATAGAACACAGACAAAATTCTAAATTTTAATTCACAGATTTCATCATCTCACTTTTTTCCCTTCTAGTGCGCTGCGGCACGCTGCAGCAGAGATGATACGAAGGCATGCATTTTCTGAAAAAGCACATCAATAATCAATAAAATATTCAAAAAAGATAATACCTTGCTGACACTTGTAAGTACTTTATTTTATAAGCATCTTATATTAACCATTTATAAGTTCAAATTCGATTATAGTTTATATATAAAGTGTACGGGTAACCCAACTCATTCATTTATTGCGTACACATCGACATCGGAAAAATTTCCCGTGCTGAAAATACTACCCCGATTTCCATCTTAAAATGTGACATCTTTAGTCCAAGCAGGGCTTTTTGGTAACATCGTATGTAATGCAATCTGGAAAGCTAATAAAATTAAGCATACAAGGTGCTGGCGGTCGTTTTCGGGCTATTAATATTTAACTTTGGAAAGGATCCTTCTAATATGGATTCATCCACCGAAAAAGAAGTGGGGGTAGAAAAGGAATTTACTTTCCTGACAATCATGCAACGCACTACTTACAGAATTAGACCCCACCATCCACTGATGAGCTATGACCATCTTTTTCTCAAATAAAAAAAATCTACGCCGAATGGGAAGAATCAGAAAAAGAATGGTGTGGAAAAAGGCAAAATTATAATATGAACAAGCAGAACGTCCCCGGCTAGCTACATTCTAACTGGCACTACGCCGTTAAATAATTATGCACATTTCCTTCTCACTTTCGTCTACAGATATATCATAAACCCTCGGATTGCAGCATTCCGGGATAGATAATTGATACCATTTGTTTTAAGGAATTCTTAGAAGCTTTCAGAAACGCATGCTCCTCCATTGCTGCACAAAGCATCAATAAATGTTTAGCAATTTTTAGGAAGAAAAGGAAGAAATATTAAATCACCGAAAAAAAAAAGAGAGAAATATTAAGAATGTAATACAAAATGACAGAAAAGTTCAACCATTAAACTGGCCGACAAAAGAAAGGGCATATTACCACCAAATAAAGTTTTAATTTCCTTTGAAAAATCATCCAGACGCCCTAATACCGGTCTTATGCCACATATCTGCAGGACACAAAGCTCCAACTGCAAGGCCATTTCAATTATCTGCAACAATAAGTAACAAAGGTCCTGAATTTGAGGAGAAACCCTCGGTTTGTTCGCCTCACATAACTCTCTAACAATCGCAATAGCTTGATCCTGCACCAAAAGAAAATAAGCTCAAAGTCTATTCCTCTCTCCATCGGCCTTCTACAATCACAATTAAAATGGAACTGCTGACAAATGAAAAGCGACGTCAGCACAACTGCAATTTCTGGCCATATATAACTCCACATTATTCATTTATGTATTTTGAGTGGTATTTATTTATTATTTATTTTTGTTATAACATTCTTTTGCATTCGATAACTGAATGAGAACATAACATGCCCGTAAATTTTACCATACCTGCAATCCGTGCAAGATTTCGGGCATCGGAAGCTCAGGAAAATGTGCAAGATCAACAAATCCAACCTCCTCAGCCCTTTTAACAGCACCCTCAGCTTGTAAGCTGAGAAACTTTAAAAGGAGACAAACAACTCTATATATTTGCACAGCAACAGTGTCAGAAAAGCATGTTTTTGGAAACAGATCTGTAGCTTTAGTTGCTTGACCATAGATGGTCAAAGCAGTTGAGAAAGGAGTGGTGTTCAGTTTTGACACGCAGCATTGTGGAGAAAGGGCAAACCATCCATTTTTACTGTTGATATACGAAGGTTTTGAGCAACTGTCAAATTCCTCTTTAAGAGTTGGCTGACATAAAAGTGTGGCACTCCTGTTTGATAAATCACCAAGGCGTTGAGTGCCCCTGCTAATAAAGGCCAAGAGATGGATACATCTCTCTCTAAGCTGTCTATCCGCTTCATTGATTGCCTTAGTCCATGAATTCCAATGTTTTGCTAATTCACACATGAGCATCAAAGTATGTTCTGTCTCCTTAAGATTAGCAAGAGACATCCATGACCTCTGTGGCCGAGGTCTTTTCTTGTCACGTTGATCTGAAGGGAGGTCTGGAGCATTTAGAGAACCAAAAATAAGATAAGCATTCTCCTGGAAAAAATAAGGTATTACGCTATCAACAATAGCTGTGCAAGAAGAACTGTCTTCCAAGGATTGAACCATAGCTGTGACCACAGCTAATCCGAGTCCCCAAATGTCTCCAGGCATTTCAAACTTTTGGTGTAAGCCACCCACATTTTCGCTATGACTCCTTGAGGACGCCTCATCACATTCAGTAAACAACACTCTCAGAGATGACAAGAAACCAGAAGCATAAAGCATCTCAGCACCTCCTTTTACACGTGCAAGTGTCAAAAGAAACTTCAATATTATTGGGATGGAAGAGGACGTTTTATCTTGAAGTTTTAGCATGAGATGTTGAATCTGCAGATGACTCTTTATGACAGGTAACCAAGTCTCAGGCATCAAAAAATTCCTTAATATCAGGTCCATAACTGACAGAGACAGCATACAATGTTCAGAAGCAGCAACACATTTGCAAAGAATGGGAAGTAGCCCAACGATTGCAATTGAAATTTTAGAAAACCCCTCCCTGGACTTCTCATCTATCGTCCCACCCAAACGAGAACTGAGGCAGTTGGAATCTAGTACTAAAAGCAGCAATGTGAGTAATAGCTTCATTATCACACTGGCCTTAGAAGACAACAGCTGAAGTTCACTAAACAGTTTAAGACCTGAACCAGAACATTTGAGAACAAGCAGGGAAACACCAAAGGAGAGACTTTTGCAGACAGTTCTGGTCAACTGGAGAAGCAGCTCTGCTTGAGACGCAAGAAAATTGAGTGTATCTTCAGATACATCAAGAACGGGTGCTAACTTTTCAATTGTAGCGTGAAAAGATTGGCATATATTATCTATGCATGTGAAAATGATTTGATCAGGAATCTCCTCTCTCATAGATTTTCTCCCTAGTGCCTGCAAAATCATGAGAAAAATAATGTTGAACAGAGACCTCAAAACACCACAGGGTAAAGAGGTGCAAATTCATTGAAAATGATTTATGCAAACAACAAAAATTGCAGTTATTCTAGATATTCAAGGTAAGTGCATGGGCATGAAAACTAGAATCATTATAGCTTGGATACAATTGCACTCCTTACAAAATGTCACTTTGGACAGAAGTGCCCAAATTTTCCATTTCAAACTGGTACTGAGGACTTCTATCTATCACAGGTTGATCAATCCGGCTATTCCAAAGAGAAATTAAATTATCATTAGTACCATATATTCTAGCTACGACCTTGACATTTTAGTTGCAGTGCGATAGCAGAAGTTTCGAATCATTATGCATTTTTTCCCCTTGTTGATAACAAGATCCGAGTTTCCTGTATGCAAAAATTCATAGATTTATACAGATGTAGAAACCAACTGCAGGAGCGAAACTACCAATCTCCTTGAGAGAGAAAATTTAACGCCCCAGGCATCCCAGCAAACCATTGACATTTCAATACTAATAGGTTACTACTTTTTGAGTTGAGACTTCCTAAAATCAGAAAGCACAATAAAAGGCAATTGAAGTTTCGAAATCTCACATCATCATGGTAGACAGTCAAGACAGAAATCAATGCTTTCAATGCGGAAAGCTTTGAACTTGAAGCCAACATAAATGAGTTTGCTTCCTGCAGCCAGTGCAACATGATTTCTGCAATCTCCTTAGATGCCTTCCACTCGGAACAATCCCACACGTCTAATCCTATATCAGCTCGCAAGCGTACAAGGTCAAATAAGTATAAATTCTTGGTAGTTGCACTAAGGTCACCATTGAGATTGTTTTGATAGGTTTCCAAAATATTTGATTCAACCAGATACTGAGACAACTCTTTAAATGGTCCCGTGCTGACTTTTCTACCCTCGAGCTCTCCTTGGAGATGATAATACAGATCACTGAGTATCAATTTCTTTAATTTCTTCCCTTCACTGTCAAAATTTAAAATGAAAAAGGACAAAGCATGATTACTGAACACTGCAAAGGAAAATACATCTTCTATGGGAAAATTCACCATAAGAATTATACTGTAGAGCAACAAAATATCACTATAGACTCAGACACAATATCTTGATTTGATTCAGAAAATAATTCTCAATATCCTCTTTAATTTATAGTATAAATGTACAGTGAGTATCCATAAGTGGAAAAAACACATCCACTTATGTGCAAAACATAAAAGAATATATTGCACAGAATTAGCTAACACATCATTCTCAGCATGTAAATGATACAGGCAGCCTTTCCAGTCCTCCTTCACAAAAGCAGAAAAATTGTACACACTTAACCTGTAGCCACGCTGTGAATACTGGCAGAGTAATTCAGAAAAAGCAGGATGCATGCACAACTGCAAAAAAGAAACAAAACTACATATCAGCAATGAAAACTTTAGCTTAGAACAAATTTATGAACATGTAAATCAGAAAAATTATAACATTAAAGATTTTAACATTTTGATTCTTGAAACAGACTATATGAAAAGATTTTCCAGACACATAGAATGCATGATACCAAAGTAAAGAAGAACAATAGACTCTAAGAAACCAGAAAAGTTGAAAGTTGGACCTTTGTTAACATTGTATGAAACTTCTGCTGCAATGACACTGATAAACTTCCAGAATCACCAGCCACTAATTTTTCCATCACGTGGACAGAGAATAAACTGATGGCAACCTAAAAATTTAAGCACATTTGTATACGTTATAAGATGAATATAAACGAGGAAAAAAGGAAAGAACTAATTTGATGCACAAACGTACAATACAGGATGAATATGAAGGGGGAAGGGAAAGAACTAATACAATGCACATGCATGATTGTCACATATGGTAGAGACTCAACTGCAAGAGCTCTACAAGTCTTCTCTATTTCACAGGCATGCCAATGAAAGAAGAGAATGGAACAGTATCAATGGTTCAAACTCATTATGTTTAAAAGCGTTACAGATAATCTGAGCATCAGTGCTATAAATTAACCTGAACATAAGGCAAAATAGAAATTAATTAAGACCATAAGCAAAAGGAAAACTCACTTTTGCACTATAATATATGTCATCATTATACCCAGAAGTATACGACTTCATTAGTTTCTCCAAAACAGAATCTTTGCACCAGGAAGACCAAATTTCCTTAACATCACAAAAAGCGGGTGCCTTGGATTTTTCTGTTTTTGCACCATCTTGTTCGTTGCCCTGAGATCCAGTTGCATCCTTCACAAGTGATTCTGCATGCAACAACTTTTTCTGCAAGAACAGCTCATATGACATGATTCCAAGTATTGCAGATTGACAAAGGTACATGTTCGCTAGATTTTGAGCATCCTTCTCTGTCAGATTAACAGGTAGATGAATTGTGCTCCCAGCAACTCTTAAGATTGCATTGGACAAGTACTTCCAGAACTTCTCAGAGCTTCTCAGAGACTCCAGGATATTTAAGTACTGAGAAGCCCCTTGCCACAAGGCAACCATGAAGTTAAGCACACTCAGCAGCATGCGAGGGTGGCTGGAGATAAAGAGTATAACAACATATTTATATACAAATTCAAAAATGCCCTAACGGCAAATATGTATACATACAACCATATATATAGAGAGAGATTGTGCTCAGACACATTTGTGTAAAGGATCAGACAATGGAAATTAAAGGCCCAAGGTTGACTAAGCAGCCAAATGAAATTCTTCCCCAGAAAATAGTACCTCTGGATCAGATTATCTGCCCTCACAATATAATCCATAAGTGCATCTATCAGGCCTGAGTCCTTTGAACCCTTCGACTCTCCATCACCAGTAACAATTAACTGACCATCGTCCTTCTCCTCTGGATTAAATATAGCAATAAGAAATGCAGGCTGCATAAGAGAACTTCTAGTCAATTACTAAAAGCCAAACCGAGCGGAACCAGAAAAGTTACTTCTATCTACAGATTCCACTCCACCCCACCCCAACAGGGAAAATGGCATTTAAGGACCTCTAAGAATATTAATTACAATTAAGAACCTAAAATTTTGAAATTCCAAAAAGATCCACCATCCTCGGTTAAAATTAAAAATTTTTTAAGTTAACCTTTTTAGCATGTCTTCCACATTTTCAGTACTCATATTTAGCCTTTTTAAATACTTAGTTTTCCAATTTTTTCCAGCAGTTATCTTAAATGTTTTCAACAATCATCTTCGATGTTTTCTGTACTGGAAAAAAAAAAATCAAAGATAAATGTTGTAAACATGGAAGGAGAGTATTGAAAACGTTTGACTGCTAAAAAAAATTGAAAATCTGGGTACCGAAAATGTTAAGAATGAGTAATGAAAATATGGAAGATGAGTACTAAAAAATTAACTCAAGAAATTTTAATTCCAACAAAGGATCATGGTCTTAGTTTCAAAATTCAACATCTTAAGGTTTAACTGTAATTTTTTAGAGGGTCCTTAAATGTCATTTTCCCCCTAAAAAGGGAAGATTTTCTGCTACAAAAATTTTAACTCAGTAGCTATAAAGAAGTTGTGGAGAGAAGTAGTTGGAATTCAGTCAAGTGCTAGTTAGAAATACCTTAAAATGATGTTAGGTATATCAGCATATAGGGAGATAAACAGATATGACACCGATGATATGATGCTTAAAAGTGAACCCTCGTGAAAATGACGAGAATTTTGCATTATTATTATTATCATTTCCTTGGTCACCAAGTGTTTGACAATAAGTGGAGACTTAGCTTGGAGAACCGTTTTTGGTCAAATTACTTTGGAAGACTGTTTAATGCTTGGGAATGTTGACCAAAATTACTTTGGTAAAAATGAGTGTTTTTTCAGATTGTGTCAAGAAGAATTACTTTTGGACATGCAAGTACAAAAGTCAGAAAGGGATGACAGCTGATGGGCTTAAAAATCGTATGGATCCTCTGGTGTTCATGACAGTAAATTTTACTATTAAGTTGAGGATAGAAACACAATTCAGAGTGAAACGTTGCAAGACAGAGCGGGAGTATATGAGCCCCACATCATACATCTATTGTGGCCAAGGTCTGTTGCTTCCAGAGCAGGAAGTTTGAATAGTTCAAGTTTCACTGAGATGCAATTTGAAAATCCTTGTAGACAAAGCTTTGTTGTGAGCAAAGGTTGAATCAAAAGACTTGCTCATGGCTTCCATTGAGTTCTCCATGGATCAACATACCATGTAAGAATCCAAGGGAAAGAATGACTGCATTATTTTATTACTTCACTCAATATGCAGTAGAGGTGTCTACATATGTACAAGAGAACGGTAGATGATACCAAGAAAAAGCAAGCCATTACACAGAATATTCTTACATAACTTACTGACCGCTCTTACTGTTTTAGCTACTCTTAGAACTAGGAACTTCAGAGAATGCAAACTCCCGAAAATGACCCAACATGGCAAAATAGCATTATTCTCAACTCTACATTCTGCTAGAGTTAAGAAACTTTTACTTCTTGCTCAAGTATTTGGTTGAGACATCTGAGGAAGAGAATCGGTTCCAACATTAGGAAGCCAATTACACAAAAGTATGTTCACAATTAAATTTGACGTCCAAATGGAACTCTGAGGAGTTTATGCAAACAAGATTCAGCCTACACAAGAGAATCTGATATACATGTAGATTACAAGGAATAAATAATACAGTTTTGACATGTTTTTAGATTAACACTAGAAATATTTGGCACATTTCCTATAATTATAGAGAAGCACAAACATAGAGCGTCCATTTTGAAAGTTACTAAAGCAGCTTGCTTACAGCACCAAAAACCGAATATGATCAGTTAAAGTTAACTTGTAATTTCATAATATGAAAAAGTGAAACACGATTCAGTCAATCATATTAAATCATTTCAAACCTGGTGATGTGCTGCAGAAGTCAATAGATCAACTGTTGCAATAAACAGATCTTCATTAGATGCAGACTGCTCCAACAATATGTAGCTCAGAGATAGTCTAAAATCCACGATCTAAGAACCATTTAAGTTATCAAAAATCATAGTTGAAAAACATCAGTTCGATGGCATTTACAATCTAAAATTTAATCAATTTGAAAGGGTCAGACTAAGATCCACAAACCTGATTAGATTCTGGAGCAAAGCATGTGGTTCCATATGAAAATGGTTGAACGGAATCTGCTATAGAAAATAAGAATGAAATAAACCTAGCAGCACCAATTTGGATGGCCTATATAGACAACAGAACAGAATGTGGTTAAGTGACATAACAGTATGTCAGGCATTTCCATGTATGCCTTCACCAAAAGGGCATATAAATTTACAGTTAATTTTTGAACTAGAGCAGAATCAACAATGATGTGCAGAACTCAGTATAAGGCACGCCAAAGTACATGTTTATGAAGCAAATGCACAAGCACACATACAACAAGTCAACAACGCCATGTAGAAAAAGAGATATGACATACCAGGCGTCAACAAGAAAAATTAGTAAATTATCTAGCATATGGAACTAATTAGTTTCTTTCACAATAAACACATGGCACAAGTCATAACTGCAAAGTAGACGAGGTCTCTGCAGACTGGTAGAACACACACACAAAAGGGAGGTGTTAGTTACTGTTAAATAACTACGCATCAGTACTGCAGCATGTCCATAATCGAGATAAGAGGCACATAAAAAATCATGAAAATATTCTCATACTCCCAATTTGAGAAAGGGCAGAGTTCATACAGGATCTCGAAAGTATGAAATCAAGGATATAACAGCAGCAACAATGGGGACAGAATTGGTTGTACATGATAGCACTGCCTGGTGAAAAACAGAAATGGTGGATGATGCCTCCTGGAATACACAGAATGTCTATCAGTATTTCCTTTATACGACTTACCGGTGCAGATAACAATGACAACTATGGATCACAATCAAAACTAAAAAGAGCAGTTAACAAATGAGACAAACAATAGTCAAGCACAATACTGCTTTAGTTCACAGCACTGAATTTTTGTAATCTCATGGAGACCTAAGCAAGCATGGGGACCCATCCTCAAAAACCAGCTTGTAAGGTGGAAGAACTATGCTGTTTAAGTAGAAAAAATGTAATTACAGCTACTTAATGTGGGACTCCATCATAGCACCACCACCCTAAAAGAACTGACAGCCTCAACTATACTCTACGGTGCGGACTCCAGTTAACTGGCTGTAAACTCCACATTAAGCTTTTTCGGAGGAGGTTGATCCAGCTTGATACCTATAGATGGAGACCAAAGCAACAATGGGAATTCACCATTGAAACTGGCTTGTAGGAGGACAAAGCCATGCCACATAAGTACCACAAGAATTACTTGTGGCTACTAATGCAGGACCATCATAATCACAGGTAACTAAGACCATCAGGAGAAAAAATATAAAATATACACTTCTACAGCAAATTGTACAATTCATTAGCTGTGAATAGTGTGGCTTATTTTTCGAGACTATGCAATATACAAGGAAACCTATCCAATTCCTCCTCATAAATCTAACATTCAACATTAAAAAGACCTGTGATTTTCCTCTTTACCTCAGAAAATTTGGTCAGCATGACAAGAAGAACATCTAATACAGAACTTATTGCAAATTGTAACCCTTCAATCTCCACTGGATCAAAGAGGCGGCTTGCATGCAATTTCTGTTCAACAAAAGTGCTTTTGTCAATAAGGTCAAGGAATAGGGACATTGTAGCAAGTATCAGGTAACAAGGAAAACAAAAATAATTCGACGTGTCACCTCCAAGGCATTCGTTGTAGTGCAAGCAATTTGGAACAGCGTCTTGTGAATGGATGAATCAGAGAACAACACATCATGAATTATCTCACCTATTTTTCCATGGCGAGCCATCAATATGTTGCATTTCTTCATCAATTCAAGCACCTGTTATAATATCCAAAGTAAAAAGTAGTCATAACGGCAGCTTAGGAAACCTCCATCACAATTTTTCCCAGAATCACGTCACACCCGCTTGTAATTTGGGGGATTAAATATCAAGGAAAATTCCAAAAAGACTTTGGGTAAGAATAATTCTAATGACGAAAATGTCAACTACAACCACAGAAAAGAGTCATTAATCATGCCAAGAAAAAATCAACCACTTGTAGTTCACCATTTTCATCATGGTAAGTACACTTATCAAAATAACATTCTCCAGAGAAAAAATTAGCAACAGCAAAAGCACTACAGATTTGATTCAATGTACCACAATCTTCAAAAGCCCAACTCCTTACAGGAGTCGAAGATAACAAGATACAAGCATATGAAAACAAGAGATCTTTCTGATCAACATATATGCCGATAGAAAACCTGTATATTTGGAATCATCTTATCTAAACATGACTTTACTTTGAAATGAGCATTGGATATAAAGCTGAATTTTTATTATTTTAGCTCTTCCCCATATCTTAGCTGGTTTGTTTAGGCTGTTTTTATTTGACTTTTAGGTATTAAATTCCAAGAAGAAAGAAGCCACTAAAATCCAATTTTAACTGAAACTATCCCGTCTCTCATCAAAGGTGAGGTGAAGAACCTTACAACAAAGTGAGGTGAGGAAGAGAAATAATAATAGATTGCACCTTGCAATAAAGAAGGGTGAACAAGGCCTCCGCCTTGCAAAAGAGGAGACAGAAGAAGGCCTGCACCTAACTACAAAGTGACTTAAGGAAGCCAAGAACTGTGCTAGCTGCTAAGAGGGGTGATAGCCAAAAAAAGGCAGACGTTGCACCATGCAACAAATTAATCATTGAAAATTAAGAAGAAAGAATTATGGATCCATAACAAAGTAACCAAGAAGAATTAGGGACCAAAGTTAAGAAAACAAGGAATTTTTTTAAAAACGGAAAAAACACTAAATGGCAAGAAATACGAAAAATAGCAATGATAGCTTCATGGAAAAGTGGAGATAATGTTTTCTAAACATTATATTACTTTTTCAGAAGCCTTAGTTATTAATTAGAATTTTACATTTTTAGCAGTTATCTCTATCTGAGTCAGTTTGTTGAGGCCATTTTCCCCTTGGCTTTTGAGTAGTTCAGGGCCTAAGTGGGGCGTTTTAGCAGCCTATTACATATGCATGCCAATAGTCAAACTAATCAATGACAAAGTCAATTCTGAATCATTATCAGTCATCTAGGAGGTCAACTAAAGATTAACTAAGAATCAGAAATTATGTGACTTCTAGTAGATGCAAGAAATACCTTCAATGTCACTTTCCATCGCACATGCTTCATCTTGTATTTCCAGGATTCATGATTAACCAGAACATACTGCAAAGAGAAAATAATTAACGCCAGGAGACAATCATTCTCCACCCCAGTTTCTACCAGCTGAATGGTAAAGTCCAGAACTGCAAGATTTCGATCACCAAGAATATAGAGAAAACATCAGAACGCTCAACATAAATGACTAGAAATATAGGAAACAAAGCAAAATCACTGGAAATCTAGGTGGAAAAAATTATGCTCATTTACATGTAGTTCAGCCTTCAGAAGAAAATGCCAAAGCAAAGCAAGCAAGCGAGACAATGTACAATCAGAAATGGATATACAACTAAATAAGAACGTATCAATCAAAGAATGATAAACTCCACTAGCTGTACCTGATATTGCCAAGGGGCAGTCATCACTGTTTTGTTCACAGTCAATTAAAAGCATCTTAGCTAGTTTGCCAGAAAGCAGCCATGAACCACTGGAAAGGATATAATAATTAGATGTTATTTGACAATATATAAAATGAGCCACAATAGTAATAAGCCACGATGACACTACATGTCCAGAGTCCAACCCAAAGACAGGACACAGGAAATTTAGGGATGAGGGATTTTAGAAATTCATGAATTATAAGATGGAAGGGAATTAAGTAGCTCAGATTAAGTTTCTGTCATTTGGAAAACCCATTGCTTGGATACCTAAACTTTACAAAGTAATTCCTTTCTTTTTGTACTTTTCATAGCTGTATGGTGCCAAGGTTTAATCCAGGGCAAAGGCCCAGGGTTTGGAGCCCAGATCTGGTTTCAGCTCCAGGTTTCAGGACAAGTTTGGAGCCACGCATTTGGTCGTTGCAGGTTTGGCCAATAGTAAGGAGTTGAAAAAATATAAATAAAATACCACCTAACGTGAAACATTTGAATTCTTTGTTTTTGACATAAAATTTCCATGATAAATTACTTCGAAAATCTAAAATCGTTTTATTAATCATCCAAGAAGGAAAAAAAGCAGCTTTTGTTTGAGTGTCTGAAATGCTCTAAAAAAAAAATCTCTCTTAGATTACTTCATCCAAATACATGGTAAAAGAAAATGTCAACTCTTTCTTTCACAGCAGATAACGAGTAAAATGTGTGAGCATGCAATTTCAGAGCAGTCTCACGTAAATACCATACCTTGACAAAGCATTATTCCCTCTACTGAAAACAGTTGTCTGCAAAGCCATATCAAATATATTTGCATTTAGAGCAATTGCTGCAACGGTAGAGGGAGAACTGGATACAAAGGAAATGAAAAAAGTTAGCATTTCCTGTTTCCCCAAAACCAATGGAAGGTCCAAAAACAATTATAAATCTAGAAGCCCCAAGGAGTAGAACATCAAAGAACTCGTTAAAACATCACATTTTTTTCTTAATTTAGATAGATCAACCAAATAAATAACATAATGTTGCGTATACAAAAGTAACTATGTAAAATCTACGGAAACAAGTTAATCACCAAATTAACATCTTTCCCAAAATCTTGATGCCCTTTGACATCAGTGCAGCACCATAGGAATTCAGAGATTGCTTTTTGACAAGATTGCAAATAATCTCAATCACCCTATCAAGACGCAGATAAAAAAAACTCAGATATCAAATAGGCAAGGGAAATCAACAAAAGGAATTTAATAAAGGACAAACAATGTGTAGCAGACAAATCTTACCAGACATTCTTTTCCTGCTCGCTCATCAAGCTGACAGCATGAAAATGTGCAGAGCAGCTCAGACTCATCAACTCAAAACAGACAGCCTATCACAGAAAGAGAATCTGTAAGGAAAAAAGGGACAAATCCTAATCCCAACATATCAGCAGTCAAGAACCCATTTATTTAATACAACTTTGAGAGCAGCTTCCCAAATCATACTTTGTTGTCTGAGCAATCCAAAGTTGCAACAGGTTCCATAACAGAGCAAAAATATCATACCACATTACAACAAAAAGCAAAACTTTCTTACCCCGTGCCAAAATACACAAAAGAAAGTTTCACCTGGATAAGTGTAGTGAATAGAACGTAGCTTACAGGAAAAAGCATTACACCATGAAGCACCAAGGACAAAGATATCATAAATAACTAAATAATAAATGAAAGAAAAACTTGTCAAAGGGCATTCTACAAGCATCCTCACAACCTCAAATAGAAGGACCCCTAGAAAAACACCCTAAATTCAGTCCAAGACTAGAAGTTTTACTCTTCAACTTGGATTTCCATGAATTATATAAGTACTTTCAAATCAAGAGGAGAGAAATTGTATTCCGAACCATAAAAAAAACACAAGAAGGGAGGAAGGAAATAACAAAACGATATATTAGGCCACTCAAAGCACACTAACATTAATCAAAGAAGTTAAATATGTGCAGTGAAATGGAAAAAACATGGATATTGATTCGACAAAGTTCAACATTACAACGTAAATAAATCAGCTATTCAACATGGAATGCCGGGGGGGGGGGGGGGGAAGAACTTAGTTAACGGTATGCTGCAAATTTGCAAATTACCCGCAAGTGTCATTATTAGACTGACAAAAAGCACCATAAGCTCAGCAACGATAAGCAGATTCAAGAAGGTTTAATATTGAAGCTTATGAATCAAATTTCTTCACGAAGAAATAATATAATTGCCAGAATAATTGATACTCTGATCTCATTATTACAAATACCACCTTAAAATCACATGATGCAATCATAGAAATGTACTATCGTAAACCATTAGTAGGCACCCATGGAACAGTTGCTTGGACGATGGCAACAATTATCACTATTGGTGGTATTACATTAAATAACTGTGGCAACAATTATCACTATTGGTGGTAGTACACTAAATAAGGAGCAACCGTGGACACAAATGACAATTAAAACTTACAGTGTTAAAGGAAACCAATCTACTGAGCAGATCAAGAGTCAAAAGGACCTCCTCCTTGTCATTCAAATGTACCTCTTGGGCTAAACGTAGGAGTAAGAGAAACACTCCTGATGTTGCATGCTACAAAACAGATTATTGTATCAATATTTAAAAAAAAAAAAAACAGAGAGAGAGAGAGAGAGAGCAAGAAAGGAGGCAGGATAACTGAGTTGAGATCAATTTGATGAGACCAAAAAATATTCATAATAAAAGCCGTATAAAGAAACCAGATTTAGACCTAATCCTCCTTATTTGTATCTTTCTTCTCTCTTTATCTCATACAGAGGAGAGCAGTTATAAACACTGATTCCCAGGTAATTGCTAAATGAGTGAATCAACATGTATTACTTGTTACCACTAAAGAAAAAACATATCTTCTCAAAAACGAATCTTGCAAAAACAAGAACAATTGAATGCCATCAAGTGTCAGATCAAACAACTGTTACCCTTGAATTTGTAGAGAAATTCCTTTCAAAGAACACTGTGTGGTTGGGTTGGGTAAACAGGTCATGTTCAATTGAGGGTTAAATCAAAAAGACACCCATAGAAGTCTAAAGTAAATTCTAATTTGAATTTTTTTTGTTCCTTAACATATAAAATGAAAGCTTATTTTCAGAGAAAATACATCAAACAGTTCCTTTATTTGAATGAAAGGAGATTCCAGTATAAAGGAATTGTGGCAATGGGCTGCCATGGAATCATTTGACCAGTAGAGTCAAAAAAGAAAAGATTTATATTTGATATAGATGGCAGAGATTTAGGGATAATGGAAGAGAACTAAAATGAAGATTTCATCCCATAATATCTGAGAGTGGAGATCAGCTGAAAAAATAAATGAGATCACAGCTAGGTTCATTAAATGAACAGCAGCTAGTAGCAATGATGAGCAATACTAAAGCCATAATTACCAACAACCTTCCTACAAGGAATTTACAGACCCAGCCACCATGTCTGTGGCTGCAAGTACAACTTTAGGTGACCGCAAGCATTATATAAGGCAGGAAGTATACAGAAATACTAGGCAGACAAGCAAATAAATAAATAAATAAAAATCCACTTATAACTGACTGATTTTCATCAACAATAAAAAAAACACCTAGGGAAATTTATGTATAGTCAAAAGAAAGGAACATCACAACAAGATTAAGAGACACACCTCCCATCGTACAAGGGCGGTATTCCCTCCAATTACTTTCAAGATATGTCCACGAGTTCCAGCAGGAATAAAAAAGCCTTCAATTCCAGGAACTTGCACTGCTTGTTGTGCCTCAACTATGTGAGAGACATCTGCCACTGACTCATTACTAATCTCAAACAAGGATGACACACCAATAGACCTATCTAGGAAGTTATACCTGTTGAATAAAAGAATTCTTAAGACACAAGCAGGAATTACATGAACTAGGTTAAAGAAAAGAGTTTTCTCTCCACCCCAAATGCATCGTTAGGTAGTACGTCCAGCTAATATTCAAGAAAATAAACCCGCACAGCTTTCACTTGATAGCATACAGTGGCATGATCAACAAGCAAAACAGAGTCTTAGGATATGAAAAGGCATTCTAAAAAACAGTTCTGTTGGACCCATAATATAATCAGCCAGGAGACATTGTGGGCTTTTGTCAGGTGTGAGGTGTCAGAGTGTGTTGTGTGTGAGAGCGCACACATTGCAGTTGAAGGGGTCATGAGGAGGTTAGGCATTCAGTGAGTGACATATAGGAGAGTCTAGCCTCTGGAACAGCTAGAGCATCAGTGTGAGTGTTCTGTATTTTAGGCTTATTTTCTGTATTTTCATCTGCTTCAACCTATACAATATGTCACCTCAATTGGGCAAATTACAGATGCTTCAACAAACAGATCATAAGAGGGGAAAAAAAAAAATCATATAATGGATCAGTTTACATTACTCCAGTACATGAGATAACAGAAAAGCACAAAAATTAATTACTTACACACATTCTGCGGGCCACATGCCCTCACAAAGGGAAGACAAGAGTTGCACAAGTTCCACTGTCTGGAAAGGGAACTCATTCCCTAGGTTGCAAAGAAGACAACGAATTGGACCATCAATAAAGCTTTCCTTGTCCCAAAACTGAATACATAGTGATTCCTGCAAGTTAAAAAGCACAGCTGTACAATCAATGAATGATTGCAAATAGTGACAATGATACTAAAGCAATGAATGACCTGCAGGACAATAATTAAACATGCAAACCTCTCCTCTGTAAATCTTGCAAAGAATATCCAGTATCAAAACGGGGTTGCTGTCCTCTGCCTGCTCCTTCGTTGAAGTAGACATATGAGAATGCCATTAATAAACATAATGAATTATAAATTTCAAACATCTTACCTGAATGTTGACCTCATAAGATGCAATAAATGCAGATATTAATGTTCTCAAAACACTACGATATCCTGAAACAGGACCCTGGGTAGAAGAGAAAAATCAGTTATTGCATCCAGTTTCACTAGCAAAGCTCATAATACAAACAGAGAATTCACACGCTATGCTATCAATATTGTACAAGTGTAGACCTGAGAACGTAAAGTATACTTTCTTCAGTCATTTAAGTATAAAGCCCAATCTATTTGAAAGTTTCAATGGCAAAACTCATAATACAAACAGAGAATTTACACGCTATGCTATCAATATTGTACAACCGTAAACCTGAGAGCAAAAAGTATACTCTCTTCAGTCATTTAACTATTTAAGTATAAAGCCCAATCTATTTTAAAGCTTAATGCTTCTGATTGAAACAAGAGAAATTAGTCAAGGTTTAATAGAAGTTTGGTAGACGCTAGGATAAAACTACAGATGGGCCTTCAATTGGAAGGCTTAAGCTTTTGTGCAAATGTGGTATTTGACATCATGGCATGACATTGGACCCTTTATCACCATGTGATTAAGAGTTCAAAGCCTGAAGGTCCCATTCTAGATGATTAAATGAAATTTTGGCACCAAAAATTGAGATTGTTCTTCATCGATCCTACAAGCCCAAAGGGCCTTAATGTGAGGTGCGTAGGCTATATATTAAAACAAAACTATTCATGACCAAGCTAACAAACTTAAGCTTTTGCGCCAAAATGATTCCCAAAGAAATCCATCCACAATAGCTATTGATGCAACATGAGAATGACTCACATCGTAATCCTTCAGTATGTCACACTCAAGAATTTCAAGACAGTAACTAAAGGATGCAGCCTCAAATGCTTGTCGAACATAACCAACATGATCAATCTCCTGGAAGCAAAGGAAAACAAGGATCAGCTATGTACTATAAACAAATTCACAAGTAAAGAACAATTTAACTTAGTCACTGGACCACCTACCATGAGGTCATTGTTTTCATCTTTTCCTGGAAGTGTCAATAGCAGATAAAGAAATGCTGCCCACGCTAGTATTAAGGGGCTGGCTTCTTTCATTTCAAAAGCATTGAAAGTAGAAATTAATGCATCCATCTCTTGGACATCAATCAGTGAAAAAGTAGACGCACCTTTCCTAAGAAAAAACATACAAATTTTGCAACACTTAACAACATATTAACAAAAGTACAATAACATTGCAAATTAAGAGCAGCCCCAACGTAACCAACACTAACACAAGACACATAATAGACATAAAACATAAAACACAAATCTTATAACATCTAAGTGGGACTGCCTCGCCTCTTCCTAGAATAAACTAGTAAAGGCCGCTAGTTCCTATCAAGTTCCGATGAAGATAACTCTAACCAGAGATTAAGATCACCCAAGTCAGAATCATTTAGAACTAGGAGTTAAACTCTATATACTGATAAGATTACAGTCAATATCCCTTTGGCTTGACCAACTGTCTCACAATGCCTTCCTTTTGTAACTTCAAAACTTTGATTATAATGTAAATAGAAGCTAGGCTATACCTGTAAGGTGTTTCATCATGAACCATCTGAAGAAGATTTTCCAAATCCAGAGTTTCTATCAGGATAAGTAGCAGTTGAACTTTGGCATGATAAGACAGTTGCCAGGCTTCTGATGTTATTGCAAGCTTTCTTAAGTTATAGTGACCAGAAATGATTCCCTGGATCCATGATATTTTTTGAGCAAGGATTAGATCTACCAAAATATCACCAAAAAGCAACAGCATGAGTATAAAAATATGTACCTTGTACATGTTACATAATTTCTTCCACTTTTCACCACTACAGGCACAAAATGAGTCATAATACGAAAGGAACAGAATGTCCAGAACTAAGTTGTCTTCAATTAGAGTCTCCTCGGCCCACAGAGTGAAAAGATCAACATCCTTCCAAGCATTTCACAATTGATATATTTTAAGAGATTAAGAAATAAAACTTACAGGCGAACAGAACATTCATGACATACAGAAACCAAAGAGAATATTATGTGGAGTAAGACACTCTTACATAGGCCCATAGCACACTTATAGCAACAAGAAAACATAATTCAACAAGAATCAGGTATAAATAATTCATATATTTATGTATTTTTAAAATAATACATCCAGGTGAAAGAGTGATCCTCGTGTATTATGCAAAAGCTATTCTTCATACAATCATGCAGAATTCAGGGGCAATTTGCACTTATGTCACCTCAGAGTTGTTGTAAAAGGAGGTATAGTTATTCAGGAACTAAGGAATTGTAAACAGTATGTATAACTAACTCATATGAAGCTAAGCTCAGAGTTATGAAGCTCTCAAACTTTAAATGGTGGTTTAACTCATTCGTTAGTATGGATATAGGCACAAGAGCTGCCATAAGGAAAGCTATGCATTGGATCAACTCAATCTCTCCTCTCTTCTTGCAGGAACCACACTGCTTACAGATTCACTGTTTTGAAGGAGTTTTATCCAAATCTCAGACTTCTCAGTTGCCAGTGTAGCAATGTCATTAAGATTGGTATTTTTCACCTTAGCAGGAACCTTCTTGATATTTTCATTTCTACTTCAAATCTGGGCCATAAATTTTCAAAAAAATTCTGTAATTGACCTCCTACGTGTAAACTTCAGTTTCAAATCAATAAACTGACTAATCAAAAGAAGAAAAAAACTCAGTTATAGCAGTAATAAACATCGTGTAGAGTTGGCACTTGAATAAAGATTTTTTTTTTTTTTTGGGGTAAACTTGCCAGAAATTCAAACATACCATTTGCTCTGGATAACTAAAAAGCAAAAGATCCTGAAACAAAGATATTAATTTGCTTTCCAGTCCATCATGAAACAACTTTTTAGCCTCCTCTCTAATAACATGTTCTTTAGAGCCTGGTCCGATATATACTGCAGAACGTCATATACAGTATCAGAATTGAAAGCGAACAGATAGAAAAAGGAATTTGTTATCAAACCATACATCAACAGAATGTGTGCTTGCATGCGTGCATGCGTGTGTGAAAAAGGAAGACCTGACAGAGCAAGCGGTGAGAAAATACACTTACTAGCATGCATGAGAATCCACCTGATGCATTTCAGCAAGCACTGTCTCTCCGTATAATATTGAATCACTATCTTCACAAAAAGAAGGGAAAAGAAATTTATAGCACGAAATAAACAAACAAATTGGAATTGCGCATGATATGAACAATCTAAAAGTCAGCAGGTGACTTTGTTAGGGTGATCAGAATTAAAATATAGCGGGAGGATTGAGATACTGAGCCACTAACCACGTGAAGAAATTCTTGAGCCATGGAATCAACAGCAACATTGTTATTTTTTATTGACCTTTCGGCAATAATGTACGATTGAACTTCATCTAATTGCTGAAAGCATAACGAAAATTTCCATAAAAAGCAGTCAATGAAGATATCAGCAGAATTCCCTTCATAATCAATACTAATTCAATGCAACTGGGTGACACCAGGCATACAGAGGAAAGAAACCAAACACTATCCATTCAGCAGCACAATAAGAAAAACTTCAGTTTTTATTCTTCTCAATTTAAACGTTTCACTCACACGAAATAACCTCCCCTCCCTGCCTCAAAGTAGAAAAGATAATTATTAATGTGATCGCGAAGCACTCACCAAGCAGGAGCTGATTTTCAAAGCTTTATCTTTCAAATGTGTTTGTATAGTAAGTTGGTGAGATCCGATTTGCAGTTTCTTCGAATTCAGAGCTTCCTTTGATTTCTCATTTGGCGGCTTGAAGCGCGAAACTGCATCCACTAGCCAGGAATGGTTGTCCTTCAACTTTTTCACCTAAATAAACACCAAAATAATGCATGTGAATACACATTTACACGTACTGGTATACATATAGGGGGGAGAGGGGCAGAGGTGGTTGAAATTGTACCAAGTTTTGAGGGAGGTCTGAAGAGAGAGAGGAGTTCTCGAGCTCAGAAAGCAGCAAAGTGAAAGAATCCCACCAAAGAGAAGCATCGACAGACTTAGTATCCGCCATTGCAGGGAGGAGGGAAGAGGGAGAGCTTAAACCCTAGCTCAGAATGCAGGTGAAAGACTGAAAAGCTTTAATATTTGATTCTTCTCTTTTTCGCGCTTCCTATGCTTGCTTCGTCGCTCGGCAAGAATGACGAGGCAGAGTGACTCGGCCCCAACGCAGGCCGCTCAGTAAATCCTTCTGGTGGCTGGGATACTCGCCGTCCTTGTTGAGGCATAAAATTTCCCCGACTAATCGTTAATAAAATCATTAAAAAAAATTAGTTAAATCAATTATTTGTAATAAATGAATTTGTCTTTCTTAATATACTATCTAATGAAATTATCTCTCAATAAAAAATCACAAACATGTAATTATTATAAGAGTTATTAGTTTATAAAAAATTGTAAATTTATGAGATAAAATGAACTGTAATCTCATCGTTAGAACTAAAATAAACTCTTTGTAATAATAAATGAAAAAAGGAAATGACGATGAGCACGACAATAATGTGGTACTACTATTAAAATTGTCTAGTTTTAAAATTTAAAGTCAAGAAAATCGAGTGAAATTATATTTGTATTGTGGAAGAGAAAATTGTCTAAATTCATTACACACTTAATTTATAATTAACTAGAAGTGTAAATGTTTCAAGACCTATTTGAGATAATGTTCAAAAGTATTTATAAGCATATTTCATATAAGTCGAGACAATACTCCTCTCATATATTTATCTTGTATTTTGTAAATTATGATTGAAAAGCTACTTAGAAGCTATTTCAAACGAGGCCTCATACAGCTTAAAAAGCAATATGTGATTGGCAATGTGGTTAAGTACTAATTAAGATGGTAATAAGGTGTAATTCAGTTAGTATAGTAATACAATGAGTTATCAGAGCACGTGGTCAAAATCCTAGCTCAATACAGACAATTCATTTTCTTCCTCAATTTGGTCCAAATTTTTCATACCAATCTTAAGGAGTGTTTAGAAACCATTAAAAGCACTTTTAAAATATAATATTACATGAGTCGAGATAAAATTTTTCTCAGGTACTTACTTCATATATGCTATAAAATCACTTTTAAAATTATACTTTTATTTCCACCCAAATACCACCCAAACACACGACACTCACCCTTCTCCCGGTCACATAGGGATATCAATCCCCTAACCTTCTCAATAACAGGGATGGGCTAATGTCATATGAGCCAAGGCTCAATAGCTAGAGGTAAAGATAAGAGTCAATTCAACCTTCTTAATAAGTATAAAAACTGAGATTATAAAAAAAAGACATGAAATAAATTATAAAAATTAATGACAGAATAAGATTCTGATTAATGACTGGGTCGTAGGGATTTAAACAAATAGGAGTACACTATATTCGCTGGCAGTGTGACTCTCTTGCATTTTTTATATTTATTACTTGATTATGCAATGTTAAGAGAAAATACATTACTTTATTGATTAAATAACATCGAGGGGTATGGCATGAATAAAAATCAAAGTTTTTGACCAAAAAAATAACAATAAAAAAAAGACTGGTCAGCACTAATATTTTGAAAATAATGTCAATGTCAGTGTCAATAAATGTGTAACGGTATTTTTAAGAAAATGTATTACTACTTCTGGTCCTAAATATAAAAGTTAGTTGACTAATTTGAGTATATTAAAGAAATGTTAAGTTAGCTATTTGTAAAAAATAGGTGTTATCTTTCTTAAAATATCATTGTTAATCAAGTTTATTAGATAGAATTATCATTATTAAAAAGACTATCTCGGGAAAAAAATTAAATAAATAGGAGAGGCAAAGTAGATTAGGGTCTTATATTTATGACAAAAATAAAAGTCAAACGAGATTTTATATTAAGGACTAATAGTAATATTTAAGAATCATCGATAGACATGCCTCAAATTTTATGCAAAACCTGAAAAAAAATGAATAATAGCAACTTAGCAAGTGAATTATGTAATTTTTAGCCTAGGATGAATCATTCCAAGAATAAAAAGGTTTTTACTAACAGAGTCTTTATATTAACAGTGAGATTTAAGCCAATATCTCATGTGGATGTAGTTCAACTTCTTATCAACCAGACTAACATTTGTCAGCGTTTATATTCTCTATTTTTTTATTATATGGTTTGCATCAACCAAAAAGAAGAAGTCTAAAAGTAATCAATTCCGTTACTTGCCCGAGGCATCCATTCATCAGCACTTCAATTCAACTGAACTAGTTAACTTCGTCTAATTGCGCAATTAGTCTTTTGTGGTCCCCCTCTGTTTTTACAGAGTAAACTATTCTTTTCTGTCATGAACTTAAATAAAAGCTCAATAATTAGAGGTTCATATAATGGGATATACTTCTAAAGCAGAGCCAGGGATAACATGGACATGCAGAGTAATAGTGTACTACTGACCAAAAACAAAGACATAAAGGAGTAATAAATTAATGGGAATTACATTCAGAACATGAAGATCTCAATCTTTTTCTCCACTATTATTAGCATCATCATTCTGCATTCATATAAGCAAGCACAGATACAGACAGAAAAAGTCCCTGCATGTAACCAACAATAACCACCCACACATTAACCATAATAAAAGCTTCTTCAAATAGCAACATTGCTTCCGTTTTTTTTCTCTACAGTCACTCCTGACGTTCCTATCCACTTTCTCTATACCCTTGTAGGCTTTATTGCTGCAACAATATTCATAGATCTCCAATGATCCGGAAAGCAAAAGGCAGAAAGAAACCATGCACGTGAATCGGTTGCTCCTTCTAGTTTGAGAAATTCCCTCCCAATGGATGATTGCACAATAAGTTAACAAAATTAACTGATAACTTTTATTAACTTATTGCACTATGTGGCTTCTGAGAACTTCTCCGTCCAGTTGTAAAACTATAGTAGTCTATGCATGAGGAGGAAAATGAGGCACCAGTGGCCATTTTCCAAACTTGGGGTGATGGAAGTGCTTTTGGGGGATCTTCGGAAGTGGAGGAAGCTTAGGAAAAGGCTTCTTCTTGAAAGGAGGCAACTTTGGGAATGGAGGAAGAGGCTTGAAAGAGGGATGCTTGTAAATTGGAATAGGTGGATAAGGAAGTGGCTTCTTGAAAATTGGGATTGGTGGTGGAAGAATCTTGGGAAAAGGATGAGGCTTGAAAAATGGTGGAATAGGAGGAAGTGGCTTCTTGAAAAACGGATGTGGCTTATGGAAGAATGGAACTGCAGGAGGACAAGGCTTCTTAAATACCGGCACAGGAGGAGGAAGAGGCTTCTTATATTCCGGTACTGGTGGAGGCTTTACATAGACAGGAACAGGAGGAGGAAGAGGCTTCTTATATTCTGGTACTGGTAGAGGTTTTACATATACAGGCACAGGAGGAGGAAGAGGCTTCTTATATACAGGCACAGGAGGAGGACAAGGCTTCTTGTATACTGGTACTGGTGGAGGCTCCTTAATTATTGGAGGAGGAAGAGGCTTTGTCAGAGGAGGAGGACGAGGCTTCTTGTATACTGGTACTGGTGGAGGCTCCTTAATTATAGGAGGAGGAAGAGGCTTTGGAACAGGAGGAGGACAGGGCTTCTTGTATACTGGTACTGGTGAAGGCTTGCTAATTATAGGAGGAGGAAGAGGTTTCTTGTAAATAGGAACTGAAGGAGGGACCGGTTTATAGACCGGGGTGGGAGGAGGGACCGGTTTCTTATAGAGTGGGATAGGAGGAGGGAGAGGCTTCTTGTAAATAGGAGGAAAGACCTTTGGAGGTAAAGGAGGGAAGACCTTAGGAGGTAGAGGAGGGAAGACCTTAGGAGGTAGAGGAGGGAAGACCTTTGGAGGTAGAGGTGGAAAAACTTTATGATGAGGGAAGGGGAATGGATGGCCAAAATGTTTAAAAGGTGGAAGCTTAGGGAGCAATGGATGGTGAGGCTTTGGAGGTAGAGGTGGTAGTTTAGGTAAAGGAGGGAAGTTGTTGAAAGGCCAAAAAAATGCTGAAGTGCAAGTTACTGATGAGAACTTGACTGTTTCATATGGCTTCAGGATTTGCTTGCCATTTTCAGAGTTAACCACAATTTTGGAGTTCTTCAAGCCATCACGAGCAGGACAAGGAGCAGATGAAGCACTGTGAAGCTGAGCATAGCACTCTTCTTTCAATTCACCATCTTTTAGTATCTCTGTTGGAAGTGATACTTTGAAGTTTCCCTTCTCATCAAGCTCACCGGCACCTTTTGTTTTGAAATGGCCATTCTGTGATTTGCAATCTATAGTCACACGCAGCCCTGCACAGCAATTTCACCCTCAAAACATTATTATATATCTATCTAATTGAAATTAATTAACTCTGTTTTTAGGACAGGTTATTGTTAAAGTAAACATTTCTCCCAATATATCTGTTTTATTTGTCCATCTGATTTGAGGTGTTGAATTCAGTGATTAAAAAAAAAAATCCTGTTTCAAAGTTCCATTCTTAAGATTAAATTAAATTAATTTGAGTGAAATGGCAGGGAGTGCCAATTTTCCGTAATCACAAATTTATTGTATATTAATGCAATTTCAGAGAAATAAAGGGAGGGGAGGAGGAGGGAGCATGAGTCTCAAGAGGAAAAATAAATCTCGTATATAATACTCCTCCAATCCTTAATATATGACCCAATTGTTGAGTTGGTTTTGGTCCTAAATATAAGACCCATTTCTCATATTTGTTAATTTTCTCTAAATTACCCCTATGGATACTCCTTCAACCATAATCAAGTAGAAAAGGAAGATGGGGTATTAAGAAAGATGATTATGGTATTTTAGGAAAAACGCGTCACATTTCTTATAATTAACTAACTTACCTAACTTCCTTAATCTAATCAAATTAGTTAAATGGGTTTTATATTAAGGACCGGAGGAGTATTATCTTTAGTCCTAAATATCAAATTTAGTTTGCAGTGCAAATTGCATCAAAAATTAGATATTATATTTATAACCAGTAATACAATGTCACTTTTTTGGTTATTCTCTTCAAGTACATGATTATATGACTGTAAATGATGCAACTTAAGTAAAATGACTAGCTTGATTATGAATATCCTCTCTTTGTTATATCTTGGGATTTTTTTAGTTATTGATGTGATCAAAAGTTGGAGAACAATACCCGGAAGAAGAAAGCAGCTCCAACAAAATGGTCAAACCTTAAAGCTCAAAAGCAAAACATTATTAAATTAAAAGCTCATAAAAGAAGACAATGTACCAGAGAAAGCATGGCTGCTCTTAATGTTGTTCTGATTGCAGTCTGCACATTCTCCAACCCCAACAACCTGAACTGTCCTCTGCTCTCCGTAGCAAATGTCTGTTCCCACAAACAACACAGACAGCCAGAAGCAGATAACTGCTCCATGGCTAGCACTGAAGTTCTGCATCCACAACTTCTTTTGAGCTGATCAGAAGCAATCAGGCTTCCCAAGAAAATTGATGAGTATTGCTGAAGATTCATTCGCTCAATATATAACAATCTTACCGACACTGAAATAAAGAGTCTCACATGATGCTAGGGACAGCCATGGATGACTTAAGATGGCTTTGTTTTGCTTCGCAGAGAGAAAAAGACATTAACGTGGTCACAATGGTTTGCACAACCAAACTGGCATTATCTTTCAATTCAATGCTCTCTTGAACTCTCAACCACACAGATTAAAGAATTTGTGTGCGCTATACATCTGTCTCAAACCTACTTCATGGCTTCTAATAAATGCTTTTTACACCAGACATCATGATTCTCGAGAGTTGGACTTCCACTATTTTATTAGGCAACAAATGGTCATATTACTGTGGCTGACCTGATTGCTCGTACAGGATTCACAATTTGAGAATTTTACTGCACCTGCCATGCCAATTCACTTCCGGCTCCACGTGAACCAACTTGCATGCATCAACCAACTCTATCTCTATAATGTTCTGCAATCTGATCAGACTGAATAACTTGTCTTTAATCATATAAAAAGAAATCAAATAATTGAAGTTTGTTACTTATACTTACTCCTTTCGGTTCTAAACGTAGATGACTTTCAACTCTCTTGTTGGGACCAAGAAAATCAATTACCTCATTAAAAAAAAAGTCTTACAATTGAAGAAAATTCTATTTGTACTCCTGATTAACCCCAAAAGTTCATTATAATTTCAGAAAAAGGATATTTTTTTAAAAAAAACCATTAAATACTCCGAAAACCCATGCAAAGTAATACACATTTGAGACGTCGAAATGCAATGTACATAAAGCATCCGAGGGAGTATATATTACTTAGTGTTGGAAGTGAAGTATGAGTTCATGTGAGAATAGGAGACTATATAAGATATGAACTAATTGAAAAGGATGTATGTCAATAGAGAGACTTATAAATCTAATGATTTAACATTTAGGGGCTGACAAATAATACTATCAGACACGTTTATATACGTTCTCTTAAAATATAATGAATTTGAAAGGTGATGAGGATTTTCTTGACAGATAATGCTTTCCCAATAAATGCAGTTATTAAATATCAATTTCTATTGGGATCATTAATTTAAAATCATCATGGCTTCGAGATTCCTATGAAATTCTAGTCCATCTCTTTCATTTTACTGTAAAAAGTATCTAATGATGATCCTAATGTCAGTTAAGACGAGCATCATCAGTTTCCAAATATGTGGTATAGAAATCAAATCATTGTGACATTCTAGCTACTGCTGCTAAATTCAGTTGGCAATAATATCAGCAAACATGAGATCTTTAGATATTGCTAAACTGTTATGCCCTCTACTAATCATCCTCCTACCATGAACATGACCAATTAAATACCAAGTCAAGCTAAAATCATGTAATAACTGCTCAGCTACTTCTTTTAAATCATGACACCATCAGAGTCCTGGACACGAAGGTGTTAGTGCCCAATTATTTGCCCCTCAAATGGCGTTGTTTTCGTCAAGTAGATTATTTATACATAATTCAGACGGGGTAAATTTTAGTTTTATTTTGAAATTTTTATCTAAAAAGCAGAGAACAAAAGCAGTCTGTTAATTTGCAAATTTGAAAAAAATATATATATGAAAATCATTATTTTTAAAAAAAAATTAAATTTTAAACTATTATTCAATCTAATTCAAATCTCAACAAAAACAATTTAATGTTATTTCTGTCACTGATAACATGAAGCAATGTCGACTTGCCTCCCCATCGCATAAAGAAATATTGCATGAATAGGTTGCCAATTCAATTTTTTAAATCATTTTTATTGTTATTTTACCTCCATGTTAATTTTTTCTCGCAAATCAAAGATGGGGGAGCATGAGTTTTGAGCCACCTTGCAAGCTAATTTGTACATTTATTCGTTTAATAAATCATAATAGCAAACATTATAAAAAATACCTTTTTTGCCAGATATAAGAAAATAATGTTTTAATACTATACAAAAGAAAAGCTCTTATATTTACTCAGCTAAGTTTTACGTTGAGATTTCTACAAAACTAAACCCTTTTTAGGGGGTGTTTGCATTATCCCAAAAGTGTTTTTAAAAAGTACTTTTCCGTAAATCAATACAAATTTCTTCATATATTTACTTCGTATATCATAAAAACACTTTAAAATCATGGTTTTGTTTCCATTCAAACATCTCCTTATTCATATTCACAATCTCAACATCAAGGACAGATCTAGAAATTAATGTGGGGAGGGCCAAAAGAAAAAATCAGATGAAAGTGGGGGCTAAAATTAACTTTTAATTCTCTTTACAAATAAAAATACACAAATTTTGATAGAAATTTTGGAACATGGAATCCTTTATCCCAGTAGATTTTGAGAACTCCTAGAAAATGAAGTGGGATAGTTAGATCTGTACCAGTGCCATGGTGAAATTTTATGCCACTCAAGCCACATCATTTGTAAGTTGCAATTGAAAAAGGTGAATAGAAGTTTCTAACACGGTAGTGGCAGACATAAACGCCACGAGGAGAGTAAGAAACCAGTGTAATGTTAAACTATTTAGGAGTATTTGAGTGAAAACTAATATGGTGTTCAAAATAAGTATGTAAGAAGAGTTTTGTCTCGATTTGTATAAATCACAAACCAAACACCCCTTAGTTTATCATTCCTCACCAGAGTCAAGACAGTTCTGGATTTTTTCCGGTAAATGATTTGTGTAATTTGAATAATCAAGATCTTAAAAAAAAACAAATTAAGAAAATAAAATAAAGCACCGTCACAATCGCAGTGAATATGAGCCCATGTGTCTGCTTTTAATCCCCAAGCCCACCGCAACTATCATTCATTGGTCACAGCAGCAACATATTGTAAAAGGAAAAATAACATGATGATTTTATTTCATCAATTTTCCTTTATACATTTTATGTCTTTTTTTTTTAATAATTAAACATAAATATTCTCTTATTGGAAACTGTATCCGAAACACTATCAGAACTAGATGAAACGACAGAAATTAAAAAGTCAATTTGTTATATATAAGGAACTAACCTTTTCATCTCACTAAACCCAACCCCATTCGTTGTCTTTTGAGTGGTCACCTAGTCAACAAGCCTGGAATTTTTAAAGGACCACGTAAGCAAAAGCAAAACCTATCTCCCCTTTTTTCTCCTTCTTCACCTCAAATACCATTAGAGAGGATCCGGACTCGTCATTTATTAGCAGACATGATATAGCACGTTGATATGGCATGACTGTATATTTAGTAACCTAAAAAATTTAAAATAATATATTTTTTTAAAAAAGACTTAACCCATTGTGGAAAGGCTCTCTCCACACCAGCAACGCTACAAATTATAAACTACGGCAACACATGGACCAGAGGCCAAAAATCCAATTTAGTGCACAAGAAGAGCTGAATCTAGATAGTCTCAGCACGATATAAACCCCCCAAAAAAATCTGCCGGTTCGGGGGGGGGGGGGGGGAACTGTATTTCTCCGAACTCATTCCTGTCATCTCTCTACTGGACAGGCTAAACTTCATACAGAGGGGGGAATGGTTAAATTTACTCCATAAGTTAAAACAGAAAGGCAGCTTCTCAGCCTAAAGTAGTGCTACTTCTTTAGCCCTTTTAAATTCTCCAACCTAGTTGAGTTACAGGATTCTGAACTCCGGGGTCGTCTTGCACATATGAACTTGAGAAGAATTATTTATCTTTCTTCTTTGATTTGTTGTTCGACATGGCGTATGCAGTTCCCTGGGAGTAGACATGCAGTAGAAATAAATAAGATTAGAAGCCAAATCCAAACTCAGATTTAATGGTCTCGGGAGAAAGTATAAATACATAGTAAGGGGGGTGAGACTTCATATGGAAACTACATTTTACACCCCCAGAGTAAGGTCTGACTACAACAACAGTATATCAATTTTTAAATGGAACAAAACTTCCTCTGTTTTTCTTTTTTCTTTTCTTTTTTTTTAGGGTAAAGACACAAAATACCTCTCAGTCTCATTCAAAAGACAGTATCGCATTTTCCCAATGTGTGTGTGTATGTTGTGCTTTGTTACGCTGTTAAAATTTACTTAGTTAAGTTAAAATGAGGTCTTAGTTCCGGGTAAAATGCAATTTTTTCTTATGCTGGGAATCAACTAAAGTCACCATGACATTAAATAGCACAAGTGTCAAATACATAGTAAAGCATTAAAGCATAAACACGCACCTCAAGCCATTCATCCATTGAGGTAGTCCTAGTCCCAACTTCAACTTTTGCGCCCTTCTTTGTTTTCTAAGATTCATATGCAAAAATGAGAATTAAATGGGGAAAGATGAAAATAACCAGCCAGGAAAAAGAAAGTGCTGCTATGAGTTTGAAATATCTTATTAGCTGCTGTTTCAGTATTGTATACGCGTAGTGCTTGATAATAACAAAGCTATGACACAGGCACAGATACTAATGAAGAGCCTTCAAGAGAGACATTCTTATAATCTCCAGGAGTAATGGATTCTTTTACTACAGATAATTATGATGCCAAGGAAAATTACGGAAACATGAGTTCTCCAACTTGATTTCCTTCTTATTTGATTGGAGTAATTATTCATTTCTTTTAATTTTGCAGCATATATGCATCTTTCTAGTAAAACATTTCATTGCAGCAGATACTGAATTAATTAGAAAGAGGATAATGAAACTCAATAATACATAGAGTAAAGTAAATTAATGATTTGGTCCTGCAAGATTAAATCCATTCAAGGAAAACACGTTAAAAAAAAGTTGTAGTACCTTGGATGCGTTCTGAACTTGACCATAAATCCATAGCACAAAGAGGACAAGAAGGGCAGTTCCAAGAGTAACAAGAAAAACAGACTCCACGCTAAGAAAACTGCCTGCGTCAACAACTTCAATAGTGCCATTATAGAATGTGCTTTGGTATGGATGCTGGTCAATTTCATACACAATGGTTCCCACCAGATCAAAAGCTCCAGGCTGCATAGGAAAAGAAAATAATTAGGCATGTCAACGTTGTTCCTTTTCTGACGTTAATGACTGTGAAATTAAATCCATTAGACTTCCAAAACAACGGAGTTACCTGCAAGTATTGGCTCACAGCAAATGTATATGGGAAAGTACCCTGTGCTGAGGCTGGCACAGAAGCATAATTAAAAAGCTGCAATTAAAACACAAGCTACCATTTAATTTTAAGCCAAACTAGCATAGTATCAAAAACCCTAGTTCCTTCAGAAGGAATGGAACAAGCATGCGTTACACAATACCAGAGTTATAAATTCAGCAGATTTCATGCTTTCAGATGGATTTGTAAATCTAAGATAATTGAGCAATGTCTATCTGAAGGGAGGAGTGACTGCTGCTCTCTAAATGAAAAGGGAAGGATAAAAATTATATCAACAAACATTCTCAAGCCCATTTTCTCCACTCAACCCAACTCCCAGCAGCAGTGTCTATAAAATGGATGCCCACATATGCTTAGAAGCCACATTCTCAAGCTGTCTTATGAATAAAACAATATTTTCCTTATGAAAACTAATACAACAGTAGTTTATGAGCCAAAAGTAAGTGTGTGTGTGTGTGTGTGTTCAAATTTTCCACCAAAAAGAAAAACTTCATCGATTCTTGAGGTCCAGCATGACACAAGCCACAAGATAGAGACAGAGATGAAATCCATAATTGGATAGGTTAAAAGTTAACAACAATGAATTAAACATATGCTTCACCATAGGTCTTGAACGTAGATAACAAAAAGAAAGGGAAAAATAAATTCAACATCGAGCATGCAATTATTACCTGAGCTGTAAGATTTTGAACAACATAGTGGTGGTTATATGGGAAGTGAACACTAGCTTTAATTGCAATAACCTTCAAGCTTGCCTCCCCTGTTTCCAGTTCATACAATGAATTAAAGCAGGTAACTTGTCAAAATTTTTAAAACATGGGGTAACCAAGGAAGAGTCCGTAAATAATGTAACACATCTACCAAGATGAAGAGATGTTCAGAGAATGAGAAGATAAAGCCAAAAGATGTTATAGCTGATCAGTGATTGGTTACCAGTACAAAGGTTACTACCGAACAGAAGACCATGAAAATGCAGGGCAAAATATATTAATAAGTATCAGATTTGATTCAATTACCATCATTTTTCACACCAACGATCAGGTCTGTCTCTTCTCCAGCTGGAACCACTAGATTATATAAAGAAAAAAGGTTACATCCTCTCAACAAAAAAGAAACTCACTGTGAACCATACCTTTGGATACTAGTATACAGGGTTCTTACATTTTGCACCATTCTTTGGGAATACGCAGAGCGTATCAATTCCTGGAGCAGAGGAATAGCTCTCACCACCAAGATCTTCAGTATTCTGACCAACAATGCCAACATCACTTGCTTCAGTGGTCTCCGCAGCCTCATCTGAATCTGACTGGCACCTAGCAACTAGGAAGTAAAAAGAACCACATTTTTTGCTTGTCAGTCGAAACTTGTATCGAAAGATGCGTAGCCACCCAAGTTTCCAAATTTTTATCAATTCTGCCCCATATAAGCAATTAAAGCAGGACAACAATAAAGACTCACGAAAGGTTAAGACCTAGAACATATCAAATCCAAAACAGTAAAAAGCAGATCAAACAAAAAAGTCAGCTTGAAGATAAGCAGTTGACCCTGAATGTGAAATCAAAACGGCAATTTAAACAAATTAGTCAACTTTAACCAATCCTGCAGATCAAAGCGATCATAAAATGCATGCAACAATTCGGTCCTACCTAAATTAAATTTTAAATTAGAAACGGACGAAATGGAATAAAATATACAAAGCGTATGTATGTACGAGCTCGATTGATCTGGATCTAGAATTTGAGGAGCAGACCTTGTATGAGAGGGGAAGCGAGGCAAAATAAAGCGAGACAAAATATCCAAAACTTGTTGATGGGAGCCATGCCCAAATCTAGAATGCTTCTTATTGAAATGGTGATTCCGGCTTCCCACACAAAGATGAATACCGGAGCGTGGAGACCGGGATTTTGCTGCGGAGGTGCTGCTACAGCTGTAGTACTGAAGAATTTGTCGTTTCGGCCATTTAAACTTTCAACCTCTGACTTGTCAATTATTACTGTTCTGGACTGGACCTGTGGCGACGCGAGCAAGGGCAGAACGGAGACTCAAAAGTGGGCTTGGATACGTTGAAATTTGAGAACAAATTATTTATCAGTGTTCAACTGAAGCTAAGGGGTGTGTGTGTGTGTGTTTATTTAATTTTATGTAATTTCTTTATTTTTTAAAAATATTTCTCTATGTATAGGTTCAATTTAGACCCCGTGCCATGTGAAAATATAGTACTACCTCCTATCTTAATCATAAAATATTATTTACAGATTACAAATAAAACTTTATAATTAGAATCAATATTTATCTATTGAAAGCAATAAAAATATATATATCTTTTATTCTTGTCCAGCACACTGCTTAAGTATTTTTCTCAGCGAGTTCAAACCTTACGTCGTTATCGTTATATTAGGAGGAATTAACCTTTCGACAAAACTCAACCCAGCCCAGCCCCATTGGTGCAAAACAGTGAAACTGTAGGCCTAAAAAAATCTAGCTGATTGTGATAATGGTCGTCAAAGGCAAATGAGGATGTGATGAAAAAGCCGGCGATCCACATTGTCTTTATTTTTGGGTTAAAATTTTTGGGCCACGACTGGGCGAGAATCGCAGTCTTACCCACGCGTATGAGCCACTGAAGCTTAAAAAACAAAAAAAGGCAAAAGCAAAAGAAATAAAAATTCATGGACAAAAAGAAACAAGAATAGTGGTCAGATTCGGGAATCCAAATTTTTTTTTTTTTGGGTGAACGAATCCAAATATTATTTGTAAGCCATGAAATTATCCTTACTTGGGCATAGAGCGCGTAGAGTACACTCAGCGGATGAAAATACACCTCTCGCCCTTCATTTTTTTTTAAAAAAAATTTTCACGCGTTTGAGAATCTGAACGCGTCCCTTGAATTGCAATTATAGATATTAGTTATATAAAAAAATTTCATGCTTTGCCAAATCTTAATCCATTTATATAAAATTCATGGGCTAGACTTGGTAAGACTGTCAGTTTGAAGGGGTGTTTGGATGAAACAAAACTATAATTTAGAGAATAACTTCTGGATAATATATTTTGGGAGAATAAATTTTCTAAAAAAGTTATTCTAATAATGAGAGTGTTTAGATAGTTGTTATTAAAAGCACTTTTTATATGTGCAAATTACTAAAAAGAGCATAATTTAATATGATAATTACATAAAAGATAGATTTTATAATATATTTTAATTTGAAGGAATAAAATTGTTAATAATATATTTTTTACCAACACAATTAATAATATATAAGATAATATAATTATTAATTAATTAATATGTGTATATATATTTATAAAATATAAAATTAAATATGTTTATAGAAAAATAATTAAGGGGTGTTAAACTCATATTACTGTTGAGATCTACTCTGACAGGCACAATCATACTCTCCAATTTGAATTAAAAGTATAATGAATTCACTTCTTTTAAAACCATGATTTTGAGCTCAAAACCATACTCTTAGTCCAAAACTGTGGTTTGCTGATTTTTTCCTATATTTGGCAAATTTTTTACCCAAACCATAATTTCAGGTATTTGCCAAGAGTCCGCTCCCAACACATTTGCTAGCTAGTAGCATCAACTGGAGATAAATAAAGGGTATTTTTATCATAGCATATATTTCATTTCTTTTTCAGGATCCTAACTTTTCTCTTCAAGTGACTTGCCTATGTTTTTTTTTTTTTTTAAATATTGAATGCACTGCATACAGTTAACTCCATGGTGATTGTGGGAAAAAATGTGGTGATTTGTTTATACTTGATAGGGATTTTTTTTTGAACGAATGATAGGGAAATATTTTATGTTTCTTTATTAAATGAAAGTAGAGATATGCATATACTTATTTATTTATTGAAAGAAACAATGCTCATGCATGATTTCTCTAGTCATCAGTACGTGTACATGAACCACTTTTAGAATTGTTTGTTCAATGGACCATTAAATATGCATTTAATTTTTATTCATTAAACATGCACGTAATCAAATTGTTTTCCCCTGAACTTATATAAGCAGTGGTGATAAGTTGATAATAAAAAAAAATATCGGGCAAAAAAGTAGTAATGATAAAAACATAACAAACATGTTTTGGCTTCATGTCTGGTTTAAGCAAAACTAAATATTGACAATTGCTTTGAATAGGAGGATAATATGAGTAATACAATTTAGAGTAAATATTCATCTAACACTTTAAAAAATTTTTTTCCAAGTGTATCTTAAAATACAATACTATTTTAAAGAAGGAAAAAAAAAAATCAAAAGACAATCAATGTTATGAATATCCACGTATTATTACAAATTGTAGTTATAGTTATCCTATAAATATAGACCCATAACATTAAGAAAAAATTGCAAACAAAATCTTAAAAATTAAAAAAATATATATATGGACTCATTTATGAAAATTGTTGTTATTTGTTCATCTGTATAACGGGTTCTTATTTATAATTTTTTTTCAAAATATTTTTTTACTATTTTCTCTAAGATTAACATATGATTTCATATTTATTATGATTTTTACTGAATTGATAATTATATTCTCTAAAACTTGGTTAAAAAAATTTAAAAAGTATTCAGATGAAACCAAAGTAAAACATATTTTAAGTGGAGAAGTGGTAATTAGACTCCATGAACCACATTTTGGCCTGGGGATTCATCACCATGCGTGTACCAGCTCGCGCGTGCGCGTGTACACTGAGTGGAGAATTGGAAATTAGATTCCATAATTATAAAAAAAAATAGAAGGTATCTGAAACAAACCAAAATTAGATTCTTTAACCTACATTTTGGGGATTCATTACCATGCATGTGCCAGCTCGCGCGTGCGCGCGTATATGAAGCCTTGCTCCTTGTCCAGTTGTCCTCCCGTGGCTCTATCCGTTTTCATTTGTGACTCGTGAGTGGAAACCACAAACCATGATATCTACTTGGCTATATAAGTAGGTGAGAGGACCAGTCTCAGTCACCGCCAACACCGCAAACCATCGCCAAGTTGAAAGGAGGCTAACCCGGGGGGAAAGCAAAGGATCTTTTTTATTTTTTCATCTTCTTCAATGGCAGTAACTTCAAGTTCACTCGCATCCCAACTCTCTGGCCCCAAATCCATCTCTTCCACCTCCGTTGCCCCCAGTTTCTGTGGCCTCCGCCGCTCTTGCTCCAAACTTGATTACTTCAACTCTCAATCTGTGTCCTCCACTCAATCTTTGTTTGAACATGTTCATTCCACTCTCCGGCTCTCTTCCTCAGGCAAGGGTTGCCGTGGCGTTGTCACCATGGCCGGCTCTGGCAAGGTACTTTTCGGATTCGTCATAGTAGTTTTTGTTTTTACCAACGCTTTTATGGATTTAAGATCTTCGTGGGTTTTTTATTCTGTAGTTTTTGATGGTTGAGACTTGTATTGGGGATTCCTGGGATTTCGGCAGGGAATGTATTTCTCTTAAATGGGGATTCTTTTTTATTAGTTATACATTGTTTTTGGTTTACCCGAGTCTTTCTGCTGCTGCATTTACTTTCTTCTGAAGCTAATATTTTGGTAAAGGGAATATAGAAAAAACATAGATTGGACCGAATTCTGGCTGCGAGAATAATTTGGGATTGGCCACCTTATGAATTAACAATGGTGCTGCTTTATGACAAATTATCATAGATACTATTCAGCCTTTCGCCTGAAAGTTAATAGCTTAAGGATTTTCACTTCTTCTCCTTCTTTCTTTTGGGTCGAAATGGTCATTGAACAGTATCATAGCTTTTATCACCAAGTGTAAATTGGATCCTTCTTCTCATTCTCTTCATTATTTTCAAATTTCTGGTACAAAGCATGGTTGGCATCGCTCTGTCCACATTTCAAGTTCGAAAGGGCTTTTTGATTGTGAGGACTTGTGTTAGAGGTTATTACAAAACTACTCGTGATTTAAATTACAAGCATAACGTATGAATTACAGTGATGTTTTGCCATGCTCAGTAACAATGAGATGAAAAGCGTTTTTTAGATTAATCAATAATCTATATAATTCAAAAATCTTTCCAGTAAGAAGACTGTCTATCCTTCGTAACTCATTTTATTAGCTGTCACTGAAATCACATGGTTTCAGTTTTTACTGGTTACCCATGTCGCGACTTGGTAGCTTAATTCTTAATCTTTTCTTTCTTTTTTGTGGCTGCAGTTTTTTGTTGGTGGCAACTGGAAGTGTGTAAGTATCTTCTTTCTCCCACCTTATTTGCCCCCTTTTTATTTCCTGCCCATCCAATTTTTGGGTAATGGAAAAGTTTTATTCCCTATAAAATTGCAATACTTACGGTTGGCAATTTGAATTTCAGTGCTTTCTTAAGTGTTTAATTTTGTCATTCTCAACCAAAATATTATATGTGAAAGTAACGGCATGGACCTTGCTTCAGGGAGATTTTTAGGATCTATTTAAGAGGGTTGCAGCACTGATAGACCATTTTTTGTTCCAAAGTATGCTTATTGTTATACTCATTATCCTAGTTTTATAAAATCACCAAACATGGGCTGTTAACTGGTCTCTTATTAATACAATATGCATATGAATCTTTTCTTTCTTCATTTCTTCTGCATTTTCTCCCTCCTAAAGACTGAAATAGCAGCATAGGGTGTGTAGCACTGTTTCTTATTTCCTAAATTTCGTGCATAAAAAAACACTGCTTGGACTACTATGTACTACTCACGAATTCTGCATGTTTATTGGGTAATACTCAGTGCTATTAGCTGGATGTATAGATGAACTGTTGAAATTATGTAAAATAGAGCAAGGAAATTTCTATAGTTTTAGTCCTTGCTAACTATATGAAGAAAATCTAAGCAAGGCAACGCACCAATCTTTCTGGCCTCCTATTAAATATGTTAAACAAAGCCTTATGTCAGAATTATCTGATTGTAACACGCTCTGTCATGGCTTGACAAATATCCTTCCACCTATTAGCTACTTTTGTGAATCATCAAATTTAGTGTTTCTTGATGTTTCTGAGATACGTTATTAGTTTTTCTAATGTTTTGTTTGCATTTTTTCCTGGTTTGGTCCCCTACTTGATATGAACATGGATTTCAGACGCATTTATTTCTGACGCATTTCCTTTGGTCACGTTACAATTACTTGTTTTTCCACTTTCCATGATTTGTATCTAACTATTTCTTATGTTTGACGTTAATTCAACTTGATTGTTGTGCATATAAATTTCCTTTGCTGTCCATTGAAATCATTAATGCTGCGTGGTTATATTTGTTTTATTCTTTAATATCTTATCTGCAATTAAATATGAGTTTTTTTTTTTTTTTTGGTTTTTCTAGAACGGCACAAAAGACTCTATCAGTAAGCTTGTCTCTGACTTGAACAGCGCAAAATTGGAGCCTGATGTTGGTGAGATATGTTAAAACTTTAATTTGGCGCCTTTTCAATTGAAAGGTGTAGACAGTATTTGAGTAAACTTGCATTCTTCTGGCTATTGACTCCTCAGAATCTGGAAATGAAGTTGACCCAAGTTTTTAAATCGAAAATGAGGTTATCTAATCATGCTGATCCATTTGACTGGCACATGATATGGTAAATATGCTATACCAATGGTGTCATACATTATAGTGCTCTACATACTCCATCTCATAAACATTGGGGTATAGTGGCCACCTCAACTGCATGATTAGACTACTTTGGTAAAGAAGCTATCCAAAATGGTGTGATAACTTTGATATCTTGGGGTGCTCACTTACTCGAGCACAGGACAGAAATTTGAGGACCTGTTCATTTGTGCCAAAAGGATTTAAGAATAGGAGTCTGGTGGCTGCCTCAGCTCTTGCATAGTCTGCTTTAAGTAAAAGCCTCGAATTAAGTTTGGAATGCTATTTGCCTAATTTTTGTAAATGTTTGGTGCAGATGTTGTTGTTGCACCTCCCTTTGTGTACATCGATCAGGTGAAAAGCTCAATCACAGATCGGATTGAGGTATCTGCCCAGAACTCTTGGGTGGGAAAAGGAGGTGCTTTTACTGGAGAGATTAGGTTGGCTTCTATTCTGTCAAGCTTGGCATGCTAATCAATAAATGAACTTTTCTCTGATGAAGAATGTTAAGTATGTTGGATGGTAATTTTAGATGCACTTGAAAAAATTGCCTTGGTAGTTACAAGTGAATAATTTTTGTCTGATGATCATGGCTTTAATTCCCCAGATTCTTAGTGCATGATTTGGGTCAGCATAATTAAGTCTAGCCTGCATTGTGCCAATGCTGTGACCTGCTCATTTTCTTTACTGCATTGGTCTCTACTCTCTAATTTGCATCATAATTCCTATTGGTGGCTTCCACGGATAGATTATTTCAAGCTTCAGATCATTTTTTCACAATTTTTTTTTTTAATAAATAATGGACGTCACTTGTTTCCATTTTGCTCTTTCTTGTGGTTCTAGTCTGGATGTGAATATTTATATCCGTTATTTAGTTGCCGGTTGGAACTCCTGAGTCTTGGTTCAATTTAATAACTCATTTGGTTACTGACTGCCACTTGACACTTGTAGTGTGGAGCAACTTAAAGACATGGGCTGCAAGTGGGTTATTCTTGGACATTCTGAACGGAGGCATATTATTGGAGAAAATGATGAGGTGAACATTTTCAGAGATAATTTCTACAATAGTTCTCTTGGGAAATATGGTCAGTGTTCTTTCTAAGAGATGCAAAATGGTCAAGAAATTAATTGGAATTCTTCCAAACAGTTTATAGGGAAGAAAGCCGCCTATGCCTTGAGCCAGGGTGTTGGGGTGATAGCATGCATCGGGGAGCTGTTACAAGAGAGGGAAGCCGGGAAAACTTTTGATGTTTGTTTCCAGCAGTTGAAGGCTTATGCAGGTGAGGTTTTTATTCTTGATGTTTCTTTATATTCTGTTTCTACCTTCTGAGGATAAACGAGTTAGGGGGGGGGGGGAGATTCCAGTTTGTTTATATAATATTTGCTATGCTCATTATGCGCAGATGCTGTACCTGGTTGGGACAATATTGTTATTGCATATGAACCAGTATGGGCCATTGGAACTGGCAAAGTGGCCACTCCCGAGCAAGCTCAAGAAGTCCATGTAGCTGTACGTGATTGGCTGAAGAAGAATGTCTCAGCTGAAGTTGCGTCTAAAACTCGAATTATTTATGGAGGTAGATCATTTATTTGAGTTTCAAGATTGTTACAGTATCATGAAAATTTAAGGCCCAATTTTGATTAAATTGCAAGTTTTCTCATGTCACATTCAAAAAGAAGAGAAAACAACCTTCACAATCTCATTTTATTTTGTTGTCTCTTAATTGAAGTTTCACATGAGATAATTTTGTGTTTAATGAATTATGCGTATATTTTTTATTACAGATAAAGTAAATTCGTTTGGTGGCTCTGATGTAAAGAGAAATTGGCTGCTCCAACTAGGAATTATCGTTGATTAGTCAACAAGAATATAAGAAGTAGTAAAAGGTTAATGATGTGCAAACGTAGATTCAGTAAATTAATTGTAATTTGGAGGTTGCAATAGTGACGCCTTTGGCTGATATGGTATTAATTTTAAACCAATACCTTCTCTAGCCTCTTGTTGAAATTAAACTGACCCTAACCTTATCAATTGAAATACTTCAATCAAGGTTATGTTTGATTACCTTTGAGAATCTCATTTGTTCCCAAACTTTAGAAATTAGATTGACACTAGACTACTTATGTATTCAGGGTCTGTTAATGGGAGCAACTGTTCTGAGCTTGCAAAGCAAGAAGATATTGACGGATTTCTTGTGGGTGGTGCTTCTTTGAAGGTACATGACTGTATTGTTCTTTATCCAAACTCCAAAGTAAGCAAGCCAAGTTTTTAACTTGAAATATTTTGTTACACAGGGCCCTGAGTTTGCTGTCATTGTCAATTCAGCCACATCCAAGAAAGTGGCGGCTTGATAACTTTATCTGCTTTTGGCAGCGAGAGTTTTTTTATCGATAAAGCATGCCCGTTGTGGCAATAATGTTGGTGTATGATAGCAGATTGGGTTTGGTGGATCTTCTGCTATTTCTTTGCAGATATTAGGTCATCCTTCTCTTTTCCAACGAGTTACTGTCTTATAGCAAATGGCTATACAAAGCATTTCAGAAATAAACAACTAGTGTTTACAAATTAATGCTGCTCACTTCAATTTTAGGAATAATTTCCTTTCTTTTCGTCAATATTCAATATTTTATATCCAACGCTGCGAGGTGCACATGTGAGCTAGTTAATTATGGACTCGTATAGTTGGTGCTAGTTACAGATAAAGTTAAACTAATTATGGGTCTTAGCAGGCTAGCAGCATGGGGTGGCCCTTAAAACTGATTTCTGATTTTAGATCAAGATATGGCATTAAGCTCCCCAAGGCCAAGAGACATCTTTGTAATGTTGTAGGACTTTTAGAGCGAACATCTTTCCTCAAGTGGTCTGAGGAGCCGTGGACTGATCCATGAAAGAGTAGTTAGGTATTGTGAATAAAATTGATTCATTGGTCTTGAAACAAATTGTAGGTTCAAATACTTCTTCACATCCTCTCTATGCTGAAAGCACCCACTTGAAAATCGCTAAAGATTTACTTGTAAAGTGAACTTCAAATTTCATTTGCACTTTCTTCAACTTCCAGCTTGTTAGAATGTTAGATGTAGAAAATATTATTGAAGAAAATTCAGGTTAGCAAAGGCAACCATTTAGGAAACTTAAGGTTTGAACTTTGAAGACTAAAATCCATTTTAGTAAATAGGGTCTGAGCCTTCAAACTACTATACAAACGCTCCTCCTGGTCGTAGAAAGAGGATCGTGAAATTTGCTTTTCATTATTTCGTAATCTTGTTCCGAATATAGCATAACACTTAGTTTTACAATTACAGATGATTAAAATTACGATCAAATACATTCAGTGGTCCTTAATTGGGTATTAGAAGCGCGTGGAAGCCTAGTTAACACATCAACTATCAACCCAAAACGAAGTCAATAACACAATAAGTGTACGATGAATTCTGACAGACATGCCTCTCTTTGAATCATCAATGTGATGAGAAATAGGAAAATAAGGAAAACTTGTTGAGTAAGTAAGGATTATAGGAATAAGTTGACGCGGGTTTGGACGAAGTCAATTGTTTACCGTTACCTTTAAATACAAAAGCCAATGTCAATGGAATGGCAGATATTGTTGTGAAACGTGTCGGTGAGGAGGACATCTCAGCTAAACCACTTTGCATCTGCTTTTAAACGTTCAAAAAAGTAAGTCCATTAATAACAGTGCTCCGCAACAAGCCATACTCCATTAATTAATGAATTGATCGAAATGGATTATAAAGCCGCTTTCCATGGCGTTTAGGTGCATGTGAAGCAAGAAGAATGGGCTAGAGTAGGGACACATGTCACATGGGCCAAAATTCGGTGACGGGTCATTTTCCCGTTTTATTTTATTCATTTTTTAATCAAGTTTTTAAATTTTTTTAGTTCTTAATTATAGGCTTTGATTCATGTACTCATAATACATTAATTTTAATTACAATTAATGCGAATAACATATAAATTGTCATAAAAATATAAAATAAAAAAGATGATAAAAATAAAATGATAGAATAAAAATTATATATCACTAACATAAAAATAAAAAACAATTATGCTAATAATAGTCGCCTTACATGTGTATATATCACTAACTTAAAGATTTACATATACATAGTTAAAAATTTAGATAAAACTATAACAACTTAAGAATTAAGTTTTCCTAACCCAATGTTTGGTATGAGAGAACTGGAGGGAAGGAAAGAGAAGGAAAAATTTTAATAAGTTTGATTTAAAAAAATAAAAAATAGTGGGATTATAAAATTTTGATAAAAAAAATGTCAGATAAAAGAGTAAATAAAATCAGTTAAATTTAACCTCACTTTTTTAATTCTTTTTAAATCAAACTCATTAATATTTTTTTTATTACTAACTATTAACATTTTTTCTTCCCTCCCTTTCTCCCAATTTCCCTCGTACGGATCAAATGTTTTAGATATTTCCGGGAATTTATTTTGAAAGAGCGGATTTGGCCAATAATGAATATTTTTTGTTATCCTTGAGAATGTTCTCTGCAAACCAGAGTGCTTAGAAGAAACTTCGAACTCTTAAAACGGATACAAAATGTCCCCAGGAATTGCCTTTCAGAAACAATCAAATACGCCAGAATCAACAATGACCATCATATATGAACATTCTTTATTAATCTGATCTGGGATATCATTACATAGATCACACTTCAATAATACATCTGCGCAAGAGACATCAATTCACAAGTAACTTCCTATCCCGCCTTATTAACCTGTTTAACTGATTCTAGGAATCTGGGGATAAAATATATATAGATAAAATTTCTGACAAACAAAATCCGATGCGCAGACACACGCAGATTATAATGACAGAAAGAAGACATACACAATACAATTCATTCAGCATTTCTTGGGGTACCAGCAACAATAGCAGCCAGGCCTACATCCATAGCAAGGAGGCGCTCCGTAACCCTTTCTTGGAGATCGCATGAGCGATGCCAAAATTAGGATTATCAGAACCAGAATTAGGATCAAAGCTGACCAATTCATCTTCGTCTCTTGAACTACTACTTCTGTTTCGCGCGAGAACAAATATGGTATGGCCAGAAGCGTCAGGGCCACGAGCAAGAACAGAACGACGTTCGAAGTGTGAGCATCGTGACGCCTTGGTTTACAGTAATAGTAACCCATCAATGGAGCTCCGATGAAGGCCTGCGAAAGTCGAAATTAGGGTTATAGAGAGATCCACCTACCTGAGAGGATAATTGAAGTCAAATACTACATTTATAGCAAGGAAAGCTCAGAGAAATTTCGCAGGAGAAAGAAGAAACTGCATAAGACTTCACCAAAAAAACAAAAAGCAAAAAAAAACTGCACAAGGACAAAAGAATCATAGCCAATATTGGATTAATAATACCAACCACACAGAACTCGTTATTGCAATTCAGCTTATCTATTGGAGCAAATCGCGTTTCCGTGGGAATGACTGTAATATCAATCAAACGTTCATGCACCAATATAAGGGAAAGGGACCACCAAGGAATTATACACTATTAAGACGCTGCTGATAATGAATAGAACTTCGGCCCGCACGCCGCGGGATATTTTAGAAATTTAATTTTTAGAAAATTAGAAATCATATTACCACAATATTTTTTTTGGCCAAAATATTACCACAATATTAAATAGAGAAAATTAATCTACAGCTATCTATACTTCCATACAATTTTCAATCAAGTTTCTATCGTTTTATTCCTCTTATCATGTACTCAATAGTTTTATTTGAATAAAACCTTAGTTAAAAATATTTTTTCTAAGTAAGTAATGCACTCATATTGGATTGGTTTGACTTTTACAATGTTGAATACATTCTAGATTCACACTGAAAAATGCTACTCTTTCTGTCATAAATATAAGATCCTTATACACACTAGTATAAAGGTCTTATATTTAAGATCGGAGGAGTAGAAACATTTATTAGGACAATTCAACTATGATGATTTTGATAAAACATTGACCAATAATTCCTTGGACTTGCCGTCATATATGGTATTATGCTTTCTTTTTCATGAGAAGACAAAATTCCATACTCTTAGTTCTATAATTTTATATTAAATTTTTATTTGGTTATTTAATTTTATTATCATTTTAATACTTCATTTTTAAAAACATAGAAAACAAAATCTTCTCATTCAACAATGTCAATTTTCAGAAATAAAAACGAGTAGTATGGAATTAAATTAACTAGCCTTTTATAATATTAATTACCTCATGATACCATGAAAATAAATAAAGATTTATGATCAAACGTCATTTCTTATACACATCACTCACTCTGTCATGAACATTGGTTGTTAGCACTTCTACCTTAATTTTTAAATTTAAAATCCAAATACCTTAAGCATATAAATTTAAGCACCTAATTTTTTTCTCTTAAAATCAATACATGCAAGTTAATTTAATTTTATGTAAGAATTTTTATTATCCAAATTATCAATATTAATGCTAAAAAGTTAATTCTTGTCCTTGATTTTGACTTTGTAACTTGAACTTAATTTCTGTTTTTCAATGTATTTTGATCTTTTAAACAAAAATTGGGAAATGCAAGTAAGGTAGGGTTTTCAGTTTTCCCCCTCTTCCTTAAGTAAGGTAGCGGGTTGTTTGTCTTCCCCGTGTGTGGCCAGAACGTAAGGCAGATTTACACACACACACACACACACAAGCATATCCCTTTCCTGTACACATAAAAGCATTTAAAGCTTCATTTCATGTGAAAATAAAAGCATATATTTAGTTTTTTCAAAAAAATTTATACAAGATTTTAATTTAGTCTCTTAATTTTAAAAAAAATTTTAACTCCAAAATCATTAGAATTAAATGATGAATTTTTTTATAACAATCACTATTATTTTGAAAATTAAAATTAACATACTAGTAAACATATTTTATCAATATTTAAAATCTCAATGTCATCATTTTTTGATAACAATTTTAAAATTAAAAGACTAAAATTATATTTTTAAAAAGTTAAGAGACCAAATTGAATTTTTTTTAATAAAAAAAATTTAGATGAGTTAGATATCTAAAGCTCACCAGGCCAAGATATGCTTTCAGGCTTAAAAAGAACTCATATAAGTACTTTCAGATTATCCATCAAGATCTTCATATCAGTAGGGAGATTCCAACTTACAACTTTATGAGTTATGAGCTGACTTCTTACCAATTAGACTAAAAAGGTATTTGGATGGAAATCAAACTACGGTTTTAAAAGTATTTTTACAGTACATGGAGTAAATATGTGGCGGACTCTGCCTCGTTTTGTGAAAAAATGCTTTTAAAAAGTACTTTTTCATCTTGCCAAACACCCCCTAATTGTTATTGATTAATTGAAACCTTAAAGAACTAACTACATATTCCAGGCCAAAAAAAAAAAAAAAAAACAAACAAAATGGCAGAAAAGATGGCAAGCTAATGGCTCAAAAATAAAAGTTGCCGGGCCCACTAGTAAAGGCTCTCCTGTTAAACTACTTTCTGACACAATCAATATTCCAACTTTCAACGGGGCCCTTCTTTTTCGTGAATTCATAGCCCACACAAACTAACCCTGCATCACAGTTACCGAAACAAAAACGAAAAAAACAGAAACAAACGAAAAAAGATACACAGCACATAAAGCATACATTTTTCATAAATGCTATGCCCAACTATTGTTTTATAAATAATATTTTAGGGGTTTAAAAAAATTCAAATGCTACATATCATAAACAATAGCTGCGAGTAATTATTTTCCTTTGAAGTTGTTAGCATTGCGCTTAAAATCATCTAAATCTCTTGCCAGAAAAGTGCAATATGAAATCCACCATTACCAGGATGCATATTGTCACCACATGATTCATAGACACGATTTAGTTAGCAAAAAATTAACCAACAAAAAAGAGGTATCCAGTTGATTCATATATCAAACTATCCGTACATAGATTTAACAAAAGATTATCTGTATAAAATTAATACCTTAAATACATTCGTCCATACTTTCTGTACAATTCCGTTCTGTCTCTCCCATGCAAATATTTCACACATTCTCTATCAATATAATGATCTAGACAAAATTGTTCACCTCATTTAGCGGAGGTAGGCTTAAGATCTCTGGTTTTGAACCCTAAAATTGTGGCATAAATCAGGTTTCTCATGCTCTAAGTAAACATAGTAAGTACACGGCATACTGCCATCTCAGGTGGAAATGGATCAATGTGAGTAGGAAGAACTAAGCAAGATTAAGAGCAAAAATTTACCAGGATCAAAAAATTTGCGAGTCACACTTTTCCTTCGTATTTGTAATTCAATTTATAATCACGCTGCAGATCTGCTAAAGTGTTTCTGCAAGGTCCCTCTACAAAACAGAACAGAAGTGAGAATAAATCCTTCAATTTTGATTTCACTCCCATAAATATGACTGAATCAAGATTGTTTACCTCCAAAAACAGTATGAAGATATTGAAGATCATCAAGTGAGCAAGCATCTATTAAAGCATAGACACCCGGTCTGAGAGTTTCATCTATTTCTCTGCAAAGTCACAGAGGCAACAGGTGACATCAGCCAATGCTACTGAGAACAGGTAAACATTCAATAAGTCGACTGTTTTTATAGTTAGTCCATTTCACGCTCAGCCTCTCAAATTTAATCTCCCCTGAAATTTGCAGCTTGTTGATTTTAATATTCAAATTATGAGAATGAAAGGCTTCAGTGTTTTGGGAAACTTGCGGGCATCTGAGATGGATGTTGTAATGTCAGGAAGAAACATAAATGGGCAATCTTCTCTATGACGGAAAGTGAAGTCTAATTCAGATAAATTTTCACAGAACACGGAAGAGAAAAGGTCAACATATCAAAACAGACGGACAACCTTCTGATGCCACTTCTTTTGGGACCATATCCTGAATAAACCCATATATAGTTAGACAGAAACAGAGAGCATTGCCGGTTAAACAAGTCTTTCTGCTGTTTTACCTGCAGCAAGCATAATCATAAAAAAGGGGTAAGCAGAACATAAATAAGCTAAGGCATCGTTTATCAAGCATAACCCTCATATGAATTTCTGAATTTCTCTATAGCCCACTTCTGCAATCAGTAAATATTTGCAAATTAATCAAGTTGAAAACAAAAATTTCCATTACTAATATTACAGGTTAGGAAAGGGAGCAATGTCAAGTGTTGCATGACTAATTCATACCCAAAAAAAAAATGTTTTTTCATACTTGAAATAAACACTTGTTTACAAAGAGACCCAAAGTAGGAATAAAAGAAAGAAGTTTACCATATTAACATGCAAGAAGACAATGTAATGATATATTTAAGCTCATACAGCAAGTACAGACAAACTAATGGACGCCACATACCTCCTCATAAACTCTTCGAAGAAAACAAGCACATTTTACTCCCTCTTCTACTTCCCATGAAAAGAGACCCTTATCATGTACCAACTCAAGACAGTTAAGAAGTACGGTAACAGAAGCTTCGAGATGAGCAACACAATGCTTGCACTCACTGGAAACATATAAAACGAGGAAGTTTTACTAGAGATTAACCATTGTGTCATAAGCATCAATACATACATTTCCTGGATTCCCAAAACAAAAAACAAAGCTGAAAATCATGCGAAGATAGTAAATATATGTTTAGGCAACGGTTATTTAGACTGGGAGTCTGGCAGTTTCTCTTGGGTTGATCTCCACTTCCTCTCTCTCGTCAATACTATCGCTCCTCTTAGTTTTCTTCAACGGCAAAGATGCAGGATGGCAGGTCCAGTATTTCAAATACGTGCAAGACCCCGACTTCAATATCCAAAGCATGTAATGCAAATAACTTGATATCTCAATTAGAAAGTAAACAAGCTTGTTAAGATATTGGTATAAACTACTAGATCATAAGATCTAAGCCACAGAAAATTGCTTTCTGTGACAATACCTACTAGTATTTTGAGATGATAGGATTTCATGATTCTTGATATAGGCATATATAATTGTTTCCCAACCGCTAGAACACAGCCTTTTGACTATTAGGTACATTAAACACGAAAGAACCTCCCAAAATTGCACATCTTCAAGCAGCACAGCCACTAATCTAGACATCCCAGCTATCCTCGAAGCACACATTCAAACCAAAGAAAGAGGATTCTCGAGTCATTGACAGACAACCAATTCCTGCTTAAGCCTATTCCATCCCACAACCCACAGAACATTTGGGAAGGCCGGTGGGGAATCTTCAAGCGGTTTGAATTAGTGATAGGGTTTTATTATTGACTTTCGAGTTTTGACTTACATGAGATTAATGGCATGGAAATGTGTACTGTTGACATATAACGTCCTAAAATTGGGTCTTTATTTATTTAAAAATGTCCTTTGCCTTAGAATTTATCAATAAAATTCTTCGCGCTCAACAAGTCAAAGTTTTGATGTTGAATTAGCTCTTGACATCATATCAAAACCTCTGTATGACCAGGTGGAGTAAAACTCAATGGACGCCACTCTCGATTCTTTACATTAAATTTGAGCACAATGCATAAGGGGCTTTACCCAATAACTTGAACTCAGATGATCACTGACATGATATAACCTCTACGACCAAGTGCTCTAGACTTGATCCTTGTCATTTAAACCAAGATTCAGGCTCAGCATATCACATAGTGGGCCTGTTCTTTGTCCACCATTCCAAACCACAAGGGATTTCGTGATAAAAGGTATGTTAGAGATTAAATATTATTGAGTCTTCACTTGTCAGCTTAAGCTTTTAAATTGAAATGAACCCGGACATTTCCTTTGGGAATGCTAAGAAGAAATTGATTATATATAAATTCAGATAACTATATTCGTACTTTAATTGTTTTTGTCGTAAATAGTTAGTCCTATTTTCTTAATTTTGGATAAAACGCCAGGATCTTATGACTTGGATGAATATTAAACTCTTGGCTCATTAATATCACACATGCCGCTTTTCTGTTTTGTATAATTAAATTAGATCACATACACCACTAGTTAGAAATTAAAATATAAAGAAAAGAACTATACCTTTGGTGGTGCTTAATGGTGGTGCACAACAGTTGACAACATGCAACGTATAGGTTTAATGAGAACTGGCGATCGACATGACATAAGTTCACTGCTTCTACTCGATGAGAAATTTGCTCTTCTGAAATCATCGAAGGATCTGATGAGCCAGAACCTTTAGAAACTCTAAGCTGATGAAAATTCTGAAAGAGTGCTGCAGGGATACGTAACAGATGGCCTATATGCCATGAATCCATCTGGAACAGAGCATGTTTCCTTGAAATTGTAATTAGTACTTCAACACACATAAGAATTGCTGCTCCTGGATCTGGACCATTGACAACATTTGATGTTGAATTCCCATAAAAAATTAGCGGACTCTGTAAATGTAGAATAATATTGAAAATAGCAGCTACTAAGCACTGAAAGTGTCTTTTGATCAACTTCAAGCCTTTACGACCTAAAAGGGAGAAAAAAAAAATGTCAGTATAATCTAGATAGGTCTTCTGGCAAGAAAAACAGAGTTTATTAATAGAACAGTAACAATCTTTCAAGAGCAGTTGTGTAATTTCAGTAATTAAAGATTTCATTGGTTTAGTTTTTCTTTAAGTCGAGTCATCACAGTGAGCATGGCCATCAGAATGTGAGCACTGCAGAAAGAGTTACAAGGAAGAGTCATCCAATTACTTTAGCATCTTCATTAGCGATGATGCATATGCTTCACCATAAATGCCAGTGAGCATACCGTAAGCGTTAAAATCCCGTTATTCATGCCCCAGACTTTTCTCTGCATTTACTATACAACATTTTACTTTTTCTTAATATCCTTTTCTATGAATCTTTCTCATTTATTTTTCCTGATTTTTAGTCTCTATTCGTCTAGAATGGATGTCTTTTTTACTTTTGGTGAAACACCCTCCTATGTAATTGTATTTTTTTTCCTCATAAAATCAACAAGATGAGAATGAGTTGAAATCAGATAACCAACAACTCTGAAATTCTTCAGTGAGCGAACTAATGGAGGAGCAATAAGGTCGTAACAGTAGACCATGCACCTCAACTGCATCATCAACATTCTTTACCATGACAAGAAGTAGTATAATAACTAAAAAACTATAGTACAATAACTTCAACAAAAGAAAAGAAAAATAATATGCAGAATCTCACTAGATTTTGAGAAAAGTAAAAACAATTTAAATGAATTGAAAATTTTTGAGATAGATAAAGATATAGTGCTACAAATTCATCCATGAATTAAAGGGCATCAAAGGAAATAAGGAATAGACAGAGAAATGAACCAGGACTAAAAAACTATAGTACAATAACTTCAACAAAAGAAAAGAAAAATAATATGCAGAATCTCACTAGATTTTGAGAAAAGTAAAAACAATTTAAATGAATTGAAAATTCTTGAGATAGATAAAGATATAGTGCTACAAATTCATCCATGAATTAAAGGGCATCAAAGGAAATAAGGAATAGACAGAGAAATGAACCAGGATGAAACATGTTAATTTTCAAAATAAACATATAAAGTGCCCTTATAAACTCTGACGTGTTACCTGAGACAAATTCAAGAATCATGTCAAATCCATCAATGCCAGCTGCAACAACTGAGGATATTTTCCCCCCATCTGTGCTTGTATTTATGTCATAGATCATAGTGCATCCTTCTCTCACTCCAACTAGAGCTCTTTCAACGGCCTGTATAGCAGAGAGGAGATGCATCTCCGATGGCTTCTCTATACACGATTTAAATGCCAACCGCAACCTAGCTTTAAATTCATTCAAGCAAAAGCAGTACAATTCTCTTGAAGAATGTTCCTCAAATGACCTTTCCTGAAGTTTCTTGGCAATAGACTGTCTCTCATGAAAGGTTAGAGTAGCTTGTTTTCCTTGCAAAGATATAGTCTTGCCTATTGCCCTCAGGTATAACTCTATCAAGTTAGTATATAATTTCCTGGATGAGGTAGGATCAGAGAAAGGAAAATAGCTTGATAATTCCCTCAGATAACTCAGAACACCATCTAACAAAAGGAAAGCAGGTTGTTGAGGGACTTCAGCCATCTCTATAAATTCTAATAACAAGACTTGTGAAATTTCAATAAAAGCAGGCACAACACTTGACAGCAAGGAAGAGCTATCCTTCTGCAAATAAAGTTTCAAAAGAACTGCAGAAGCAATTAAAAGTTGCCTTAGTAAGAAAGCCACTTCAGGGTGATCACCATTTAGCAAGCTTTGTAACAAAGGCTTATTGAGACCCTCAGGCTTCAAGGAATCAGCCCTAACCAAAATACTTGCAATGGAGTTTTCACATCCTGGCTCCAGCGATACCTCTGGGTTACTGGCACCTTTAGAGCCATCACCAAGGGATGACGAACCTGAGGAAGTAATTGCAGCTTTATATTTTTGTTGAATACCCCTTGAGGCATCAGCCTTAGTACATGAGGATTCAAGGGTAAAACAATTTGCCCCCAATGAACATAAGCTTTCGGAGGGCTGATTCTTATCAGAAAGCAATTTATGTGAAGAAAAATCAACTACTTCCACAAGAGCATATGTACAAGTATTTACATTAGAAATATGTCTGCTGTTCCACATCCACACTTCTTCATGATCACTTCCTTTCACATGTGCATGGTCCATCACATAGGCAAAGCTCCACAAAATTCCACTTAAGCAAGAAACTGTAAAAGACACCTTATTCATATTTTCAAGAGAACTACCAAATCCCACACTGCCGGCAGAATGAGCATCTTCTAGAGAAACACGCAAGCTCTGCATCTGGTCCTTCAAATTGTCGGTTATGAAAGTTAAACTTTTCACTGCATCAAACTCAAGGAGATCAACAGAAGCAACAGCTGACGAGGATGGGGGTGCTAATGCATCAAAGCCATTGCAACAAGTGACAGACAGGGAAGATTGGAGTAAATGACTTTTGTCATGAACAATTCGGTAACTGGACATCTCTTCACTAGGCTTCTCAGCTTCTTTATCAGTAGAAAGTGCGTGAATGATTTGATATTTCCCTATCCCCAACAAGACATATGATGTATGATCCATTAAAGAGAAAACCATAAATTTAAGAAGAGTAGTATCTCTAGCTGAGAATTTCTCTATATGCCCCAGAATCACAGAAACTGACTTGAAAAGCCAAAAAACAGGAAATGTACTCTCAGAAATGATTAAATTTGGTAAAAATGGATCCACTTCTGCTTTCTTGCAAAATCCCGTTATCATATACCTTAATGCCTTTCGGCAGGAAACAAATAATCTTAAGAACTCATAATAATGATCCTGGTTCACCGAATCCTGAAAGTGCGACAAGGAACTGACAAGAAGCCTGCAAAATTTAAGTCAGAAAGTGAGGATCATTCAATTTAAATGCTCCAAGGATTATTTCCAGAGAATCCCATCAAGCAAACAACTAACAAATGTATCTTAGATATTTTTATCATGGCCATCTGGATTTCATTTCCTTCTGTAAGGGCTGTCAGTTTCACTGTGAACGCATTTAAAATTTCTGCCATGCAAGAGAGGTTTTACACTTTCATCTATTCAAATTATTTTCTTGCTTGCATAGATAAAATAAGCAAGAGTTTCCTAGCAAATAGGTGAAATGATTCTGTCTATTAACAATATAAAATTACTCAAGCAAAAGCTGGTTCTAGATTCTAAACAAGGGAAGTTATCTTAACAGGAACAACTGAAACAAAAAATGAACAAGACCATAAGGAAACATCCCGCAGCTATATGAATGTACCTTTCAAGGTTGAATATACAAGTAACATAAAGTGAAAATGATCTTGCATTTATATCTGGAATCCAACATAAAAAGTTTAGCAAGCAGTGGCAAATTGCAAAACTTTTGCTGATGAGAGGAGAGGCCTTTTCTTCTCTGCCAAAATCTGCAGGCACCTTGTCACGTGATTGAGCTATTGACATCTGAACTGGAGAACAATCAACTGAAGAGTCCTTTTTTCCATCAACAACAATCACTGAGTTGTCAAGATCATTTATAAACTCAAGCCAGTTAAGTGATCTCTGAAGTTTGACATCTGAACATTTAATATTACTAAACAATGGCAGCACAGATTTCTCTAGAGCACAGCAAATCCTTTTGGCCAGATTCCTGCGGGTAAACTAAAACAATAGCATGGAATGAATAACTAGAATAGTAGTACAAGAACTCCACATAGCATTACAGAATTCAACGAGACAAATAGAAGAATTTATGGCGGAAGACCAAAGTTGACTAAGAGATTGGTGAATATCTATATGCAGTTACCTAGTAGTGACTAGTGAGCATAGAAAAGTGTGTGCGCGTGTGTGTGTGTGTGTGAGTAAGACAGAGAGAACTCCAGGAACAATAAAAAAAAAATCTTACTTTCTGTTCATACAAAATTGAAGAGCTTAAAAGTTCCGATGATATCTGTGGTAAAGTCACTCCTCTGACCCTTCTACCCTTATCAATCTCAAGTGAGCCAAGCTCCTGGAAACTGTTTGTAACACCGTGAAGGAAAGTACGAAGCAGGTGTCTCAAGAACCTCTTTAACTGCTTCTTGGAAGCATGATTGCCCCAAATATCAATATTTTTGCAAAGATTTGACCACATGGCCATTGGCAATGACTCATCATATGCAACACATATTCCTAGATCCCATCCATTGGTTTCATGAGGATCTTGGGAGGTTAAATCTTCACAATTTACTTCATCAGAACAGAAGAATGGTGATTGATATACACATGATAGGTTCTCCATCATAAAATTGGTAAGTCCAACTGCCTCTTCTTCTAATGCCTCGATTCGTGAATTATAATGAATATTTTGCAAATACTTGAACAAAACAATCTGCCTGTTCAAGTCAACAAGCCTCTGAAGAGTCATAGAGTGTAATGTGTACAGTAAAGGAGAACTGTCAGGTGAGCAATCCTCAAGATAGATGTCAGAGATATTTTGCATAACAGCAAGAAGTGAAGCAGAAGGTTGAACAATCCAAGAAAAATATCCCATGTCTCTCCCATCAATCCTCTCCATCAATTCACGAGCAGAGTATGCTATGAAGTCCCCCACTTCAGCAGACATCTTCTTAGATAAAGCAGGAGGCATAAGGCTGATTGCTTGCCTATGTAAGCTTCGGCACAACACAAGCAACTGAAAAAAGAACAGAATGACCCATTGACTGGAACTACCAAATTTCTTCAGAATTTTTCTCTTTCCAGCCACCTGATCAACAGTATTTCCCATGACATTTGAAAGGAAGTTGCATATGGTATTTGATTGTTGTCGTACTAGAGTACTCAAGTAAGGACGCATTAGCTCTATTAGTTCTCTTATAGAACCTCCAATCAGGTTACTGTTTCCCTCAGTGATAGTGAGTGATTCGAGAACTAATGAATACAGCCTAGACAAACCTCTACCAAGAATCACCATTCGCAGATTAAAAACTTCCCTGGTGCGTTGTACATGTCGTTTATTAAATTTTTCACCAACAACAAATGAAGAACATTCTCTTAACCACATAAGAGATTTAGATATATCATCTGTTAAATGTCGAATGCAACCACTCACATTCCCTTCTGGAATTGATTGAACAGCCTTATGAATGGCATTAGTGAACTCCTGTGAAGATAGTAGCCTGTCCACCGATTGTGAATGAACTTCATTAGATACAGACGTCAAAAACCTTGAAGTTTCTTCACTATTAGCCTCATCATGTATGGTAAGTCTAATAGCTTTGCACAATGCTAAAATAGCAATGTCCACCTACATCAGTTCAACATGTGTAAGAACATGCCTGAAATCCATCTAATGAAATAAAAGGCAACAGATGACAACATTTAAGAAGAAGAAACAATAATTATAACAATTAAAGAATGGCTGCATCCAAACTTTCTTCCCCCCTACCAACACCCTAGATTGCAATTTAATATTGTAGGCCCCAAGGAAGGAAAACATGAAAAAGGTAGAATAATTCATTATTATAATAATTCAGGAATGGCTTCACCAAACCCCACTTCCTCCATACCAACGCCCTAGAATTCAAATTCAGTACTATAAACCACCAAGGGGTGAGTTTGTGGTTTGTTGGTGAGAGCATTCAGCCATACATAATAGGTCATGAGTTCAAAATGGCAGTGAGATTCACAAACAACCACAAGGGGGCATAACCAATACTAAGGAAAAAATGCCATGTTATAGAGCAGTAATCAGAGTTTTGAAACTAACCTGGCGAAGTTGACTATAGAGATTGATTATTTGGCTCCCCAAGCCTGATATGCTGGAAGATAATGAACATTGATCAAGGGCATCCATAAAAGTCCCCCTGATTGCTAAGCATGATAACATTGTAAACCATAAGTTCACCAAATCTTCTCCAATAACCTCATATTCAATTTCCAAAAGATACCCTATTGCAACTAGGATCTCATTAACTGATAAAGTAAGCCTTTCCATTTCTATCCTGTTACTTACATCATAGTTGGAAAAGCATAGCAAAGTGGCAGAACATGACATTAGTACATTATATATTTTCTTCAAGAAATTAAGACAAGCTCCTCCAGTCATGTCCTCTGTCCTCACATACACCTTCTCTTGCATAAAACTAGCAAGCAAGTTACTAATAGATTTTAGTATACCATGAGGCCCTGCCAACATGAGTTTGCCATCAAGTTTACCTTGAGTATATTTATCAATCTCAAGTAACAAAGGCTCCATAATGTGAACCAAAAAATTAGTGAGCGATTTTTGAGTGTCAGAAGACATGTTATTTGAGCTATTCTCCCCTGATTCTAGCTGCCTTGTATCTCTTGTACTCTCCATTCTCTTAGTTGCTTCGTGCAGCACTGAGGTTCTCTTGAACTTTCTTGCCGCATTGACATACAAGTGAAATAAAAAACCTATGCTACTTATTGCTGTTGTGTTTTTTCTTGCTATAACTTTGCTCAATACATCAAATAAATGTCTATGATAACTCATAATAACTGCTCTTGAATCTTTTGATTTATCATCACATGAAGCAACATACATCTCTACACCATGTAAGCTAAAGAATCCATCAATGTGTACTGGATGAAACAATCCATAAGAAAGAACTTCTTCCACCAACTTCAACAACTTCTCTGTCCAAGGGCTATTGCTTCCATTTACCTGAAGCTTCAACTCACCCAACAAATGCAACAGGGGCTCAAGAAGTCTATCCACAAAATTATAAAATCCATTTTTCCTAGCTGGATGAACCCTCAAAAACTTTGAGAATGGCTGAAGCACCAAACACAGAAAATGTATAGCAAATTCACCCATATTGATCTTATCAAGGTGTTTGATATACATTTTTTGGACAAGCTCGAGGAGTATACAAGTTGTTGTAACCCATAACTCCAAATTTTCATTTGACAACCCACCATGGGACGAGAATACCAATGAAACACAATCAAGAGCAGTACCATATAATTTGTACCTTTCACCAGATATAAAAGATTCTCCTGAGCAGATGGAGGAACCCTCCAGCAGTGATAGAGCATTTTGAACAATAAAATGAACAGGCCGTAGGAGATGCCGAGACATATTCAGAGAAACATTAAACTTCAAAGACTCCTGCAAGCAGAACCTGAATATCTCCCAACAACGAAGATCCATATATGCCTCAACTCCCACCTGAGATCTTTTTCCGTCACTCAAATTTTTGTATCTAAGGAAATCAACAGTGACTGTATCCAATCATTAAGGAGATATAATAGTCTCGGCAGTTTTATTGTTTCACGATCCTGAACAGTGCCATCACCGTCTTCAATTCTTGATTGCACAAAACTGAAAGCTAATTCGATCTTCCTGCATTAACACAAACTTGTTGTGGTAAAGTGACAATACAAAATCTCATTGTTCCTTTGGATGGCTCACGAGAGGCATGGGAAAAAATAGATAAAATATACTCAAAAATTAATTTATTTGGACAAAACAAGATATGTACAACTATATAAGGCCTTTGCCCCCATGGGACTCTTTACCACTCTCTCTTACATATCTTACCGGGAAGAAATGTTATTTCTGCGGGCTTTTGGTTCATTTTTTAGCACGTGTTCAATAACTTGGATAGCACTATAGCACGTCTTCCTTCTGGGTTGACGGAGTTATGACTCACGAAAGTTTTGCCATTTGTTCTAAGAGTACTAAGAAACTAACTTGTGTAATGCAAAAGAAATATCTGATAGTTATATAGCCAGTCTCCGAGAGGACACTTCAATATTAGAGATGAACATAATGTGCTCTTCTTAAAGAGTAACAGCTACGCTATCAGTTAATCGAGCGTAATAACCAGAAGGGGGGGAGGGAGGAAAAAGTACCTCTGGAGATCAAGATGCTTGTTTTGGATGCATAAAATCAACTGAAGGTTCTTCCATGGAGGGGAGAATTCAAACTCGTTGGACTGGGAGTCTCTCTGCTCTGATTTTGTATCATCTTCCACTGTTCTCAGTTCGATTCTCTGCGCTTTGGAAAGCCTTTCGGTTTCCTCGGGGCTTCTTTGCTTTCGCTTCTTTGTTTTCTTTTGAGCTTTCATGTTGACATTCGCTTCCGGAGCCGCCATTAACATTAGTTAACAAGCAAGAGAGAATGAATTATAAGGGGAAAAAAAAGAGGAAGGAAGCCAAGTGCTAATTTACGTAACCAGAGGGTTTAGCAGAAGGAGCGAAGCAGGGCCTTTAACTAAAGGCGGAGAAAAGGAGCAGGGCAGCCCTTGACGGCGGGACCCATTTTCTCACTCTAGTTCTTTTTCACTCGGATGTTTTTTTCCGTTCGGGGATTACCTCCCAGTGTTCAGTAGCATTCACCAACAGCATATTTTTTTTCCCCGCCGAGATTGCGACAAAGTTTTTTATTTTTGGCGCCAGTGGCGATTCCCCCCTGTTACCACCACCAACAACCAATCACATAAATTTAATCTTTAATATAAGATTTATTTAACTAATTTGATTAGATTAAAAAAATTAGGTAAGTTAGTTAATTATAATAAATATGACACATTTTTTTAAAATACCATAATCATCTTTTTTAATACCTATTCTTCCTCTTCTACTTGATTATGGATGTGGGAGTATCCATAGAGATAATTTAGAGAAAATTGATAAATATGAGAACTGAATCTTATATTTAGAACCAAAATTAACTCAACAATTAGATCCTATATTAAAGACCGGAAGAGTACTATACTTATCAATATAGTTTTCTAACATGAATTAGTTTTATCTAGATATAATACTACCTCCGATCCTTAATATAAAACCTCGTTTAAATTTTATTTTAGTCTTAAATATAAGATCCCAATCCACTTTGTCTCTAATATTTGTGTATTTTTTCTAAGATAATCCTTTTAACAATGGTAATGGTAGGTATAGCCAATATACTTGATTAGTAAGGATATTTTAAAAAAAATAACACCTATTTATGACAAATAACTAACTTAACTTCTTTTCTTAATTTTCTTAAATTAGTCAATTTACTTTTATGACTAGCATGACTAGGATTGGAGCTAGTATAATAGTTCATCCTATGCATTCTTCTGTATTAACTAAATTTTCTTATTTTTATTCGACTTACGTACTGTGCCCGTAACTTGTAAGGATACTCTTTTTTTTTTTTCCTTTTTAATGTTATTTGATCCTTTTTCCCAAAAAAAAAAAAATGAATTGGCTCTGGTGGCCGCTCAGCCAAAGCTGGAGCTTGGAGCGCCCGTTAGTGTTGGGACGGGCCTTTGTCTAGTTTCCAATTCCTCATGATTTGCAGCCTGCTTGGTTCAGCGAATGGAAACGCAATGGAATGCAATACGTTTACAGCATGTTTGGTTCTCTGAATCCCAAAAAATGCAATGGAAATTTTAGTACTGCATAATTAAGAAGAAATTATATATACATAAAAATGTTTGGTTACATTACAGCCAATATGAAAATAAATAGGAATGATAAATTAAGAGACAAAGTTACTCCTGTCAGTGTATAAATATAATGGATTAAAATTGTGTACTTTTTTGTACAATAGTAAATTAATAGACAAATCGTCCACACCATGAAAATTTGAAATTTTTATTAATTAAAAGTGTGTATGCGCATGTATTATATGATAACCAGTACAATACATCTAGGACTGAACCAGCGAGTCGAATAATTGTGCGTAGGTATCTATACATAAACATATATAGCAGTGTTGCTTATATACTACTACAATTAAATTCTCTGTTTTAGCTCACTAATTTTTCTGGCAGCATTATACCAAACTCCTTTTAAATTTTGAGTCAGTTGCATATAATCCTTTTCTTTATTAAAATCTTATAACTTCATTTTTAAAATTGTTTTAAATTGTCATTAAAAATTTTTTCTTCACTCCATTTCTTTCATATTGGGTATTAGGTTAAAGGTAATCAGCACGGCAAAATACAATTCTCTTTATACCATACAAATCCAATCAAATATTTGAATCAATCAATTACATCAGGATTTCAGATAATATCTATCCTCTCATAAAATTCAACTGAATGGGCTATTAATTTCTAATACTTTTGTGCACTGCAATTACTGTAAAATATACTCATTCAGTCCTAAATATAAGACTCATTTTATATTGTAATTTATACTGTAAAGTGAATCTTATATTTAGGATTGGAGGAGTAATTCATTTATTCCAACAAAGGAAAAAATAGTTCATTTATCAACTACAGTGAATTTGAATTAAATTTTTAGAAGGAAAAAAAATCTACTGCCATTAAAGATTTAGGGTGTGTTTGGGTGACACCCCAAACCATGGTTTGGGGACCCAAACCATGGTTTGGAGTGTCAATCACCCAAACACCCCCTCTAAAAACCAAAACCATGGTTTTGGGTCAAAACCATGGTTTTGGAAAAAGCAAAAAAATTTTGCTTTTGGAGAAAAAAGAGAGAGTGTGAGAGCCTATATGATATGTATCTTGTTATTTTTTTTATAAACATATTTTTTGATAAACATATTTAATCTTATATTTTATAAATATATATACACATTAATTATTTATTAATTATATTATCTTATGTATTATTAATTATGTTGGTAAAAAATATATTATTAACAATTTTATTCCTTCAAATTAAAATATATCATAAAATCTATTTTTTCTGTAATTATCATATTAACTTATGTCTTTTTTTAAGTAATTTGTATATATAAAAAGTGCTTCTGATAACAACTATCCAAACACTCTCACTTCTCAGAATCACTTTTTTACAAAATCTATTCTTCACAGAATCTATTCTCCCCAGAATCTATTCTCCAGAATCACTTTTCCAAACCACGGTTTGGTTTCATCCAGACACACCCTTAGAGTGGTAATGTGCCTATTCCTCATTGGCTTCCAGTCCCAGGCAGGTAGAGAGGCCATCGATCCCACGGGACAGTTGATTCAAGAATCTCGTGATATATTGCGTGATGAACTGTTATGTTTAGATTTTAGGCCGCGGTTTTTAGAAAACCATATCAAACAATTTATACAGCTTTCAATATTTACAATTTTATTTTTGTTAAAAAATCATATAAATTATTTATCATTTATACTTCTGAATGTTTTGAAAATGTTGCAATAATTTTTTAGATTTTTATATTTATAGTACCGCTATTACCAACTTTGAAGAAAACACTATAATTGATAATTTTAATGTGCCATGACAAAAGTTAATTTCTAAAACTTAACCGTGTTTGGATGAGAAGAAAATTAGAAAGGAAAGAATAATAGGAGGATAAATTTACACAAATAATAATTTTTTAACTATTTTTAAAAGTTTTATTTTCTAATATTTTCTCCCTTCTATGTTATTCCTCCCAACGTCATTAATACTCGGTGTAAAATTGTAAATTGACATGGCCAGCCCAGCCGTACTTATAGTGGCCCTAAACCATGCCAAATAGGAACAGAGTGTTGGCCGTTTTGCGTCGTCGGCTAGCAAACACGTTATTCTTAATCCCCCCATGTCTGAAACGCGCCGCGTTACGCTGCAGTCCGCGCCATTACGGTCCCTCCACTATGTCTGTACCTTCACTCTCTGTTTTGGCCCTTCAATTCCCCAGCAAATGAAGTAAACGGCACATTTTCTATCTTATTTATCAGAAAATAAAACTTGGCAAAAATTGTACAAAACATAATGAACCGCGCATTCTAGAATTCTAGTTCTTTTCCCGCTCCCTCACACACTCCGTCACACCTCAAGAGTGTGTGTGTGTGTTACCAAAATATCTGCCCGCCCGAACAAATCCAAACCGTCAAATTCAACCAAAAGCTGCCTCCTGGCCGTTGTTCATAAGCTCACAGCCCCCTCTTCTGTTATTTCTTTGACAAGGACGTTCACGGGGTCGTTCTTCCCTACTCGCTAATGCATTGTTGTGGAAGCTCTCACCACCTACAAGCTCTTCAATCTTCCCGAGAACAGTGCATTTTATTCTCGTGTTTTCTTCTCTGTCTGTGCCTCCTTCTAGCTGGTTCTCGAGTTTCGCGGTTAGTTTTTTCTGATCTTGAATTACAAGGTTCTTTCCTGTATTTTGATGGCATATTCAGCTATTATATGTGCATTGTGTTTGTGTTTGTGGATTCCTGCACTTTATATGATTGCATGAATATTGCGGAGTCTTTTGGTTCGTTCATCCGTGGCATGAGCTTGGTTGGAATAATGTGTAAGCCTTATAATCTTGAACAACTTCTGATTGTTTGTAATATTCTCTCTATCTCCCCGTCTCTCTCCCCCTCTCTTTTTCATTTCTTTCTTTCTTCCCGAATCCTCTAATAGGTTGCGTTACCAATGGAAATTCTGTTGTATTGAGTTAACCTACTTTGGAATCTGGAAACTAAATTCACCAGCTACGAAGAAATGGTGGTGTATATATATGTCTTGTCTCGCGGCGATATTTGTACAATCATAATCACATGTCTGTTTTGTTATTATTACATGGTTGTACAATGCCCTTTCACCTAATAATTTATGCATTTGTTCCAACGGGCAAAACAAAGATTCTAGTGAAATGGATCGATACTTTAAGAATATGTATCCGTGTCACTTGTTCTCTCAAGCCGCGCGGTTTTGTGACAGATCAAGCACCAGTGGCTTTTATGCAAACATTACTTATGTTTATTCCTCTGCAAAATCTGAAAGGTTGACATGATGAACTCATTCCGGTTAGTATTTAGTTGATAATGGGATCCATAAATTGTATAATGCTAGTATTGTCCGCAACTATGCGTTATGATAATTTATTACCGCCAATTACTCCATTCTTTTATTTTAATTTCTAACAACTCCTGCTTTGACTGGAGACTACATTCATTTTTAATTTTGCCTTGATTTCATCAATGGTCGTTCTTCGTCTTCTCCTTCTGATGTTAAAGCAGAATCAAATAAAGAGTAGCTCAGATATCAGGGGATATTTTCCAGTTAAGAAATGACTTTGTTCCGCAAGAATGTAAAATACAAGGAGAACATTACTTTTTCTTCAATCAGTGATCTGGAATGCCGGACGCACGGACCATTGTGTTGTTTATTGTCTTGAATTAACAATCTGAGCAGGATCTGCTTCAATTAAGTAGGATCTTCAAATTAAACACTTTTCTTGGCGGCTATTTGTAATATTTAACAGGAGTCGTT